GGTAAGTGTCAAGTGTGAATCGCTTTAGGAACAAACCTCTAAAGTTCAGTTCGTTAATCAAACCGCTAATAAAATAAATGTTTATTTCACCATTGCCTATGAATTATTCCAGCTCAGATTGCAATCGATTCCCACAATTTGTTCTTCTTACTATACTGCCGCTGCGTCCTGCGTCCGTGCTCTTTGGATACACAAAGGAGATGTTGAGTACGTGATAAACGAGTAACTCCTAATGTCAACTCACTGCGTGGGTTCCAAGTAATCGATTACATCGGTCAACAATCACGTGGAACAAGCGTCCTACGTCGATTAGATCAAGATGCATACACTGTATTTTGTATATCAACGTTCATTGCCACTACTTAGAGTACGCACCTTTACTATGCTGATGTTATTATTTTGGTACTTGTAGAGGTTCTCTTGATATTTGGTACTAACAAGTTTAGATGCGTTGGTTGCTAGTAAAAGCCACATATGGCATTTTGATGCAGCAAAAGCTTCCTCTAATATTCTATATTCTCTTCTTGTGATGCAACCGTTGCCTCTCGCTACATTTGAAGCAACTCGAAATATAACTTTCATTGTTTCTAAAACCAAAAAAAACTTGCATTGTTTCCAAGTGAAGATAGCTTCATATTTTTGGCCTTAAATCAAAATTAATTATCATTATGAATTTTGTTCTTCTTGTTTTTTTTTGGCAACCATGATCATGATTATTTCAACAATTTTGTATTATTTGATTTTGATAAAATGGTTAAACAAAACTATCTCATGTTAATACATTGATAATCTGGTAAATTAATAATGTTTACTTGTAGAACGTACGGAAGAATGTGATCAAAACAAAATTACAAAGGATTTGTTGTATTTAAATGAACAATGTTATTTACCTCGTGGTCTAGCAAATTAGACCGTCAAAATCAATTTGTCAAAACGTTTTTTAGACTTAGAGAGAACAAAATAGTTGGATCCATAGCAACCAAAGTATAAGATCCTTTGACGTCGAACCCCTTAATACCCATTATAATTAGCAAATAATCAAATATATTACTCCATGAAATTAAGATCCCATCAACAAAATGAAAATCATTTTTTTGGATTTGTTGTATTTAAATGAACAATATTATTTACCTCGTGGTCTAGCAAATTAGACCTTCAAAATCAATTTGCCAAAACGTTTTTTAGACTTAGAGAGAACAAAATAGTTGGATCCATAGCAACCAAAGTATAAGATCCTTTATTTACCTCGTGGTCTAGCAAATTAGACCGTCAAAATCAATTTGCCAAATCTGTATGTTTTATTTTTTTATTTTTACTTTTTTCTATGTTTTGTTGTTATAAACAAATTAAGAGGATGGTTAATTCTCCTTGTTGTACTTTTAAAATTAAATATAAACAAGAAACATAATAATTTTATGTTTAAATATAAAGAAAATAATAGTTTTTGACAAAATTGAAACATCCTTAAAAAGAAATTTAATTCATGATTAGTAAAAGTTTGAATTAAATCTGGATTAGAACTTTAGAATCATAGCTCAGTTTAAAAACAGGACAATATATAGTCACAAGATACGTGTGCATTGCTAAATGCTAATGGATTATTATTATTAAAACAAAATACAAATCTTGATGCTGCCTTACGTTTCGCACCTAACTAGGCGTTAGAGAGCAGCTTAGGCAGCCCTAATGATAGCTGCCACCGTCGTAGAATCAAACATAATCCGTAACCGAATTAATTTAAGTTAGATGTTTTTTTATTAAGTAACTCAAACTAATTAAAACTCTACCCAAATTTAACGAAACCAAATCCGTGAGAAATAAAGTTACGAAAAGATAAGAGAGCGAGAGAGATCAGAAGAGTGGGGTCGAGAGAAAGAAGTCAACTTCAGTGAATGTAGACACGGGGACGTGGACACCAATGGCGACACCCACACGTGTGCTCAGTCATCACATTTCACAGCTATACGTACATATACTACATATAATGCATATTATTGTTTACATAAGAGCATGTTTATTGGTGTTATGCTATAAAGTATCTTATCTCTAGTTTATATTAATAGTTAATATTTGAAATGTGAACATATACAAAAATATTATTATTGAATTGAAAATCTCTTATAAATTAGAAAAGTACTCTCAAAGTTTGTTATATAAGAGATGTTGGAGTAACTTTTCTTAGTTTTAGAAACATCTTCAATTAAATACTAATATTTTTTTTGTGTTCACACTAAAAATATTAATTATTAATATAACTTATAAATAAGAGACTCTATAACATAACACCAATAAACATGCTCTAACACCATCAGAATAGTCAGGACAATAATATGCATTAAGGAGTATTTGTTGGAACGTACATTAAGGAGTAAATGTGAACAATAATATGCATTATATGCATTAAGGAGTATTTGTTGGAACATACACGTGATGACGTGAACTTCCTAGGAAGCAAATTCGAAGCGAAGAAAATAAGGAAAGCTGTTTTCAGCTTTACGGGTTTTCTTCACTTTCGTAGCTTTGGTTAGATGTGTTATTTCGGGTGACGCCCATGTGCCCTTTCGCAAGTACCCTTTTTTAAGACGACTCGTTTTCTTTTTTTGAAAAACAATTATTCAAATAAAACCCTTCGAGCATTAAATAAAAAATCTTGATTATGATGTAGCGCTAAATATTGAAATAAAATCCTTCCTGCGCTATAAATATACATATATATGTTTCCGGATCCTAAGTAGCTCCACAATCTTCTATATTGACTCTGCCGTCGAAAATAGCAGGCGAGCATAAGGTGGAGACTCTGCCGGTCTGCCCTTTAAAAGGAGAAAGAAACATGTCCATGGTGAAGCTGATCTCCCAAGAAGAATGCTATACAGTCATTACTAAAGATGTAACGATCATGAAAACGTAACACCGTCAGAATAGTCAGGACAAGCAAGAGTTTCCCTCCCGTAGACTTTCTATACCTAAATCAGATAAAATATTATGTTTGTGAACAATGTATTTTCCTTACCATATATTTATCGTTAATAAGATTTATTCGTAATTTAGTGATAAAAACTATTCTCAATGATGCTCGCTTTTACGCTATCATCATTTCAAATGATCCTACGTACTAAATATACCATCCTATCATAAATATTTGTTTAGTTTCGTGGATGTGATTATCGAAATTAAAAAAAATATATAGTTGTTAGGTACATTACATATGTAAATGAGAGTGAAATATAACCACAGTGCTTTTTTTTGTTTATTTATTTTATTTTATTTTGAAAGTATCTTTCCATTACATAACCTTAAGCAATACTAGTATAAGGCTTTGAATGGTAAACAAATTAGAGTAATAAGGTGGAATAAAAAGTTTGATAGAAAGTGTATGGACCCACAAAAATCAAAGTAAAACTTCCCACCACTTTTATATGGAGTAAAGTTTTCAGCTGAAAAAAATTAAAATCACTTGATAACAATAAAAAGTTTACTCTCATTATTGTTGAGATTGAGTAAATTGTTTTACTCTGGTTTACTCTAACTTGCTTACCATTCACACCCTAAGTTTGAAGGACCATAAATACCCTCCAAATTGGTTAAAACTTAAACGTGAAAGAAAAGTACAACAAACTTAACTAAAACGACGAATCTTCTGCTTCCAACTACCAAACAACTATTCCTGTCTGAGATCTTGAGGAATGAGTTGGTAGTTTTTTTAACTTTAAATCCTACTCTTTCTACTTCACCCTTTTTAGTATTAAAATAAATATTGCAGTATAATTTATTTAACATCAACTTTTGGGATTGTTTATATAAGTCTACCAAACTTGAAGCTACTATTTTGTTAAGTTAATAGATCAAACTGGATAAAATTGGCTGGACCACTGGTCACTTTTTCAACAATATTTTATAAAACTGTATATTGTAATACACAATTAGAAGATATAAGGAATTATGTAAATAAAAAGAACCGTTTTTGGCTAGGTGAATAATTTTTTTCTTCTCGTAAACAAACAAATGTTAACGCAGAGCATGCTGCACTTGACTTAGCTTTCTATATAAACACACCCTTCTAGTCCCAACCACTCTCTCTCTCTCTCTCTCTCTCTCAAAAGAGAACAGAACAGAGAAAACAGAGTGATCTGATTCAAAAACAGAGCATTGATGTGATAATGGGTCTACTCGTTATCATCGGCTCGTCTCGCTCTGTTCTGCTCTTCTCCGATGGAACCAAATGCGATACACGAAGAATAGTCTGCCTCCGGGAACCATGGGCTGGCCAATCTTCGGCGAAACCACCGAGTTTCTCAAACATGGCCCCAACCTCATGAGAAACCAAAGACTCCGGTAAACAAATAGACAGAATACATCAAATCAATAATTTTTTCTTTTATCTTAGAAAAATCAAATCAAATCAATATTATAAATCTTATTGACACGTCATCAATTTCTTTTATTGTGAAGACGACACGTGTCATCCTGTAAAACCAATGAAAAGCCTCCACGTCAGCGCTTAAAGCTAGCTCCTCCGTTCTACCGCTTCCTCTCCCTCTCTCAATCTCTGTAACTCCGATCTCTCTAAATCCCATATTGATTCGGCTCCTCTCTCTTATCAGGAAACACCTTTCTTTTATTGTTTGTTGCCCAAATCATTGCAATAAAAACACCTATTTTGTCACTTTTGATTCTTCTTTCAGCCACTGTCTCATATGAAACTGTTACAAGATTGTGTAATGTGTCAGGGGAAGTAAACGGATGTGTTTGATTGTCGATTGAGCATAAGATGAAAGATTTGGAATGTACCGGAGGTTTTGCTATGATCGTCAGTTTGCCTTTCGACGAGTAATGGGAGGAACGAGAGGACGACGAGTCGAAGGGGTGGATCGGAGGAGAGGTAGGTTTCGTATAGCCACTGACAGAGCGGGTCAGATCCGGAACCGGAAGCCGGATTGCGAAGGGAAGACGAGATCAAGGAGTAAGCAGCGCGAGATGAAAGTAACGATAGTGCCGGCCGATCAGAATCTGCTAAAGAAGAGATCGGACTCCGTCGACGTCTTCCGAATGAGAATCGCCGGAGAGTAGAGAAGACAGAGAGAGGATGCGAGAGCGCTGCTTGGAGACTGATTCCCACCAAGAATGCATTGGATCTCGGTCGGAGGAGATTCCTTAGACAGCGGCAGCAGTAGCGGTAGGTGTCCGGCGGATTTCAAACGGTGAGGAGTAGAGGAAGACGTGGAAGACGACGGAGAAGGTGAGCCGCCGGGAGGTTTGACGGAGAAGTCCATGGGAATGGGTCTGAGTTGACACAAAGGGAAAGTTTCGCTGGATTTTAGGAACACCGAAAATGAAGGAGATTCGAAATTATTTCTTTCCGGGTGAGGACTGGTCGATACAATTTATTTCTTATGGGTCAATTCGGTAATATGATGGAAATTATGGGGTGAATTTTTATGTGTTTCTTAAACGAGCCATCAAATGTGCCAATTGTCTAATGAGAAAAAATATAACAAAGATACGAATGCAAAGAATTTTATTTTTTTGTTTGATACGTTGCTGCCAAAGTTGATAAGAGATGCTACACAGTAGATTCATCTACACAAACATAAGAATGAAAGAAGAGTCAATCGTACTTTGTCTAGAAGATTTTTCATACTTTGAAAAGGAGAAATTTTATTTTTACCTGGTGGTATGTAGGCTGTAATTGCTGAGAGCCTCAATTATTACCAATCCCATCCCCATGATATGTATGTAACATAAGGGTTTTGTTGGATTTTGTGATAATCTTCTCCTCCTTATGAAATAGATTGTGTAGCATCGTTTTTAAATGGGTTGTCAAACTAGTATCCTTTTAAAATTGTAGTGAGCTAAATATACATATGTCCGGGTCAGATAAGTGGATTAATTAAACTCTCAGTCCAATTCTTTATATCAAAACCGGATGATCACACAAGGGATTAATTAAAGAAGAATATAAAATAACCTAAGAAACGTAACTAAATGGATTTATACATTAAAATATATAAGGCATCAAACTTGTATAGTAGGATGCATTGTTCAGGTGCGTGGATTATGCATTGCCATATCGATGTCAATCGGATTAGGGATGCTCTTTGTGGTAGAGAACGGACCGACGAAGTTGACCAAGGACCTTGCCGCCACCACCACCGGATCTTCCAAAAGGTTAAGCAGAAACAGAGCTTTTCTTGAAACCAATTAGATATGAATTAGAGTCTAAAAACAGAAAAAAAAAGACAGCATTCGTCTACATTTGTTTGGATGTCCTTTCATATTTCAAAAAATTTAAATTTCTTTTGTAGTCCATTCAAATGTCGTTACCAAATTATTGTACGTATGTGGGTAAAGTGTGGTTTATAATATGATTTTGTCAACTTTTCACTATTCAGTACTCTTGGGGTCTTCTTGGGCAGCGTTTATTCAATCAAAGCGAACCAAACTAAACTTTTACAAAGAAAAAACTCCTTTCAAATGAGAAAAAGGAGTTTCAGTTTTGAAATGGGATATTGCTGAAATCCTCTGGCTCTTGTTATACTAATATTTTTAGATTTATGATCAGACAAAGCTTTACTGAGAATCTAGATACACATAAAAAAATTGGTTTATTTCGGCGGGGTAATTTTACTCCGGTTTAGTTTCATACCGGTAAAACGTTTTCAAAACATTATCCTAATCAGAAGCATGTTATCCTAATTCCGGCGATTAACACCAGAATCAAAACAACCCATCTCTGTGTATCCGCCTGTGTCGTCGAGCGAGCCACCAATTGACGGCGAGGGAGAGGCGGCAGCTCCGGAACGAGCGGCGTGAGAGCAGATCGGGTTACGGCTGATTAAGAAACCTAAAAAACGATACGCGTCGTGGACGGAGGAGCTAATTTTGGACACTTTGGCTCAGTCGGGTCCGCAATGGTGGGTGGTTCGGGTTTCGAGAATTAGGGGTCAGGACTCTGTTCAAGTGTTGGCTCGTGCTCTCGCAGTCGCTCGTCCATTCCCGGAAATGGAATCTACGGTAATTTCATTTCTTTTGGCTTTTATTGTGCGATCTTCCGTATGGGTTTTGACAACGACGATTGGAGACTTGTTTAGAAAATCTAAACTTTCCCGAAACCGAATGCACGATAATTTTATTGCTGAATTTGGATTTTGAAATCGAGATGAGATCAAAATGATATACGAGAGAATTGTTGAGCTATGAACACTGAATTAAGCATAGAGGACGATGATTAAAGAAGTTCATTGATTGATTTTAGAAAAAGGAATTTCGTTTTTCTTCTTCCAGGTTTATGCTCCAGCTGTACAGGTGAAGAGAAAGCTAAAGAATGGTTCTTTATCGGTCAAGCCGAAACCTGGGTTCCCCTGGTTGCATTTTCATCGGATTTGTATTGAACAAAGAGATCCATCAGAGATTGTGAGGGAGTCTGAGGTTTCATATCATAGGTTCAAAAGTTGGAAACACGTGAGTATTCGCACTCTCTCTCTCTCTCTCTCTCTCAAACAAGCAAAAGAAGAACAAGAGAAAGCAGGCCGTGAGTTCGATGAGCTACAAAGAGCTGAAGAAGAAGAGGAAGCAAGTTTAGCCTCGCAGAAACTTCTTCTCGCGTCTGATTCTGAGAATGTAGCTTCTCTTGCAGCTACTGAAACAAAGGAGAAACTTGCAGCTGGTTCTACAGTTCGACTTTTATCACTGACATTCGCTGAGTTCGTTGGCAACCTCAAGAAACTGAACCGGAAAACAGCAAAGGTATGTTACAAATTTTTTGATTAATCTGTATTGTACAAGATTTTGGTTGTTTTGATATCTGTATATTGTATGTCTGCAGGCAACGGTGGGATTTACTTTGTTTGGAAGTTGACATCAATGAACTTGTTCCTGATATTCAATCTTGAAATGTGTTCACAATGTATGACTTTTTTTGGTCTAGAACTTTTTGTTTTTTTTTTTCCTTGTAATTGTTCGCATTCACAGAGTCAAAAACTTCGTGCCGTTGTTGCGCTCTGATTTAACCTCTACTGAACTGTGTCCCGTTTCAAATATTCCAAAATCAGAACGCATGGTGTTTTCAATACTTCACTTGGGCCTAGTTTCTTGGAAAGCCCAAATATCATCATCGAAGTAAAGAAGAACCGTCCATTTGGAAACCAAATACGAACCGTTAGATCTCTTAAAAAACCCTAGATTTCTACATCCTCATTTCGTCAAACGAACGTTTGAAGTAATATAATAAAACTGAATCAGCAGCTGGGATACCATGATCTTTGAATCTAATTATTTGGATCCGGATCTAATAACCTCGGATATCTTATCCGATCACCCGGATCTCAGATATTTTACCACCCTTAACATACTTTATATGGTGATTAAAAAGACAATATAGTTGTTTATAGTATTAAAAAGGGAAATAATCAAAACCCAGCAATGATTACGTTTAATAATGACAGCGGTTAATAACCACACTCGCTCCAAAGACGTTGCACACGTACAACGTCACTCTGCAAAGGGTCATAGAGCCCCATAACTTGTGTGTGACGGACGTACGGAAAGAACAGAGACAGCTGTCGAACGGTGATTGGCTGGGTTTAACATTTCAGCTTGGTGTGAGAACCTAGGGGGAAGGGGCAGAGACAGCTGTCGAACGGTCATTTGGCTGGGTTTAACATTTCAGCTTGGTGGCTACGTAAAACAAAATTAATGAATTATTGCATTTTTGAAAATTGAAATGGATGAAAAAATTGGGGAAAATCTGGAAAGTGAGACGGAAAAGAAATATCGGAGGAACTTTTATTCTCTCTAATTAAAGACAACAAATCATCTTTTCTAATCAAACTTTGTCTTTTTCTCAATTTCTCTGGAGCAAATTAGGGCCTTTTGAGAGTGTTAATGGGAGTGTACACAATGGAAGAAAAAGGAGATGATAGTGCTGACTTTGTTAAGGAAGGTGATGGGAACAAAGCTTACGCTGCTACTGACTACGACTCTCCTACCCATTCTGATACCGAGTTCGGAGATAGCGACAGAATGACCCTAAAGAGGTGTTTGTTTGAAGATGATGGCAACGGAGCTCTACGATTCACCGGAAGAAATAATCTTTCTCTTCCATACGACTCATCATATACCCGTATTGACTCGGAGCTCAGAGATAGAGGCAGAATGAGATTTGAAGTAGAGCGTGGTTTTCAGACTCATACGACTCGTCTATTCCAAGGATTCAGCAAAATGGGAGCGACTTGCGACGACGACCTAAGTTTGCCGGTTCACTCCGTGACCGGTGCTCCGACGAACGAGCTCCGGTTGAGAAAGCATGTCTACGACAACGTTCTCGGAAACATCTATGTCGATCCTGTAAGTTTCTCTTGATTCCTCCTCTTCGGTTTGTTTCCGGAATTTGTATCTGCGACGTACCGTAGCATTTGAGTTCCCGATGCCTTTTGTTCGAGTTGGAATCGAGATTAATCTCTTCACGAAAATCGTTTGGTAGCTTCGTTTGCTTGAAATTGTTACCTGATTGTTCTATTGAAAACTCAATTTGTCATCTTTACTGAAAACTCCATTATAATTTGCAGCTTTGTTTGAAATTCATTTACACGGAGCGGTTTCAGAGGTAACTTATCGTTGGATTGTGCTCCTTTTCATTTCCATTATTCGTATAAATTGTCGAGGATTCTTTGGAATGTGCTGATTCGTTGATCTAATTCATTGTGGCAGGCTTCGTGAACTCAAGCAGCTCGGTGAGTTGGTTTGCGTTTTCCGATCTTGTTTTTGTCTCTTAAGAAGCATTTATCTTGAGAATCACTCTATGAGAAGATACGGTTACTTGTAATGAGTCTTGAGTCGTTATCATCTTCTTTCTCTGAGAGAAATGTTCTTTGCATGTTTCAGGACTGACAAGGATGATGGTGTATCCAGGCGCTGTGCATTCTAGATTTGAGCACTCTCTAGGCGTGTATTGGCTTGCAGGCGAAACTGTTCAGAGGCTTCAAACTTTCCAGGTACAAGATGTTCAAATGCTGCAGAGAGTGACGTTATTCTTTTCTTAAAGACTGCTTTGTTTCTTTGCAATGGGAAACCGTGACACTATTTGTTGCTTCCTTTCCCTCTTTGTTGATGATCAACTTCTTATGCTTTCTATGTATTTTTCTCTTCTTCTTTATAATTTGCAGGGCAATGCAGAGAAACGTCTCTTGTATGATATTGTTGCTAATGGTCGAAATGGGATTTATGTGGACAGGTAACTCTTACCCGTTCTTCACTTGCTTCTTTCCCTTGTCACTCATCATGATGCTTTGATTTGCACCTTTCTCTTAGCAAGTCAACTTTTAACGCCAACAATTTTTGTATAGGTTTCACTGCCTTGTCCGTGATTCTCGAGGATGCAATCTTCAGATTCAAAGGTCTTGCTTATATAGCTTCCACAACTTGAATCGTGACGAAATGCTCCAGCCTACCACAGTGATGAACATCAAGCCCAAGTTTCAAGGTTGTTCAAGACGCAGCAGCACTGGTGAAGGTTCTAAAGACGCAGCAGCCAATCCTGATTCGGAAGCTGATGACACTGATAACTTACATCAAGGACAGATGAGGATTCCCCATAGATGTGAAATGATTAAAAGACTGAATGAAGCTGGGTTTGATTTATCTGGTGCTATAGCAGCTGGAGATAAGAACCCGGTGACACAGGACGCCACAGAAGACCTTGCACGGGCTTGCATCGGGGATGATACTAGGTTTGCACTCATCGCTGGAACTGATCCAGACTCTCTGCGGCTGTATATCAGCGATTATGTGTCGCTCTATTGGCAAACTGGTCGTCACTGGGATGGTATTCTCCTGAGCCCTGCCGCTGCCACTACTTCTGATGTGACAGATTCTAAGGTGAGAACTGCACTTGGGGAAATTCGGAATCAGATGCAACATGATCTTTGTTGGTGTTACTGTGACACGGATATGGTTAGTGCTACGAGAGTACTCAACGGATTAGATGAGAAGCATACACCTCTCTGTCCCAGATTTCTGTTTCAACATTTGGATCCAAAACAATTAGCAAAGGTTAATGCAACCGGTCACAGATGCTACGGTGCCATTGCGGACGCATCACTTTCATACATACTCAAGTTTGGGGTTCCAGCTGAGGAGTCTGACAGGTTTGATTGTAAAGCTGATAGGCAGTTCTATCAAACTGATGAGTTTTGGAAGATAACTTCCTTCTACAGGTATAATACTTTAGAACAAGCCTTATGGCGTCTCCGTACGCATCCTGTCAGTGCTAATCTTCTCTGCTTTGAAGGTTGGGATAAGAAAGATACTGTCTACCGCGGCCCCATCGACGGAGAAGGAAAGAAACTTGATGATGCTCATGGGGTAGTCATGTGTGACTTCCTGATGATAAATGGCGAACCCATTATCATTTGCAAGAGTAGTAACGGAACACGCGTGGGGTTTAAAGGTTACTTGCACGTGGCTGCTAATGTGATGTTGTTGATGGTTGCCATGCAAAGGAACGAACAGAACAAGGAAAACAATATCTGCCAAAGAGAACCACAACATCTTCTTACAGATTTTTACTCTGTAGAAATGGAATATGCAGATGATAAGTACAAGCGATTGAGTCTACAAGAGATAGCGGATAACGAAGAGTTTAGAATGGATAATCGAGTGTGTTATGAACACTTAAAAGGTCCTGTTCTTGGAGCTTTAGTTAAAGAAGCTCTTACCGTAGCTGGTAGAATGAAGCAACGGCAACGGAATCGGAAACAACAGAGACGATACTCGTCAGTTGGTGAAGCCGGTGAAGGTGTTGTGCCCAATGATGGTGATGAAACCGAAGACTTCTGTTCTGAAGAGTCGGATGAGGATGCGGCTGAAGCAGTTGTCACAGGTCAGCATCATCTTTATAAATGCTTCTTCGTGCATATATTGTTAGTTGGATTTATAGTTTCTATTTTTTCTCTGCTCGTCAGGTGGTGAAGCTGTTGTCCCCGATGATGGTGATGAAACCGAAGATTGTTCTGAAGAGTTGGAGGAGGAGGCAGCTGAAGCAGTTGTCAGAGGTCAGCATCATCTTTATAAATGCTTCTTCGTGCATATATAGTTAGTTGGATTTATAGTTTCTCTTTGTTCTTAACAGATTACAGAAAACCCTGAGCTTGTTTGGTCTTCGTCACCCTGTGTTTTGCATCACAAAGATTGCAGGAATCTCCAGGTTTGCTTCCTCATCTTGATTGAACACATCACGATGATCTCTTCTCGCTTGCATTGTATTGATCAGGGTTGCATCTTTCTGCAGATATACTGATAAGTGGTTGTGATCCCGAATGTGTGCTTCTTCAAAATTACAGTCACTTCCTTTTGTGTACCTCTTGTCTTTTGTGGTTGAGTCGAAACAAATAACTCTTGTCTTTTGTGTACCAAGAAGCATGGCCATCCTTGCAAGATTTTTGTTTGCCTTTTGCATTTGAGTTTGACATACTGAGTTTACAACTCTTTTTTGGAAATGGTATGAACACGATCATTTAAACACAGTATGTACAATCAAACCCGAATCTTTTATCTTTTAGAATGAGATACATCATTGAGTTTCCATCTTATTCATGCTATATACACTTGCTTGCACATAATTACATACAGTTCACACTAGAGAGCTTTTTTTTTGCGTGTGTGTGACATAAAATGTTTTTCATATTCAAACACTACCTCGTAAATCACCGAGGAATATCTGAAACAACAGCAACAACCTCAATTAACTTACACGAAGCCCATTTCATCGCCTCCTCTGTAATCTTGCTCTCATCAACCACAATCTTCTTCAACCTCTGTGACTTCATAACAAAAGCCTCCACGTCATCACCCTCAATCAATCGACAACTCGCAACATCCAAGTTCCTCAACTTCACACAGCTTTTGTTCAAAGCAACCAACACCGAACCTGTCAAGCTCTTACGCCCTCTCAGATAGTCAGATTCAACTCAACCAAGCCACCGCAAGAAGCCAACATCGAGACAAGCTCCTAATCAGATAACCACTCCTTAAACGGCAATTCAAGCTTCCTTAACCTCCCCAAATCCTGTCCTAACGTCGCCAACAAACCAGACTTTCTCTCAACAGCGTCGCAGCTAAGCAAAGAAAGCTCTTCAAGACTAGAACTAAAGCTTAAAGCCAACACCTTTAGACTATGACCAGTCACAAAGTAATAGCTCGATAAAGATCTGAAATTTTCTGCGAGAGACACGAGATGGTCGCCAGATCTACCCCATCCTCCTAACAAGACACAAATATTAGATCAATAGAGCTGAACAATCTGAAAGTTTTCTAAAATACAAAGCCAGAGACTCGCTGACACAAGGAAATTTATTGCATCAGGAGAAAGAGAGCCTTACACAAGTGTCCATTATTTTCAAAATTACGGAGCACAACAGAAAGAGTTTCTTTCATCCACATGAGATTAATATGGATGGTTAAAAGACTTACAGAAAAGGTAACGAGACAACAGAGAAGCACCTCGAGCAGGCAGGCGTTGGATCACTGTCTGGAAAGTGAAGGCACCATATGTCAAACATCCTATGAAAACAAAAGACAATGTGATCAGACACCACTAGATTTCTTCTTCTTTCTTGAAGTCAATTTTACCTAATTCTTAGTATCTTTTCGAAGACTGCAAGAATGCAGAGCCTATCTAAGGAGACTAAGAAGATTGAATGAACAAGGAATCAAACAACTACTTACTCTCCGAGCCTCTTATGCTGCCGAATGAGTCCTAACTCCTAATCCCTGAAATTTAATATCTCTGAGTTTTGTTAACTGAAATTCACCAAATGATAGAAAAAAGCAACAATAGCAAAATGAGTATGACCAGGTATGTAGAGGAGAAAACCACCGGGGCGGACCTCCATCTCCGCCGTCTGATCTCAATAGATCTTCAGCTTCCACCCAAAAATCAGTCAAACTCTTCCACCCAATGATCTTTCTGTTTACGTTTACATTGTATACAAAATGATCTGCATGAATTTCAACATAACAATAAAGTTAGTTGTATACTGTAAAATAGTACTGCAACACAAATCTAGTAACTAGATAGTATGAGATAACTTGATGATTTCGGAGATATAAGGTTGGGAATTTCGGAAGTGAAACCATGTGAGAGGTAATAGAGAAGCCTCGGGAATACGTTTTTGTAAGGGTCTGTCTGTCTCTCTCTCTCTCTTCACCTTTAGATACTTCATACACCTTTCTACTTCTGACTTGACCTGCAAGTAAACCTCATGAGCCTTCTCCTTATCGGTTAGCTGTTTCTCTTTACCTTTTGTTTCTATAGGTTTTCCAAAATAAACGTTTTACCTTTTGTTTCTATAGGTTTTCCAAAATAAACGTAAAACCGTCTCGGAATCTTTGGAATGATTCCAGGCATAGGCAGATCTTGGTTTCCCACTTCGCCTTCTTCACCGTTCCTAAATCATAATATTGTCTCATCACAAACCATATTTCAAAAGCAGAACAAATGTTGTATTCTAGTCTCGACAAGAGGTTCAATTTAAAATACCTCAACCTAGTTGTGTCCTTTGTTACCTCTTCTGTGAGCTTCTTGAGGAAAGGGATCTTCATTTGATCATTGTAATCCAAAACCACCTGAGAAATCATTCCATTCCTCAAATTACTTTACTCGAAAACCGATTGAAACACAAAGAGTTTTAAGAATTGTAGATACTGAAACTAACACGATCAAGGAGATTTTGCGTACTTGACAAAGATGAAAGATCATCTTCTCCAACAGTGCCAAAAGGAATGATCTTTGCTCCAAATTTAGATGCGATCCTTACAAACTCTGAATGTTCTGGCCAAAACAACTTGTATTCTTCACCCTGCCAGAAATCAGTGGTTTTAACTTTAAATGTAAGGCCTCACAAATCAACAACATGGAAAATGCAAATCATTAATACAAAATATACAATGACAGAGTTTTGAATGCATCAAAGCGTATATATATCGAGTAGAAACAGAGTTTGTGATATAGGAATTTGGCTAACAATACAAAATATTTTCATTAGATGTCTACATATAAATAGAAAAGCTTTTTTGTTCCGTTGTTTATGAACCTCAGAAGTAAATATAACCTAACCGTCCTCTCAATCAGCTTCACAACGTCTGCAAATGATTCAACACAACACAAAACAACAGAAAGAGTTTCAATATCATGAGACTAATTCGGTTGGTTATACTGAGACAGCAGAGAAGCACCTCGAGCAGGGGTCCGGTCAGTGACTGGAAAGTGAAGGCACCATATGTCAAATATACTATGTGATCAGAAACAATTCAGAGATCTCTACTAGAGCCACTAGATTTTTAAACATTCACACATCTTTTTAAAGAAGCAGAGATTAAACAATTGCTTACTCTCCAAGCCTCTTATGCTGCCGAATGAGTCCTAACTCCTAATCCAGTACCATCGATCCCTGAAGTGTTGAATTTCTGAGTTTTGTTAACTAAACTTCACAAATTGATAGCAAAATCGATCAAAATGACAATAATCACCAGGTATGTAGAGGAGAAGAGGGGATCCCGGAGCTCGTTTGCCACATTCCAACGGAGAGAACCACCGAGGCGGACCTCCATCTCCGCCGTCTGGTCTCAAGAAATCTTCAGCTTCCACCAAATAAAAACGTCAAGCTCTTCCGCTCCTCTGGCTGTGCCGCCTCTGCGAACGAATACGGATTCACCGTCGCCGTCAATTTCCGGAGACGTCCGGTGCTAGCTCCGAATTTGGTTGACTTACAGTGTGAAAAGTCGAGACTGTGAGCTCTTCTCGAACCTGGGGAGAAGATGGGACAGATTCCATCGGTAATGCGAACTGTGGAAGTCGCCATTGACCAGATGATTCCGAGATCGATGGTTTTCTCGGTAGTTGAGAGTTTTTGTTCTTCAAGCGATCGAACACGACAAGTTCGTGCTCTCCGCCATTTTTGCCTCTCTTTCTTCTATCGGGATCGGTTTGGGATCGACATTTCGGTTCGACTTTGGTTTTGATTTGATTTTGGCTCGGTTTTACCAAAATCAGTTTCGATGGTTCAGCTCAGTTAGAAGAAAACTCGGGTTTCGGTTTGATTGTTTGGAGTTTTGTACGCTTTAGATAGAAACTTCTGGTTCGGTTAGACTCAAACAAACTCTGGGGTTGGTAATATTGGATCAAATTGAATTCAAAGACGTAAGATTGTTTAATTCCAATGGTTTAGGCAATGTAATACTTATTTTTCAGTAAAACCGTAACAGTTGGAGTATAGTATTCGAAGTTTTAACTTTTAAGGAGGAAAGGTCAATGTTATTTTGTGACCTTGCATTTGTGACTTTTTAAAATCTGTTATCATCTAAAGAGCTGCTATATGATTTAAATTTTGTGACCTTGTATTCTCAAATTTTTTGTTGTGTCCATGGGTTCTTCACATATTTTTTTCCTTTCTACGTGGTTATACATTCAGTTCACATTTAATTATTATTTAAATATGTAATTGTCTTATAGTTTGTCTGGCAGGATAGTTAGAAGAAGGTAAAAGATAATGAATAGGATAAGCTTGGATCGTGGAAACACCAATATTGAAGAAGAAGAAAAAGACGTAGAAGATGGTAAAAGGATCACCATCGGCAAATATATTTTGCAATCTTCTTTCTTCTTTAAGTGGATATTTTATGTAGTTTTTCATTTGCTTTTAACTTACTCTAACGTAAAATTATCAACCAAATAATAAAATATGAATCTTTTGATTTTAAGTACTTAACGATTGCAAAACATATCTTAAAGATTATATATACTAAAATATATCTCCATAATCTTATTTTCTGTATACATTAATGAGAGACTGACTATTAAAAAAATATCATAACAAAACAGAATTGTTATAAAAATTTGTCATAACTAAAAATCTGAAAGAAAAATTAAACCCGTGCGTATGCACGGGAACGTCGGGAGGACACACTAGTCAATCTGATAATCTAAAATCTTCTTCTAAGAGCTATTCGGCATTCTACTTCTCTTTCGAATTCGGGTTGTGCTTACTGCTTAGGTGAAAGTATATAGGATCCGACAACCTAGACTCTTCTTCTAGGAGATGTGGATAATGGTTAGATATGGGTGGAGAAAAAACAAAATTATGGACAAAAATATTTTATCTGTAAATTAATTAAAAATCGCTGATTTACATCATGGTGTGAAAACAAAATGTTCTTCAATTTCTAACTATTAAATGTAAAAACTCTATGTTCGGACTGCGTTTTGACACAACTATACAAAACAATCAAATTTTTATTAGTAATTCAATAATCCAACATCGATGTTAGGAGATTTGGGTTGTGTGGTTAGGTAGAAAGACTGAAAGAAATTAATAGAGATCTGTTGGATTAATTAAAAATGGAATGTTATATATCAACGGAAATGACTATATATATCTCCATGTTCAGAAAGAGTGTTTGCATAACTATAACGGTTGGCTGAATGAAAATCAAACAAGTGATTAGTTGAATTATACTTATCTTATTTCTCAAGCCACCAGCTAAGAATTTAATTCTCTTCATATATATCTGAAGCAAATTTAGTTGATGAGATTTGGTACTTGTCATGTTGAGGTGCTAGACTTCTCTGTCTATTTAATATTTATAGATTTGAAAGGCTGAAATGCCCATGTTTGCTTGTACGAAAGCAGGCGATCAGTATATCATTTTATATTTTTAAATTGAACAAAGCGTACATGTATATATGCTGCGAGGACCTCTTAGCCAGACTCTCTATAGACTTCGTTAAGGAACAAAAGATATGGGTTATAATCAGGTCCCAAAGAGATAGACTAGTGGTAATTTCTGTTCAGAATTTGAAGACTTAACCTTTTTACAGAGTCATATATTAAAATGACTTCTAGAATTGCAGTTGGTGTGATCGAGATGGTTGGTGTGATCGATGAAATGAAATATTCAAATATAATATAGTTTGTCCATATTTTACTATATGTTTAGCGGTCCTAAAATTTGGTACAAGTGTTTTATTGCTTTTATATAAAATCTTAACATAAAACTAACATTTATGGCAACAGAAAATAAAAGAAAAAACATATGGTGTCGTAGACTCGTAGTATATCGACTAAACGTATGTAGGTAAGGTGTCAGATTAAAGCAGAGAAAGAGAGATCTTTTACGAAGGTGTTAGGTATATTATATATGACGTGAAGGTGTTGGGGCAGCTTTCGTGATTTCATTTATGATTTGTTTGTTGAACTCTGATCTATGGCATCGAATATTTTTTGTTTTCTTTTCTCTTGGTTACAAAAAAATGAAATCATTTTCTTTATTTGAAAGGGAACGAAACAAAAACACAGCGGTCAATTGTTTGTCTTAAGTTTTTAACGTAAAAACCAACAAATTGTCTGAAACTTCTCTTTCGGAATCTTATGGAATTCTGTAGGACATTTCTGAGATATCATCTCAATTTTTAGATGTAACTTTCATCTATTTCGTCTATACCCCAAAGGAAGCCAATTTGTTGGCTGGCTCTTTAGCAAGCAATCCATCCGAGCTTTCGTTTTGGATGAAGGAGAAAACTCAATCTTTTAGACCAAAAAACGTACTAAACAACAATAATACTCTATATATTAGTTTGAAAATTATGGAAACTTAAAGACTAACAATAATACTTGCCGAATTCGTTTTGATGTGAATTTTCAAAGATGTTAGAGAGCTGATTAACCATATATGATAACCCTTATAAAAAAAAACCATATATGATATATATATATATATATATGTATGTACGAGTACGACTGTTGTATACTTTTGTGTGTGCGTATTTTTTGTCAGACAGCTCCCTAGCAACACTATGAATTGTTTTTGTGTAGCAATGGAAAATCTTTCAATAGTAGACAGTTTTTGGTAGTATCACAAAGCTAGCCAAGGTAGGCCTCTCTCCTAATAACACAAAAAATCAGAAATTTAATTTGTTTTTTTCTTCAGTGTGGTTGTCATTTTAGGTTGATTTTGTTGTAAGCTAAAAAAAAATACAGCTGCTTCAATACCCCACAACTCCACAAGTGTTTGGAATGTACAGCAAAAGACAACATATATAATAACTCTCCAGGTTTTGATGTCACATAGCTTATAAGATTTTCGCATGTTTCATGTCCACGACGAAATTAAATGTGATGAAAATTAAATGTCTGATTAAAATAAAAGGCGGAGTGGCGAAAATTCTCACATATCTAAATGACGAAAATGTTTCTATGTATGTCGTTTGATGTTGAACAACATAAAAGATGTTTGTGTGCTAAAATAATTCTCTCAGGTAAATACATAAATAGTGAGGATTAATCCAAAAGTTGTTAAATAATGATGATTATATAAGTAACAAAAGAAAAGTTGATTAATTCCTTTTAGAAGAAAATGACCGTTGCCATTTATTGTACCAACGATCATGCACACATATTTGTAATTGACTATATAGACCTTATTTGCACAAGCTACGAAAATTATATTCTACCAGCAGTTAGAGGGTAAATACGTCGTTGCAATGATTATTCGTCACTGTTCATTTTAAAATGCTTATTGCTCACTGTTCCACTCAATACATGCAGCTTTATATTAATAAACAAATCATTTTTAAAAATAAAGATAAATTCCACTATTATATGAAATAAAAATTGTGGTGCGTACCGAGCGCAAGATTTATTATTTTAATCGATCATCTTGTTTACATAAATACGTGTCGGTACAATTGTTTATACATAAAATATTTTTATTTCTCAGATTATAGCTAATTGTGTTTAAAGTATGGGGGTTAATTGATGTTAATATGCTCTTTAAGAAAAAGAAGCCAAAACATGTGAAATTCACTAGTATTCTAATGTCATTTGCTGAAGAATTATCACAATTAGAGACTTATGATCTTGTCATAACAGTGGCTGAAACCATAATCCAAAAAATGGGAATCGAAAGCAAAAAATGATAAACAAATGTACGACACTGTATTACACTATAAGCAACGTTATACAAATGTAATAAATATTAAATACATACTTTAGTAGCTTTGACTTTTTATGTTACATTAAAAACCTAAACCTATTCTATTGCGCTAGTAGCTTTGACTTTTTATGTTACATACTTTAGTAGCTTTGTGTGTGCGTATTTTTGTCAATAAATTAGAATACTAAAACAATAATACTTGGCGAGTTCTTTTGATGTGTATGTAGTTACGAGCACGACTGTTGTATACTTTTGTGTGTGCGTATTTTTTGTCAGACAGCTCCCTAGCAACACTATGAATTGTTTTTGTGTAGCAATGGAAAATCTTTCAATAGTAGACAGTTTTTGGTAGTATCACAAAGCTAGCCATACTTTAGTAGCTTTGACTTTTTATTTTACATTAAAAACCCTAAACCTATTTTATTGCGCTACTAGATTACAGAATCGTTTGCCAACTCTGAGCCTATTTTCCCGATAAAACCACAAAATGAACTAATTAATTGACGTTAATCGATAAACCAATCTATTTATTTCGTTTGGTGATACAAAAATATAAAGTATAGTTTGCTTACTGCTGATGTGTTCTTGTACCCATTTGTGATGACCAGCTGCTCTACATTGGACTGAAGGAGTGTTTGTTGAAAATGGCTTGTTTCCGGCGAGAATTCCCGGAGCAATTCTGTTTCTGCGGCGAACCATACTCGACGGTGGAGATGTTTAAGTCAGCGAGATGGCGGAGCGAGAAGAACAAGATCAAAATCGTTTTCAAGTAGCAGTTTCATGCGACTCAGGTATTTTATAAATCAAAATCTTTTTGTTTTTTTTTAACTTTCCGATTTAGTACGGTGAGTTTTGGCGGCGAGTTTACCTCTCTCGACGGAGCAAACGGCGAGGATCGTTGCTTGGATATTGGAATTTCCAGAAAATCGGGAGAAAACAGAAAATAGTCAATCTGACCAGTATAAACAGTGAATTTCACTTTCAGCTTCAAAAATTGAATTCGGATCTTTGATTAGTTGTTGTTGTTGTTGTTTTCAGGTGACTCAGTTGAAGGCGGAGATGTTGGAAAGTCGAGGGGAAAGACAGAGAAGGCAATGGTGCTCGACGGTCACTGTCGGTGGAAATCTCCGGTGAAGACTGGGAAAGTTAATCATCTTACTGTGTCAACTACGCTGAGGAAGATTAAAAACTTGTTTGGTGAGATCTCTGAGATTTCAGTGTTCTTGAAAGTTCTTAGCTTTTTTTTTGTTTTGCAGGGATCTACAAAGTCCGGTTTGGTAGGAGAGACTTCGATTGACTTTGCTGATTATGTTGATGCAATAAAGACTTGCACTGTTTCTCTTCCTCTCCAGAATTCAAATTAAAATTCAAAAGCAATCTTGCACGTAAAGCTCACAAGATTTTTGCTTTTCTTGTCTTTTGAATGATATTTTTTTTTTGGATCTGTTGGTACTGAGATTCGAATTTTCCATTAACAGGTATCAGTATCAGTACAAAGGCAGCTAGAAAATGTGGATCTGCAAAGGTACAAGAAACTTGTCTCTGGCTGCTATTCATGAGTTTTCTCTTTGTGGTCAAGTTTATTCATTTAGTGTTCTTATTGGAAAGTCTCTGTTTCGTCTGTGTGCTCTGCAGAGTTGTGAAAGAAAACAATAGTTTGGTGAAAAGGCCACAGAGCCAAGATTTGAAGTCACAGTTGAGCACTGAAGCAGAAAATGCGTTTCTTCTTGTGATGCAACCGTTGCCTCTCGCTACTTTTTAAGCAATTCCAAACATAATGTCATTGTTTTGAACATACTTAGACAGGAAACTGAGTAAATGTCAGCATATGATCTTTGGCTTTAGAGCAAGTGTCATTCTTTCCCTATACTACGTCGCATCAAAAGACAGTCACTACCTATATTTACTCGCAATGTTAACAATGACATCTATCGTATTTTATAAGTTACTGTGTTGTGTTTGCTTCGAAACAGATACCTCTTGTCTTGTGTGTACCAAGCATGGTCATCCTTCTGATGCTTTTCTTCTTGTGACAAACTTTAATTGAAGATCAATTTTGGTCGATAGATTGTTTTGAACTCGGCCGGTCAATTTTGGTCGAATAGACAAAAATCAGTTCGGAAAGTGGGACCCATCATGTAGCTCTTGCATATATTTAATCATTTAGATGCGTTGGTTTGGTATTTCGATGCAGCAATTATATTATTCTCCATTTTCTTCTTCTGATGCAACCGCCGTTGCTTCATCACTGCTACGACCGCTTTTGATTCTTTTAGCAATAGATAGATAATGGTCGCTTACACTTTTTAAGGAAGTGACGTTGCTTCAGTGGTTATGTGTCATCCAAAAGTTTGTATAGATCTTCAGTTAAAGTCTATAGTTATGGTCATAGGTTAAATGTTGGTTTAGTTACTCTTGTTTACAGTGTGAGTCAATACAGTTGTAAGTTGTAACAACTCAACGAAGTAATACAACAAACTTTTTCTTCTCTATTTTCTGGGTTTTAGCTCCTAAGCTTGGACTCAATGCTTCCTTCACATTTCTGTTAATATTTTCTGCATAAAAAATGCCATGTGTGTTTTTTTTGGCTTTTACTAGCAACCAACGCATTTAAACTTGTTAGTACCAAATATCAAGAGAACCTCTACAACTACAAGTACCAAATATCGGTATCTTGATCCAAAAAACCTGAGGCGAATTGTCACATGAACCCCAAAGTTATAAGTAACTAGAAGGAAGAAAGTAATAACCTATAAATTAAGCATGAAAGAGTCATGGTAACGAAGATGAAACAAAAAAAAAAAAAAAAAAGAATATAAAGCTTTGACGCAAAGGAGTAAACGGAAAAAAAAAACAAAAGACGGAAATGGAAGCAACATCACTTAAAAACAGAAGAAGAGTTTGCAGCAACATAAATTAAAAACAAAAATTATCTTTGTATGCATGTAATGTGGTTTTCGTCCCATCACCGTGTTCTGTTTCGTCGGTTTAACATTTCATCTCATCCTCCACATTTCAACTACAGAGGTTCTCTTGTTAGTACCAAATATCAAGAGAACCTCCACAAGTACCAATCAGTATGTTTGCCCCCTTATAAACTTTAATTTGCTTCTCTATTATTGACCTCTGCGTTGGTAAGTACTAAGTACTAAAATAAATTTAATTCGCCTAGGAGTCTGAGATCGCCTATATTTGTTTTGTCTTTTTTTTCTTTTGGCAGGCATAAGTAAACAAAGCTTTCCCGAAGACTTGTCGTAATATGGAATGGATTTTGTCAGCCGATATATCATAATAAACGTTGATACATGCATCCAGAGGGAAATAACATCAGCATAGTAAAGGTGCGTACTCTAAGTAGTGGCAATGAACGTTGATATACAAAATACAGTGTATGCATCTTGATCTAATCGACGTAGGACGCTTGTTCCACGTGATTGTTGACCGATGTAATCGATTACTTGGAACCCACGCAGTGAGTTGACATTAGGAGTTACTCGTTTATCACGTACTCAACATCTCCTTTGTGTATCCAAAGAGCACGGACGCAGGACGCAGCGGCAGTATAGTAAGAAGAACAAATTGTGGGAATCGATTGCAATCTGAGCTGGAATAATTCATAGGCAATGGTGAAATAAACATTTATTTTATTAGCGGTTTGATTAACGAACTGAACTTTAGAGGTTTGTTCCTAAAGCGATTCACACTTGACACTTACCACTTTGTTCTCTAAGATCTGTCTCAATTTCCGTTGCTGGTTTCTTCCACAATTAATGCTCCACGAAATCCGTAAGACTTATATCATTCGGTTTCTTTCTCCGGCTCAGGTCTATTGCTAAATTCGATATGTATTGACAATTTGTTGATGAGATGTCCAAAACTCTAAAACCGTAGTAGAATCAATAGTTGATGAGGGAAAAGACCTTTTAGCTGATTTGATTTCCCCAAAAAAATTGTTTCCATCAAGAAGTAGCTCACCTAGACTAGTCGCTTGGAGTTAATGTCAAAGCGTCGGTCCGTTTTGAAACAACTTTCATTGCATGTTATTCTTATAACACATATCGGAGGCTAATTTAATGGTGTTCTTAACCGATTTAGGTGTGAGACCGGAGACGGGATAACGATCCTGAACCGGTTATAGACTTAGAACCGAACCGGAGAAAACCGGCACTGGCACAATTACGGAGTTACCTACCTCTTCGTCTTTCTTTCTACTGTCGCCGGCGGTAGTGGCCGCGATCTTCTACCACCTCTTGGGACTCCACTAGTCGATGCGAAGTCTAAATCCGATGAGAAGGTCGATTTCTCGAATTGACTTTTCCCGATCTAGTCTTTTTTCATATCTTCGTTCTTGAGCTGAAATTGTAGCTTATTGAATCCTCGGATATCTCAATATATGGGCTAATTGATCTGTGTGTTCGAAACGAAAAAAAATTGGAGTGTGGCTTCAGTGCATTGGGCAGAATCGTAGTCTTTAGAGTACTGTTGTTTCGTTTCTAATCGTTTCCCATGGATCGTTTCAAGGTCTTTAGAAACGATCTAGTAATGATTTAAATTGTTCAGTTGATTCGGATTTGATTCTGATTGTAACCACAGAAAGTTTGTGAAGTCTTCTTAGCTGCTCCTAATCTTAATCATAGTGCTTTCGTTTAACGTTTTAGACTCTTAGTCTCATGGAAGTTCATGAGTGCCTCTCCGAATGGTTTATTACTGTTTTGGTTAGGTTTTGGTATCTGTGGTGAAGCATTTGGTTATTTAGCTGGTTTGATTCTTCTTTGCAGTGTCTTTGAAGGTAGAGAATTTTGAGGGTTGAATCAAAAGTTTTCTCTGAGTCACAGGTAGGAAGACTGCTTTTACAGTTATTGGTAAAAAGGTACTTCTATTTGTGTGTTTTCTCATCAACCCTGTTTCTCAATGTGTTAAACAGTGTGATGACGGGGCCAACCGAAGTTCCTTCTCATTCAACTGAAACGATCAAGATTCCAACAGCTCATTATGAGTTTGGTGCCAATTATTTTGACCCACAGGTAATATTTGTGGGAGTCATTTGTTTCATATTCTTATGGCCATGAAGAGATGTGAAAATGATAATAGTCTTTATGCAGTTGATGCTTGTTGGAAGGGTTATGACTCATGGTAAACTAAATGCTGGAGTGAAAGCGGATTTGAAGGCAAAGGCTCAGGTAAGTGCTGCAACTTGAGAAAATATCTTTGTTGGATATCTGTTGTAGTCTTATGTTTATCGTCTTTGTTTACTTTCTTTGGCAGCTGACAAACGAGCCACACTTCTCGCACGCAGTGTTCAACTTTGCTTACATGGTGAGTGATAATCTCTGTATTTAAAGATTCCATATTCTGTAGGGTTTTGATTGGTTCCATATTCAGAACAGCTTATAATCTCTGTGTGCTGCACCTTTTGCTGAGAATTGGTTCATCAGAGTTTTTCTCAACTGTTTTGTTTTGCGTCTGTAGGGGTCCGACTACAGCGCCCTAATCGGAGCAACCTATATCCAGGTAAAGAGGACTATTGGTCCTTGCTACAGCTGCAAGTTTCTATATCTTTCTCATCTCGTGCGTAGCTCTAATGTGGAGATGAGATGCAAATCATAAGCTGTTCTGATCAACTTTGTGGTTATGGTCATGCTTGGTGTCTGTGGTTGTAGTAAAAGTTGTGTTTTGATTTGTGGACAAACATTCTTTTGATCAGTAATAGTTAACGTTTTAGTATGCTATGTGTGAGAACGTTGCGTATTCACTGGATTTTCATCACTTTTTGTACAGAGTGTGACACCTCGGCTATCTTTGGGTGGTGAAGTTTTCTGGGCTGGTGTGCCTCGAAAGTCGGGTATAGGCTATGCAGCAAGATACGAGACTGTTAAGGATAAGTCAGCTCTACACACACACACACACACAGTGCAAGTGTGTACAACTCATCCCCGTCACATTTCCACTTTCTCCGTCGAAAACAACAACCGGAGTGACAGATTCTTCGGTCCACCGAGAGCAATAAAACCCTATCAACAGTGGCTTCCTTCTTCTCCAGCTCGCTCCTTTCTTGGTAAGTTTTTCAAATTTCCAGTGGTTTTAATTCTAATATCCCGCCATTGCTTCTTATTACTCTGCTCGATTTCGCGTCTCTGGTTTTCCGAGCTGTTTAAATAGTTTCCGATTAAACTGAAGAATGGGTTCTGTTCATGCGCTTGATCCTACATTCTAGAACAATGCCAAGTCATCAACCTTATACCGTTTCCAAAAATCAACTCTTTGGTGATTCTAATTCTGATTGTTGATTTTTTTTTGCTTAGGATTCACTAAATTTTTGAATGCAACAAAGTGTTTGCTTTGTTAAATGACAATGTATTACAGCTCCAGCTTATGAATGGTTTTCATTTGGAGAATAACACCATTGTTTGTTTTTTTTTCTGCACCGCAGGCTGATTCGTATTCTGAGAAGCTCGAGTGCTGATTCTTCTGTGGAGAGTGACGACGTCGAAGGAGATCTTATGATGGATTCTGCTATTATAATTAGTTCAAGCAGTAGTTATGTAGTGATGACGAGTCACCACAGCCCGTTATGGAAGAAGTTAGAACCAGGAGGAATCCCTCATGGCTTGGTGGTATAGTTTCTTGCTTCATCTTTGTCAACTTTGTTTGTAGCTTAATGGAATGGAGTAATCAAACCATGGTTCTGTGTGTTTTCCTTGCAGGCAACAGTAGCTTTTATCAAAGGCTTGCATCTGCAGCGAACAATCAAGCTAAAGCTGGACAAACAAACCACGCTTCTTGCAATGTGGCCTCCACTTCTACTACTCGTCCAGGGGACTCTAAGCAATCTACAAAGGATGGTAACACTGTTAACTCTGGTGTGGATTATGAGAAGCATTCGTCTCAACAAGCTCCAAGAAGAAAACGCTTCCACCATCTATTAGTCTGCCTCCTGTTCCTTCCCGAAATGCTCACAGTATAAGTAGTGGCAGTGTGAGTCGCTTTGGTGGAGATTATAGTAGTCCAGCTGCAGGCAACAAGAGTACCTTTGGTGATCGTCACCGTGGAGCTCATACTGAGATAGGAATTCACCGTGGGATTAATGGTGTTAGGATCCTGCCTCCATCTATGACGCATGGAACATCTGCTTCTCCGTTACATTATGGTGGTTCAAGTGATCCAGTGCACAGGTCTTCTCTCGGTGAAGATGGGAATTCTGAGAAGGATGAGACGCTCATCTACCAGGCTGCACTACAGGTATTCATTCATCTTTGACTCAACCTTTCCTTATTTATGGACTTTCTACAGTTAGCTCTTCTTTTAAGCTTCCATGTCTCCTGCTCCTTGTACGAGCTTTACAGTTTGTTTTTGCTCTTTTGAATCTCTTGATATGATTTGTTATAGTGAACATGGAGCAATATATGTTTTGTTGATGCTTGAGTCGTACTACCAAGCTGAATCTTCTAAATATTAGACTGAATATCTTAGTAGTACAATGAACTGCATTCTTTTTCTTCATGTTTGAGGAATAATGATAATCTGGATCATTCACTTTATATATAGCTATTCATTTTCATTTTACTCTGTTGCATTATAAATATGTTGAGATCTAGGTGTTATCCATGATCGACCTGATATTAAAATGGCATAATAAGTGCGATTTTGATAAGCAAGTGCGTTTCTCCTGCAGGATCTGAATCAACCCAAGACCGAAGTCGATCTACGTCCTGGTACTCTGTCAGTTCCTCCTATGAGGCACCAGGTATTATCATGGTTTGATTTACGATGTATTGGGCCTTGGAATTGGTCTGTGTACCAGATACTATTGCTTTTTCAGGAAATTGCATTGGCGTGGATGTTTCAGAAGGAAACAGAAAGCTTGAACTGTTCGGGAGGGATATTTGCAGATGATCAGGTCCAATATAATTGAATTTCTTGCCCAACAAAATAGCTGCGATTCTATGACGTAGTTTTCTCCCTCACACTATGTAAGGTCTATTTTTGCAGGGACTTGGTAAGACAGTCTCGACAATCGCTCTTATCTTAAAGCAAAAGTTTGAGTCACAGCTAAACTCTGAGGTTTCAAGCTATTGGACCTGGATGCTGATGATGAGTCAGAAAATGCAAAGCATGACAGTGATAGTCATGTAAAGCCATAGCTCAAGATATCAAGCAACAGTGAGACCAAGGTTATGACTGCTGGTGGTAGTGATGAGAATGGCAGTTCAGATATGGAGAACGTCAACGTGAGTACTTTCAACACGGGCATTTAACCGGAAGAGTCCAGCCGCTGGTACATTAATTGTTTGTCCAGCAAGTGTTGTAAGGCAGTGGGCAAGAGAACTGGATGAGCAGGTGTCTGATGAATGCAAACTTTCTGTTTTAGTCTACCATGGTGGTAATAGGACCAAAGATCCTGTTGAATTAGCTAAATACGATGTGGTTGTGACAACTTACGCCATTGTTAGTTGTTACCAATGAAGTTCCCAAAAGGCCTTTGGTGGATGAGGATGCGAACGATGAAAAGAATACTGAAAAACGTGGTCTTGCCTCTGGTGACTCCATGAATAGTTCAAATGATACTACCATCCGGAGAGACACCACCACAAGGACTTCCTCGGATGAAGAGGTAGAGAAGCTTAAAGCCGAGGTCGTTGCTCTGGCAAGGAGAGCGGATCTTTCGGAGTTGGAGCTGCAGAGCCTGAGGAAACAAATAGTTAAAGAGACTAAATGAAGTCAGGATCTCTTGAGGGAAGTGACTAGCCTGAAGCAAGAGAGAGACTCACTGGAAGAAGATTGTGAGAGTGTTAAAAGCATCTGACAAGCGAAAAGACGAGGCCGAAATTAGGAACAAGTTGCATTTTGAAGGAAGTGATCCGCAAGTTGTTTTAGAAGCAACTCAAGAAGAGCTTGATTATGAGAAGGATCTGAATTCCAATCTACGGTTACAGTTGGAGAAGACGCAAGATTCGAACACAGAGTTGATCCTTGATGTGCAAGATCTTGAAGCAATGTTGGGGCAGAAAAGACGTAAAAGGGCAGTCGATTTTCCTAGACCAAGACCGTGCGAGATTAACACCGAAGAATCCAGGAGAAGAAGGTCTTGCACAAGTGAGACAGATGAAGAAGATGAGGATCAAAAGGCATTGGATGAGCTTGTGAAGGGACACATGGATGCGAAAGAAGCGCATGTTCTTGAGCGAAGGATCACTGATCTCTACAATGAGATAGAGATCTATAAACGAGACAAAGAAGACCTTGAGATACAGGTGGAGCAGCTTTCTCTAGATTACGAGATACTCAAGCAAGAGAATTATATAGTGTTCATTATTTAGCTAAGTCTTTTGTTGTTGATGCCAAATTTTCCTTGTAATTCAGGAACAAATCAAAATGAAGGAAAAGGCTTTGGAAGCCTCTTCGAAGATGTTCGTCGAAAAGGAAAAATATTTGATTACCGAATCAAAGAGTTGGAGACTAGACTCAACAACCAAGAGGTACAGAATTATAACCTTTACAATAATCAAAATGCATTCCTACAACCTTAAAACGATTAGCACATAACTCAGGTTTGTTTTATGAACAGACCGGAGAATCTCTGCACTGTCAAGACGCTACTGCTTTGCAAAGCAGAGAAGTATTGTCATCGAACAAGAGCTATGTGTGTTCCTGAACCAATGATACAGACATAAGAAAATAGCGATCATTTCTGATTGTGTTTTTTGTTTGTTTGCTACACAGTGATGTTGATCTTGAAGACTTGGTAAAAGATGTAACGTGGCTTAAGAGAGTAAAATGGATTGATGGAGACGGAGTTGAAGGAGATGCAAGAGAGATATTCAGAGATAAGTCTAAGATTTGCAGAAGTTGAAGCTGAGAGACAAGAATGCCAAGAGGAGCTAAGAACCAATACTCTCAGGACCGCATATTACAAGGTTGTACAAATTTCTCTTCTTTTTTATAGTATATAGTAATTACACTTGTTTGTTTTTTTTTGGGTTTCTCTACATATATATAGTATATAATAAATCAAGTGAAAAGTGGGAAAATGGTCTGTTCTGTGAGAGAAAGAGAAGTGAGTTTTGAGTTTTGACTTTCTTTTTGGGAGTATTTAAGAGAGAAAATAGTATATTTAAAGTCTGACCTGGGATCCAGTGATCAGAAAAACTGACGTCATAATTAGTTTTATCTGTTGTTAGTTACTGTTAGGCTTCCCGCATAACAGTAAGGAAAGCCTCATGAAAGCTGCTACACATTGGCATTTTTGATGCAGAAAATGCGTTTCTTCTTGTGATGCAACCGTTGCCTCTCGCTACTTTTTAAGCAATTCCAAACATAATGTCATTGTTTTGAACATACTTAGACAGGAAACTGAGTAAATGTCAGCATGTGATCTTTGACTTTAGAGCAAGTGTCATTCTACGTCGCATCAAAAAGACAGTCATTTCCTATATTTACTCGCAATGTTAACAATGACATCTATCGTACTTTATAAGTTACTGTGTTGTGTTTGCTTCGAAACAGATACCTCTTGTCTTGTGTGTACCAAGCATGGTCATCCTTGTGATGCTTTTCTTCTTGTGATGCAGCCGTTGCCTCTCGCTACTTTGAAGCAGTTCCAAACATTATGTCATTGTTTTGAAGTGACGATAGTTTCTTATTTTTGGCCTTAAATCAAAATTGTCATTTCTTCTATTTTTTTCAAAATTTTCTCACTTGGTAGTTGGTACGATCGCCTTTGATTATTTTAGCAATAGATAATTGTCGCTTTAACCTTTTTCAGAAATTGATCTTGCTTCTAAAATTTGTTCCTCTATTTCAGCATGTGATCTTTGACTTTAGAGCAAGTGTCATTCTTTCCCTCTACTACGTCGCATCAAAAATACAGTCACTTCCGATATTTTCTCGCAATGTTAACAATGACAGTTACTGTTTTGTGTTTGCTTCGAAACAGATACCTCTTGTCTTGTGTGTACCAAACATGGTCATCCTTGAAAGTCTATCAAACTTCAGTACTTCTTAATTTCTTACTCCTACTTTAGAGTTCGTTCTAGCCCAATCAGTCCTATAACAATACAACCTTCTAACAAATACTGTAGAGAGAAGAGACAAACTTTAATTGAAGATCTATACATGTTGGTCGATAGATTGTTTTGAACTCGGCCGGTCAATTTTGGTCGAATAGACAAAAATCAGTTCGGAAAGTGGGACCCATCATGTAGCTCTTGCATATCTTTAATCATTTAGATGCGTTGGTTTGGTATTTCGATGCAGCAATTATAATATTTTCTTTATTTTCTTCTTCTGATTCAACCGCCGTGGCTTCATCACTGCTACGACCGCTTTTGATTCTTTTAGCAATAGATAGATAATGGTCGCTTACACTTTTTAAGGAAGTGACGTTGCTTCAGTGGTTATGTGTCATCCAAAAGTTTGTATAGATCTTCAGTTAAGTCTATAGTTATGGTTATAGGTTAAATTTTGGTTTAGTTACTCTTGTAATGAGAACTGCGTGCCGTTTCGCTTTCCTCATTTGTTCATAGAAGCGTGGGGAGATGTTTTTAAAATTTGGATCACATAGATTTGTTCTTATTGATCACTTGCATGTTTTCCTCCTTTCTTCTAATCTCCAATGCATGTCTGGTGGTCAGCGTACGTTGAATATATTGTGACTGATATTATAACAATTTATGCATTACTATATACAACTATTGTAATTGTAAGTGTGTTAGATTTAGTTTGTCTATCTACAATTATATAGTGTCCAATAATATCAATTTCATCATAATGCTAAATTAAAAAAAAAAATCAATTGTTTTGGAATAGTAATGCTATCTGTTCTAACATAATATATCACTGATTATCTTCTTCATTACTTAGTCCATAAGTTTCGACACAGCCTATGTTGTATTATTTTATTTGTTTCTCCCCATCTATAAATATGTAGGAGATGCATGAGACACAGTGATGCTGATCTTGAAGACTTGGTAAAAGAAGTAGCGTGGCTAAGAGACCAAAATGGATTAATGGAGATGGAGTAGAAGGAGATGCAAGAGAGAGATTCAGAGATAAGTGTTAAGATTTGCAGAAGTTGAAGGTGAGAGACAACAACTTGTCATGACCCTACGTAATCTCAAGAATGCCAAGAGGAGCTAAGAACCAATACTCTCAGGACCGCATATTACAAGGTTGTACAAATTTCTCTCCTTTTTAATATATAGTAATTACATTTGTTTCCTTTTTGGGTTTCTCTGCATATATATAGTACAATAATTCAAGTGAAAAGAAAAGCTACTTTTTTTCATTTTTTGTTTTGTGAGAGAAAGAAAGGTGAGTTTTGACTTTTGACTTTTCTTTTTGGGAGTGTTTAAGAGAGAAAATAGTATATTTAAAGTCTGATTGGTAAACAAATGTTGTAAAAGTGCTTTCATGTATGTAAAACAAAGAATCCTACATCAAGTTTTTGCTCCACGAGATTTAGCTGCTTCTACATCCATAGCCTTGACTTCAAGAGAACTTTTCTTTGTACTGTTGCCTTTCTTCATCTTTCTGTAATCACATAATTTCACAGAGATTAATATTATAACATACAACAAGCCAATGAGATCGTAAAACTACAGAGCTAATGCAATGTAATATACCAAATCCTTGATATACACGTAGCATCATTCTTCTTTGATTCAATGTACTTAGCATCATTCTTCGTGAATCAAGGTTAATCCAAAAAACAATCATTAATCAATCAAAAGTCAAAAACCTTTACCTCACGAGAAAAAAGATGGCATGAAAGGCTCCAACAATTGTGCAACAAGGTGTACTAAACCAGCAGCTGTTCTTATAACAGTTATCACAACAAGGTTTATCTTCCTTGTCAAGTCTCCAAAATCTGTTTCCCTACAAGAAACAAAAAACAGAGCATAGTTTGGTTATAAGTTATATAACTTATTAGATTCAATCAGCCAAACAGAAGCTAATATATGGTTTGTTTAGTTGCCTGCAAGTTTTAAGCCCCTGCTTTAGCTTAACCTTTTCCATAGCTTCAACATACTCTTCCACCAACTCTCCAATCTTTACACTCAGTGACACCGTTGGAAGATGAGACTCAGCACCATGAGCATCAGGGACAACACAACCATAACCTGTATTCTCAGGCTTTGCTATGAAACTCAAAACTCGATATACAAAGTTTCCTAAATTGTTCACCAACTCTCCATTCAGTTTCGCTTGCAAATCATCCCATGAAAACGTTGTGTCAGACGTTTCAGGCCTGTTCGCGAGCAAGTAGTAAGTCCATACTTCGACAGGTATGTTTGTATCTTGCACATCATCATGGTAACGAAGCTGAAAAAAGAAACAGGATATAAAGCTTTGACGCAAAGGAGTGAACGGAAAGAAAAGAAAAAAAGACGGAAATGGAAGCAACATCACATAAAAACAAAAATAATCTTTGTATGCGCGCATGTAACGTGGTTTTCGTCCCATCACCGTGTTCTGTTTCGTCGGTTTAACATTTCATCTCATCCTCCACATTTCATCTAGAGAGGTTCTCTTGTTAGTGCCAAATATCAAGAGAACCTCTACAAGTACCAAAAATCAGTATGTGTTTGCCCCATTTTATAAACTTATGCTTCTCTATTATGGACCTCTGCGTTGGTAAGTACTACTAAAATAGACCTCTTCTCTATATTTGTTTTGTTTTTTTTTTTTTTGTTATTTTGGCAGGCATAAATAAGCAAAGCTTTCCCGAAGACTTGTCGTAATACAGAGTGGGTTTTGTCAGTTCGAGATATATCATAATAAACGTTGATATATGTGATGCATCCAGAGAGAGGGAAATAAAAATAAAATCAGCGTAGTAAGTACTAAGTAGTGGTAATGAACGTTGACATACGTTCATTATATGCATGTTAAAGTTAAACTCATCGACGTAGAACGTTTGTTCCACGTGTTTTTGTTGACCGATGTAATCGATTACTTGGAACCCACGCCAGAGAGTTAACATTAGGAGTGACTTGTTTATCACGTATCCAAAGAGCACGGACGCAGCGGCAGCATAGTACGTAGAGCAAGCAAGTAGTGATAATATCTCAAAAGCATAAAATACAACAAGTCCAAAAGACGTCCGATGCCATGTAAAGACATCCAAAAAGCTCCAAGTTTATAACAGAGCAAAGCAAGGAAATGCCATGTAAAGTTTTGAGCACGGCAACATTTGATAAACTTAAGCGGTATCCTGAGGGTGATTATTACCAGTTGCCCCAGGCTGAGAAACACTGGCAGGAGAAGGATCGTCACTCTCAAAGACAGTGAGGGCATCAGGAAACACAGGAGGTTCCTTTTGGTAAGCTTTTGCGTTTAGGACCATATACTCTCTGTAGTTGCGCTCAGCCTTCGCTGCATCCCATTTAGGTGCACCCCCTGATTTAAAATCTTTTATGAGCCTCCATTCGGTTGCAATGGTTGCACAACATGAAGCCAGGTCCACTCGGTCCTCGACATTATCCCGCTCTCGTTGCAAGTCTTTCTCAAGGCTCTCTACACGGGATGTGAGAACATCCTTCTCAGTATTCAAAGTCACTAACTGAGCATCCCTCTCAGAGACAGCAGCGCTGAGCTCCTCCGCTCGTTTAGTTGCGGAAGCAAAATCCAACCTCAAGGCAGAAATGACCTCAGAGTCTTTCATCTTGTTCTCTTCAGCCAGGGCAAGTTGCGTTTCTGCAAACCGGCAGAGAGAAGCCGTCTAGAAAAAGAAGACGGTCACGACACAGTGGTAGACGCGAAACAGAAACAGAAACAGAAACGGGAGGGAGTTGTGCTTATTATTACCTTAATGAGGGCAGCTTGGGCTTGGGGAAAGATGACTGATATTCCAAGTTTTTCAAAGCCCTCAACATCCCGACCAAACGCATTAGCATTAAGCTGATCAACTATAGGAGCGTGTCCAGAAGGAGCAGCGTGATCAGAAACCAGAAGCCCTCCACCAGTGGCAGTCTTCTTTGGTTGTTTTGGAGGACCAGTAACCAACTCAGCAGAAGCTGAGCCGCGTTTCAAAGAAGTTCTCCCTTTTCCAGTGACTGAAGGAGGCTCAGGAGTGACGACTGACGAAGACCCACGACCCGTGACAATACGATTGAGCCTCTCCAAAGCTTTCATGCCATCTATTCCAACGAATCCAGACATCTTAGCACCTGCAAAGAGATGGTCAGCAAGAACATGTTAACATGGACGAAAGAGTGACAACAACAAGAAGAAGAAGGTAATTTGGCTGATATTAGATTTTACCCCAAATCGTAGATTTCTCAAGAGAGTAGGCGGCAGTCAAGACTTGAACGCTACGTAGGTGAGGAGGATGTCCGGATACTCTGGAAGCACCCTGTTTTCCCGCCGCACACTGTTTGGTTATGGATTTGGATATGGATGTGAGATCTGCAACAATGGAGAGAGAATAATGCAACATGGAGTCAGGAAAACAGAAGTAACAATCAAAATTAGTTATTGGTCTTCTACCTCTTAAACACCAAGTAATAGGGAAAGGAGGATTGGGTCCCACATTCATGAAAAGGTATCTCATTTTCCAATCCTTCTCATAACAAGCTCTCCTTTTCTCGTTTGCTATTAAGTCAAATACCAGAGGGCAACGGCCGGGGCGTTTACGGAGTACACACCTAATGGCATCTTGACCATGAGCTCTAAGATAGTGGACATAGAAGACTTCTTTCACTCCCAACTTTTCAGAATGCAACTCCCCAAAAACTTGAATAGCAGTTAAGACCCTCCATGCGGTAGGATTTAACTGGCTGGGAGAGATATTGAAGAACGTAGCCACTTGAGCTATTAGAGAAGGTATGGTTTCCCGCAGACCCAAGGCAAAGTAAGCTTCATAAACCGTAATCTCGTTTGGGCCTGGACTGTCAGCCCTCTCATTCTCCTCAGGAATCCTAAGCATCACCGATAGAGGAATGCTATACGCCTTTCGGATCCTGTTTAAGTCCCCCGTCTTCAGAATTGACATGGGGTTTACTTCGAAAGGGAGAGGACTAGGGCCTACCACCTCTAAGTCGCTATTTTTAGGGCCTACCACCTCTAAGTCGCTATTTTTAGGGCTATCCCTTAAACCCCTCGTAAAAATAGCAAATGGCCTAACACTCGGTGGTTGTTCTCTATATTGTTCCAAGAACCCAGGGTCAAAGCAAGGCAGAGGAGGAGAATCACAACTCCTTTTATTTTCAGACTCATCATCAGACGTGTCTATAGATATAACGCTCGGGTTATCTAATCCTAACCGAGCAGAAGCAGCCATCATATGGTTCCAAAGAAAGAAAACAAAGAATACAAACTTGCAACTCACCCAAGAAAAACAGAACCAAAAGTCTCCAACTCGTGTGTTGTCACTTGTCACGGACGAAGCAAGCCTGCAAAATTAAACAAACGACTACAAAGGTCAGCCATAGCCACCCAGTTTGGTGTATGAAGAAGACTTTTGTACTCTAATAAAGCATGACGGATTTTGAAAACAGAGACCATAAGAAAAACAGAACCAACTTTGCAATAAGTGAGATGCGTAAGAAAATTGTTACACTTGCAGTTAACATATACTAACCAGATGCCATTTATGTTTTACCCTGCGTCGTTTTCTCTGATTAAGAAAGAATCTTACTGCTGCTTGAGAGTTGAATAGTAAATCTTGCTTACGGTTTGTGTGTTGTAAAAAGTGTGGTTGTGAGGAGGACGACTCCTGTAGTAATAAGAGAGTACACTTGACAGTAAGTAAGCAGTAAACTGATAATATTGATTAGGCCTTATTCAGGTGGGTAGTCAGGCCCATATTTCCCAATTGTCAAGTGCCCAATCACTAAACCTATCTAAACCAACCAACACAATCCCGGTTCAGTTTCGATAAGAACACAAACAGCATGTCGATAAGATTCGGACCCCTAATTCTTGGTGGATCAATCGCCTCTTGCTGGAAACGACGATAAATCCGAGACTAGAGTGCCGTTTCTGTTGTACGTGCCCAACCAAACCATCAACTAGACAGTCACTCACAAGACTCAAACCGAGTCTGGTTCGATTTTAAATGATCTTCTCTTTGTTTCGGTTCTCATATTTGTCTTTCTGGAATCTGGGCCTAATGGGCTGCTGTCTCTCTGTTTTAATTTAAGGAAGGGTATTTATCAAAGTCTATGATTCAAATCTAAACGGCGACCAAAGCATCTAGCCGCCGCTCGCTCGCTCGCATCCGCCGTAATTTCGAAGCGCACAGCCTTGAATCTTGATTGAGGAGGAGGGAGAGGATGGGGAGGCCAACGGCCCGTCATAACGGCTCGGGGTCGGCACGTCCGTACATACCAGAGAGCAAATACGGTGTAAGTCCTTCGATCCAATTGTGACTGACGTAGTTTGTCTTCTTTTCGATCCAATTGGGAGGGATCTCGCTTGCTTTGCTTATTTTAGGTTGTTATTCGGAATTCGGAAATTTAACAAATTCTCTTTCTTTCTTGTATGCTTTTATTGATGGGTCTTCTAGCCTTTCGACGGCAAGGGTAAACCACAACTTATTGAAGAGATCTGGGATCCTAATGATCCTCGTTCAAGTCCTTGCTTATTCAAACTTTATGCATTGCTGGGCCTTCATCGTTACAATTTGTACGAGGTAAAATCATTATAAACTCTTCTTTCATCATTAACAATTTCACATCCACATTAAATAATGAAAAACAATTTCTTCAGGGGACAAACTATGCGCTCAGTCACATAGAGAAATACTACAAGGAAGGAGTATATGCCTGTAAAACCTTGTACATAACTTGTGTTGCAAGCGATCCAGCAAACAATTCGCCTCAGGTATTTTGGATCAAAATCTGGGAAGGACAATGTGGTGTACTAGATTTGACGTGCGCTATTGCTGAACCTCGAGGTAACAACATTTCTTGGTGCATTCTTTTAACTCTTCTTCTGTATTTATTAATTATTACTAAATTGCCGATTTTGAAAATCTTGTATCTATAGATGGTCCCAAGACAGGATCAGTGAGTCGTTTCCCTGACTTCAGACACAGTTTCCCTCAGTGGCCGTCAGACAATTCTTTCAGTGATACAAAGCGGTTTTACGTGGTAATTAAGATTCAGACAACACTTTTGCATGTGTTTTGCTTCCTCTCATCAACTAGTAGCAGTGATAATGATTCTCTTTTTTTGACAGGTGAAGAAGTCAGAGCTTCAGGACGATGCCAATGACTGGATTCGTCTATATGTCGAACTTGCGATTGCCATATACCCTTCTCTTGACTGGGAAGATGATGATCTGTCCAACTTGGAGATTGTGGATGTGGCTATAGAATCTACGCAAGATCCAAGCGAGGGACTCAATGCTAAAAATGCAACTGTCTACATACGTTTCAGGGACCCGAGCGAGGCTAGGGTTGGTATGGAAGTTGATCGAGTTGCTATGGTCAGAAGAAGCTATGACGAGGAGTCGGGATGGTTCAATCTCACGGGTTACTGTAGGGCTTCGTCAGAAACTGAGCCAGATGAGGACTTTGCCAAATTGGCTAAGAGCAGACGAGACTATGATGAGAGACGGCTCAATCTCACGAGTGAGAGCGAGAGCGACTGTGAGAGTGCGAGTAAATAAAGAATGATGTGAGACATTCTTCTTGCTTTTACAAGTTTAAGTTTTTGCTTTTCATTTGTTTTCTTGTTTGCTTCTTTTATAAACACTTCTGTTAGACTTTGATAGAAAAAAACAAAAATACTTGCGTTAGACGCTAGCTGCGGTAAGTGCATGTTGTTGGTGCAAAAAGCAAATTTTATTTTCAAAACCGGATATGAGTATATGACTCCACATTATCCATGAATGTACGATGCTCGTCGTATCTTGAACAGAAAAACAAGAAAAAGTAGTGATATGCAAGGAGGAGAGAGAGAGAGAGAGAGAGAGAGAGAGAGAGAGAGAGAGAGAGAGAGAGAGAGAGAGAGAGAGAGAGAGAGAGAGAGAGACAACAAATCTAACATTTGTAGTAATTTGTAGAATGAGGCTAGGTAATATTCTTTCATCTTCTGATTAAAGTTCTTAAGAGATTGATGGTCTCCGAGTTTATCACAATCCTTAACACTAACTGACCCCCACAACTCAAGAAAACCGTTTCTAATTTTGTTGATGGGATCTCCATTTCATGGACTACTATATTTGATTATTTGCCAATGGGTAGGGGACTAGTGGAATGTTTAGTTGCTATGGACCCAACTAGTTTGTTCTCTCTAAGGGTCTGACTGGTTTAAACGCTGCGGTTGCGGGAGTTTGCGGTTGCGGGAGTTTGCGGAAGCGGGAGTTTGCGATTAAAAGCTGTTTGTACGACTGGTATAGCAATTCATAGCGGTTGCGTTTGCGGGATATTTTTGACTGGTTAACCAGCGGGTGCAAGAGCGGTTTAACCAAAAGTTACTAAAATAAACATAATATATAATTATTTAAAACATTTATAACCATATTATTAATAGATTTTTTTTATAAATATATTCTTTGATTAATTTTTAATTTGAAAACTACCCTTATTTTTTTGGTTTTGAAAAATACACTTTTTATATGTGAAATGATTATTCCTAATTTGAACTTTTTAACTTAATAAAAACGAAATTCAAATAAGAAATATAAAATATTAAGATTTGATAATAATTTTGTATCATTTTAACATACTAAACCATCCTAATTACCTGTTTAGATTTTTTTTTAAAAATCAATAAAAATATAAGGTTATTTATATAAAGTTTAAATGGGGTGAGATTAAAGTTGTTTATATAAAGTTTCAAAAATATTTAAATTTTCTAAAGATAAACATTAAAAATGAAAGATATATTTCTCCATTTTTAAATTTTTAATAATTCATAAACTTTAAAATATGTAAAGTTTTAATTTATTTAAAGTTTCATTTGGTTGGAATGTGTATGAGGTTAAGTTGTTTACATAAAGGTCCAAAATATTAAAATTTGTTTCAATTTAACATATACTGTATTTATTGAAAAAAAACTTATTAATTTATTATTTTTTTAATTTTCGTTTTTAATTTGTAATTATTTATTATTTTTTGTTTAAATCACGTCAAAACAGACTTTTTACATTAAAAGTGTATTTTTCAAAACAGAAAAAATTTATGGTATTTTCGAAATTTTTAAACATAATTAGGTATTTTTCAAAAAAAATATACCCTTATTCCAAATTTGGAGATATTATGTTTTTTTTTTTTTTTTCAAACCGCAACCGCCCGCAACCGCAAACGCTTGCGGAAAGGAGCTTTTGATTTCCAGCGATATAGAGCGGTACAGAGTGGTATAGAGCGGTTCAAAGCGGTTGTCGTGATTGTTATAAAACGCCAAGAACCGCTACGAACCGCAAACGCTGCGTTTGCGGGTGGTAGCGGGAGAACCAATCATCACCTAAGTCTAAAAAACGTTTTGGCAAATTGATTTTGATGGTCTAATTTGCTAGACCACAAGGTAAATATGTACATTGTTCATTTAAATACAACAAACCTTTGTAAATTATATATATTTTTTTATCACGTTCGTACTTTTCCGTTCTACAAGTAAACATTGATTTATCAGATTATTACTGTATTAACATTAGATACTTTTGTTTAACCATTTTACCAAAATCAAATACTAAATAATCATGATCATGATTGCCACACACTCCAAAACAAAAAAAATCATGATTATGATGTGTCATGGTAAGAAATCTATATCAATCTTCAAAATCTCCTTCTCTCTGCTTCGTCTTCACGAGTAGAGCCATGAACACTCTCGTTGCTCAGTTACAGAGGCAATTTCGTGATTACACTATTTCTCTCTATCACCAGGTTTTTTGTTTTTTTTTTCCCGGAAATTTACAGATAATTCAGTAAATTTAGCTTCTGAGAAGCTTTATTTTGGGGTTTGTGTAGGGATTTCTTGATGATCAACTCACTGAATTGAAAAAGCTGCAAGAGGAATTTAGTCCTGATTTTGTGGCTGAGGTTGTTACTCTGTTCTTTGAAGACTGAGAAACTTAACAGTAACATGGCCAGAGCTTTGTAAGTATTATTCTTTTCTTTTGACTAAATTATCCTCAAGAAGCATTATATGGTTTAGTAATTGTTCATGTGTATGTATAATGTATTCAGAGATCAGACAGCTGGAAATGTAGATTTCAATCTGGTTGGTTCTAGTATTCATCAACTCAAAGGTAGTAGCTCAAGGTATGTAGCATGCTCTCTTTGATCCGCTAATCTCGTACTTAATTAGTCTTAATTAATAGCTCTGTTTTTTGTTTGTTTCTATGAAGTGTTGGTGCCAAGAGAGTCAAAGGTCTTTGTGTTACCTTCAAGGAGTGTTGCGACTCTCAAAACTATGAAGTGTGAGCTCATTTCAGATTTTCTTCTTACGAATGTTATTGGAGGGGAACAATCTTTGTTTATTGGTGTGTGAGATGTTTGCAGCAGGTGGATATTGAGTACAAGTCGTTAAAGGCAAAGCTTCAAGATTTGCTTAACGTGAGTGGAAAGCTATGTGAAATTATGAAGATTCAGAGTCTTTTTTTTTTCTTTGGATTGGTGAATGATTCTTGTGTTGTTGTGTTGCAGCTTGAGCCCGGTGTAAGCCCGACCTAGATGTAAGGGCCCAATTGAAGCCCAAAAATGAGGATATAAATATACTCGCTGTGTACAAACTTAAAACGGACTAAATGCATCAGTCCCAAAGTTTCGAAGCACAGCCTTGATTGAGGAGAAGGCAGAGGATGGGGAGGTGGCCAACGGTCCGTTCGGCACGTCGGACACGTCCGTGCATACCAGAGAGTAGATACGGTGTAATTCTTTCGATCCAATTGTGACTGACTTAGTTTGTCTTCTTTTCGATCCAATTGTCACACACCCTGGGATGAATCTCGCTTGCTTTGCTTATTTTGGTTAGTTAAATCGTAATTCGGAAATTTAACAAATTCTTTTTCTTTCTTGTATGCTTTTATTGATGAATCTTCTAGCCTTTCGAGGGCAAGGGTAAAGCACAACTTATTGAAGAGATCTGGGATGATAATGATCCTCATTCAAGTCCTTGCTTATTCAAACTTTATGCATTGCTGGGCCTTCATCGTTACAATTTGTACGAGGTAAAATCATTATAAACTCTTCTTTCATCATTTACAATTTCACCATCCACATTAAATAATGAGAAACAATTTCTTCAGGGGAAAAACTATGCGCTCAGTCACATAGAGAAATACTATAAGGAAGGAGTATATGCCTGTAAAACCTTGTACATAACTTGTGTTGCAAGCGATCCAGCAAACGATTCGCCTCAGGTATTTTGGATCAAAATCGCGGAACGACAATGTGGTGTACTAGATTTGACGTGCTCTATTGCTGAACCTCGAGGTAACAACATTTCTTGGTGCATACTTTAACTCTTCTTCTGTATATAACTATTACTAAATTGCCGATTTTGAAAATCTTGTATCTATAGATGGTCCCAAGACAGGATCAGTGAGTCGTTTCCCTGACTTCAGACGCAGTTTCCCTGAGTGGCCGTCAGACAATTCTTTCAGTGATACAAAGCGGTTTTACGTGGTAATTAAGATTCAGACAACACTTTTGCATGTGTTTTGCTTCCTCTCATCAACTAGTAGCAGTGATAATGATTCTCTTTTTTTCACAGGTGAAGAAATCAGAGCTTCAGGACGATGCCAATGACTGGATTCGTCTATATGTCGAACTTGCGATTGCCATATACCCTTCTCTTGACTGGGAAGATGATGATCTGTCCAACTTGGAGATTGTGGATGTGGCTATAGAATCTACGCAAGGTCCAAGCGAGGGACTCAATGCTAAAAATGCAACTGTCTACATACGTTTCAGGGACCCGAGCGAGGCTAGGGTTGGTATGGAAGTTGATCGAGTTGCTATGGTCAGAAGAAGCTATGACGAGGAGTCGGGATGGTTCAATCTCACGGGTTACTGTAGGGCTTCGTCGGAAACTGAGCCAGATGAGGACTTTTCCCAAATTGCTAAGTCCAGACGAGACTATGATGAGAGTCGGCTCAAGCTCACGAGTGAGAGCGAGAGCGACTGTGAGAGTGTGAGTGAACAAAGAAGGATGTGAGACAGTCTTCTTGCTTTTACAAGTTTAAGTTTTTGCTTTTCATTTGTTTTATTGTTTTCTTCTTTTATAAACTCTTCTGTTAGACTTTGATAGCAAAAACAAAATTACTTCCGTTAGACGCTAGCTGCGGTAGTGCATGTTCTTGGGATGATCTGTAACTGTAAGAATCTCTTAATTGGAATTAAAATTTTCAAGTCAAGAAATTCAGGGAAAAAAATTCGCTTTCATTTCTATATCAAACTTCAAATCTCATTCTCTCTGCTTCATTTTCAGAGTAGAGCCATGAACACTCTCGTTGCTCAGTACATCTATGTAATACTTGTAGTTATAAGATTTAGCTACTAACAAAACTCAAATCATTCTTCTAAAAGTTAATCCTTCCATTAAAAGTCTGGCCAAAACCCCAAGTCTTGGGTGCCACGTTAACGAAATCCTTAGTAACCCCATCACTGGTCGTAACCCTGAATGATAATTGTTGTCCGGTCAACACAACATTGGTGGTCCAGTGCTGTCCCCAGTTCTTCCTCATCGTAATCCATCCGGTCTTGTTTCCTTTAACCTGCACGGCCTTAATATCTCCGGCTCCTCCTACGTTGTACGGCAAGATCATCAAGAAATAAGGGTTTCCCGTGATTTCGAACCTGACACCACCTTTTTTCACACAAGGAACACGTCTGTATCTAACCGGAACAACCCCAGCTTTGTACTGGGCAATCTTGAGGAACATTGCTAGGGAGAGATCAAAATGTTTTTGTGGTGGGTTGCACCAAATGTCATGGGTTTTGGTGTAATTTGGTGGACAGAAATTTGTAGCTGTGATCTTGATGGATCCGGGCAAACACCATTGTGGGTCATGTGCACACGTGATCTCGTAACAAGCCCCACAAGTGTACCCGTCGTTGAAGAGCGCCGTGCTCAACGCCGCCGTGGCTAGACCATAGCCTTGTCTGAATAGATTACCATATCCACAAGCTCCCTCTATTGAATATATCATGAATAAAGTGAGCATGTAATATAACTAATAAAGTTTAATAGATTCTAATGGCTTTGGTTTTGATTGTTACTAATATTATAAAGAGTATACGTATTAAAATACTAGGAGAGAACCCGCGCAATGCGCGGGTTTATTAAACCAAATATTTTTAATTTAATTATTCAGAACATTAGATTCGAATATATCATTTGTTTTTTACTCGAATATATTAGATTCTGTAAGTTTTGCATTTTGTTTTTTTTCATATAGTTTTAAAATTTAGTTGTTATTTACGTGAAATCTTATATAGACTCATAGTGAATAGTTTCATATGTTTTTTGTTCTTTTATACAATAATTTATCGACTGGAGTTGAGTTCTTCTAATTTTCCTTATACTAACAATCATTATAGATTGATTATTATCCTACAGACTCATAGATAATAATAATTGCAACCCTTTTTAAAAGGAAATGAAATGAGCTAATTAGCCAGTAAGCCCATTTAAAGCTACCATGGAAACGAAGAGGTCCGATAAATAATCAAGCCATCAAAACGAACAGCATTACACATAATTTTTTTTTTTTTTTTTACGAAAACGACGTCGTTTTGGTGTAAGACGAAAAAAAAAATAAAGCGCAAAACGACGTCGTTTTGGTGTAAGACGAAAAAAAAAATAAAGCGCAAAACGACGTCGTTTTGGTGTTAGGCGAAAAAAAAAAAAAAAAAGAGAGTGCCACGTGTCAAAGACTTGAGAGTGTCCAAGCCTTATTAGTTATGTAGATTTGTAACTAAAAACTTACGTTGGGTTTCTCCACCATGGATGTCACCGTAAAATGTGGCTCGTGCGTCATACCATTCACCATCGAGTGAGTCAGTTCCAGGTGCCTCGGCTACATCACCAGTCGGTGCCTCGGCTACTTGACCATAAATCATGGGCGCAAACCATATTGCCATAATTATCATCAAAATTTTTGTATACATCATTGGTTCCAAGAGTTTCATGCTTTTTGTTTTTCGCTTTTTCAAAGATACTTTGTTAATTAACCTTGACTGATGATAAATATTAACGAGATGTGTGTTTATATAGCGTAGAGAAATAGAACTGAGTAGGATAATTCGTGTAAATATGTTTACAAATATTTTGAAATGTCATATATATTTTGGTCAAACAAATATTGCATAACTATACTTAATAGTCACTGTATTCAAGTTTTTGTAGTCAATATTTATCCTGATAAGCGATAACTTTGCCAATATGTTGATAGGTTTTCAAAGTATACTTTTCTAGTTAAAGTACTTTATTTCTTCTATTCTATTCAAATCTTTCCATTATGTTCAAAAGATGTTGATTGACTAATATTTTTTTTATGTTGATCTTACCATCATGGAAAGTTTCTTCATTGGTCAAGACTGACTTCGAACATTATGTGATCTTAGCATTTTGAGAAGTTTATTCATACTACAAAGATTTTATGAGAAATACCAGTAAATTGTAAGTTGTACTTGTCTAAATACAAAATTAGCATATTCTATTTGGTTAACCTAGTCTAAACTTTATTATAAATACAGTAATGTTTTTTTATATAAACTAATAAACATGATAGCAATTCCGAATGACGTTAATTAGTGCAAAGAAGAAAAAAATGTGATAAATTAAATAATAAGATGGTTATTTTGAGAAATTATATGTAAATAGATATTCCCAACAATATCATATAATGATAAATTGTATAAATTTATGCATACGTAATAAGACAATGTCCGGTGGAAAAAAGAGGCCACATATGCGAAGTTTCATCATCCAAAGATGATGAAACTCAAATATATCCCCAAAGTTTCAAATATTGTTAAGTCAAGTTGTATTCTTTGTTTAAGCTATTGTATGAACATGTATTTGGCGTGAGTCAATAAAGAAAACGTTAAAAATATATTATAACAAAAGAATCTACATCTATACTATTGAGACATTCTTGGTGTCGGTGGTTTGAAATCACAGAAAATGAGAAATTAAACGGCAGAGAATGTCATGTATCAATCATGAATGAGATTCCATTTTCACGGCCTAAATCAATTCTTCTCACTTTCTTTTTTTTTTTTTTTTTTTTTTTTCCATCTGAAGTTATATTGATTTACTTAAAAGTTTCAGCGTTACACGCTAACCAAAATCACTAAACACTACCAAAAAGCTTAAGATCTAGGACAATCCTACAATCCTCTCTAACTACTCAAAACAAGGAGAGAGTAGAGGCACGGAGCACAAGAGACAAAGAAACAAAAAGGGACTTGGCTTGAAACAGAGGGTCAGACTCTCTCATGAGCAAAGATGTTATTCAACCAAGAGGGACTACCCGTCGCAACGTAGGAATGGCGAAGATCACCTCTGATAACACTTTGGCTATGAGGAAAGCCCCTCTATTAGCACATCTCGGTTCCAGCTCAACTTTCAGACTCTCAAAACAGGATATCACCGAAGAAAACTCCAACGCTTGCTTCTTAAAAGAGGGCCACGCTTTTGGTCTTTCCAAAACCCCACACACCACCGAATCTTCCGCGGCCAAAACCACCGTCGATACACCATGGGTCCTCAAACTTTCCAAAGCCCATAAAACACCTAAGAAGTTACAGTCGAGTTTGCTGTTAACATTAGCAAAAGCTCTTCTACTATGCAACAAAACAGACCCAGACCCATCACGAATGACCCAAGCCATTCCTCCTTTACTTGACCCTTTCTCCCAGTAGCAACCAACGTTGCACTTCAACCAGGGGACCGGTGGAGGTCTCCACCTTTTAACTTCACTCTGATGCAAGACCGGAGCCAGAATCTCACAACTTTTATCAACTTCCTGAGCCAAAAACCATAGCTCTGCTTCTTCCGTAATCTTCTCCATCGTGGCCATAGCGTTGAATTGATGGCTTTGGAAGGCAAGATCATTCCGGTTTTTCCAAAGGAACCAAATTACCCATGGAAGCCTTCTTCTTACTTCTTGTGGCAGCTCTTCATTCTTTCTCTGCTCCAAAAGGTAACTGATATTCGCATAGACAGACTCTGAAAAACCTGACTTGGGCATAGGTAGAATGCTAAGAGCCCACACTTGTCTTGAGAATGAGCAAGTAAAGAAAAGGTGATTTATGGATTCACCATCTAAGCCACATGCTTGACATACATTCTGAACCTTCATTCCTCTTTCTTCCATCTTGTCTCCAACTGCAATTCCTCCACATAGGGCCTTCCATAAGAAAATTCTAATTTTCTGAGTAGTAGGGATGATCCACACTTCCGATTTGAGAATATTTAGAGAAGGTTTCATCACAGCCTCTCTCTGTATATCCGCTTGGTTGATCTTTGAAGCTAGCCAGTACCCTGATTTAACAGAATACTCACCACTTTGATTGTGCATCCAGACCCAAAAATCTTCACTTTCTGTTACCGGTTGGAACTCTAGAACCCTCCGCATATCTTCCTCAAAGAATATATCCCCCAATTTGGCCAAATCCCATCGTTTTGAGTAGGGGTCTATGAGATCCTTGGCTAAGAGATTTACCTGAAACGGATTTGTTAATCTCCAAAGGGCTCTTAAGCCTTCATCCACAATCCAGGGGTCAAACCAAACTCTTAGCGTGTTTCCATTACCCACTCGCTTTCTCAAACCCTTCACCAACAGCTCTCTTCCCCAAATGATACTTCTCCAAGCATAAGATGGACGGCTTCCTATGATTGATTCCAGGAAAGAGGTCGAACTAAAATATCTGCTTTTAAGAAATTTCACCAATAAACTTTCTGGCTCCTGAAGCACCTTCCACGCTTGTTTAGCTAACAGGGCCTGGTTGAAATCTTCTATATCTCTGAACCCCATTCCTCCCATATGTTTTGGGAGACACATCCTTTCCCAACTAATCCAATGTGTCTTTCTCTTGTCTTCCTCTGAGTTCCACCAGAAACTAGCCATGGCACTTCTCACCTTTGCACATAAACCTTTAGGAAGTTTGAAACAAGACATAGCATAGACTGGCATCGCCGATATAACTGATTTGAGCAGAATTTCTTTACCTCCCGGAGACAAAATCCGTGAATACCAGTTTGAGATCTGCTTCTGCACACCGTCATTAATATAGCTCAGGAGATCAATCTTGGATCCACTAAAACATTCCGGTAAACCAAGGTAAGTACCGGACCCTCCTTCTCTTGAAATACCCAATTCTGCTTTGATCCTTAACTTTTGATCCTTGGCTATCTTAGCTCCAAAAGTGATTGAAGACTTACTGGGATTAACCGTTTGACCCGTTGCTTCACCATAGATCTTAAGAGTGCCCTTCAGTGCAAAACATTGCTGGTCAGTAGCCTTACACATGAACAAACTGTCGTCCGCAAAAAGAAGATGATGGATGGCCGGACCCTCTTCACTAAATCTTATTCCTTCAATTAGCCCAAGTCTTTCTGCTCTGTTTAAAAGATGAGTCAAACCCTCAGTACACAGCACAAAAAGAAAGGGAGAGAGAGGATCTCCCTCTCTCAGCCCTCTCTGCGGCGTTATAATCCCATGCGGCTGATCATTTATCAGAACCGAGAAAGAGACCGACGATACACAAAACATTACCCACTCCACCCATCGTTGGTGGAACCCAAGCGCTTCTAACAGAGATCTCAGGTACGACCACTCCACTCTGTCATAAGCCTTTGACATGTCAGATTTCAGTGCCATATACTCTTCCGACACCACTGGATGAGTACGAAGAACATGGATCACTTCATGTGCAATAATTATATTGTCCGAGATCAATCTATCCGCCACAAACGCAGACTGATTTACTGAAAACAATCTTGTGAAGAATAGGTTGCAGTCTCCTAACCAAAATCTTCGACACTACTTTATACAGGACCGAGCAGAGACTAATAGGCCTTAGATCTGTCATCTTTGTTGCATCAGGAATTTTCGGTAGCAAACAAAGGTGGGTAAAGTTCCATTCTCTCGGAAACACCCCAGATATAAAGAAACTACGAATCTCATTTGATACCTGAACTCCAATTGTACTCCAATAGTGCTGAAAGAAGAGATCAGTCATCCCATCATGACCTGGTGCACTCGACGCCTTGATTGAGAAAACAGCCTCTTTTATCTCTGCATCTGTGACTACCCTTATCAAGGCATCGTTCATCCTCTCTGATATTCTAGGCTCAAAATCTGCAAACCATTCCGTGAAATTGGTAGGGTTAGACGAGGAAAATAACTCCTTGAAGTACACCGTAGCTACCTCTCCTTTCGCTGCTTCTGACTTTTGGGCCACTCCGTTTTCATCCAAGAGAAACTCCAAATTCTTTTTTGTTTCTCGCACACTTTACTGATTCGTGAAAGAATTTGGAGTTGCGATCCCCTGATCTCAACCATCTCTGTCTGCTTTTTGTCGCCAAAACAGCTCATCTTCCTTATAAGCCATAACGAGTTCTCTTTTCTGGTAGCGAAGCCTTTTGGTCGACGGGAAAAAACTGGACTGTTCCTCTTCCAAGTTGATCTCCAGCTGATGAAGCCTGTCCCTCGCATTCATATTATGATTCTTCTTCCATTTACTTAGAGATTTCCTGCAATTTCTCAATCTCTCAGCAACGGAAACCACAGTAGATCTTTCTCTTTTATTCCACGCTCGACAGACTGACTCTTTGACCAAGGGTTGAAACAGGAAGCGCTTGTCAAACCTGAATTGTCCTCGATAAGTTTCTTAAGAAGATTGGAGACTCACCAAAACAGGCCGATGATCCGATCCTCTCTTGTCTAAGAATATTTCATTCGAGGCAGGGAACATGGATAGCCATTCCTTGTTTCCAAAACATCTGTCCAATCTACTTTGAATCCACCAAGTGTGTCTCATTCCTCCCCAGGTAAACATGTTCCCTTTACTTGACAGTTCAGTCATCCCACAATCAGAAAGCATGTTTGCGAAAGCTTCAAATGATTTGACACTTTTTCTCGGACCACCCAACTTTTCACCATTATGAATGATTTCGTTAAAATCACCCAACATACACCAGCTCTCCTTTCTATTTACACTAATCTGCAGTAGCTGATCCCACACAGCCTCTCTTTTACTTCTGTCAGGATCTCCATATACACAGGAGAAAAAGAAGGACAACTCACTAAACTGTACACGTAGATCCATCAAATTCTTATTCACAATAGCAACTCAATATCTACACCCTTTTTACAGAACAGAGCAAGCCCTCTACACTTACCAACCGGCTCCACCGTATGTACTCTATCATACCCCAACCACTCTTGCAAATCAACCAAAACGTTTCTACAATTCATCGTTTCCATCAAAAACATCACCTCCGGGAAATGCTTTTGCCGCAGCTCCTTGAAGCGTGGAATTGCCAAGTCTTGAGGCCGCCCCAGGCCTTGACAATTCCAAGAAACAATGCTCACTTTTTTAAGGTTGTCTTTTTTGGACAACTAATAAATTATTCTTCTCTCCCTTTATGGAAAAGTTTTGAGTATATTTCTTTATTGAGTTTTGTCCAAAAAGTGATGATCTGTAACTGTAATGAATCTCTTTATTGGGATTGGAATTTTCAAGTCCAGAAATTCTCTTTTAAAATCTATATCACACTTCAAATCTCATTCTCTCTGCTTAATCTTCACGAGTAAAGCCATGAACACTCTCGTAGCCAGTTACAGAGACAATTTCGTGATTACACCATTTCTCTCTATCACCAGGTTTTTTGTTTTTTTTTTCCCCGGAAATTTACAGATAATTCAGTAAATTTAGCTTCTGAGAAGCTTTATTTTGGGTTTGTGTAGGGATTTCTTGATGATCAATTCACTGAATTGAAAAAGCTGCAAGATGAATGTAGTCCTGATTTTGTAGCTGAGGTTGTTTCTCTGTTCTTTGAAGACTGTGAGAAACTTATCAGTAACATGGCCAGAGCTTTGTAAGTATTTTACTTTTCTTTCGACTAATTAATTATCCTTAAGAAGCATTATATGGTTTAGTAATTGTTCATGTGTATGTATTTAGAGATCAGTCTGCAGGAAATGTAGATTTCAATCTGGTAGGTTCTAGTATTCATCAACTCAAAGGTAGTAGCTCAAGGTATGTAGCATGCTCTCTTTGATCCGCTGATCTCGGACTTAATTAGTCTTAATTAAGATATATTTTTTTTATGTTTCTATGAAGTGTTGGTGCCAAGAGAGTCAAAGGTCTTTGTGTTATTTTCAAGGAGTGTTGCGACTCTCAAAACTATGAAGCGTGAGCTCATTTTTAGATTTTCTTCTTACGAATACTCTTGCTATGTTCTTTTGATCGTTGGAGGCTGATTTGAGGTGAACAATCTCTGTTTACAGGTGTGTGAGATGTTTGCAGCAGGTGGATATTGAGTATAAGTCGTTAAAGGCAAAGCTTCAAGATTTGTTTAGCGTGAGTGAAAAGCTATGTGAAATTATGAAGATTCAGAGTCTTTTTTTTTCTTTCTTTGGATTGGTGAATGATTCTTGTGTTGTTTTGTTGCAGCTTGAGCAACAGATTGTCCAAGCTGGTGGTATAATCCCTCAGGTGGATATATAAACTGATGATGATGATGATCCGGATGCATTCTTAAAGTTGTTCTTGTGTTAGATTTGTTGCTTAGAGAAAAAGCTCTTAGAATGTGTGGAGAAGAGAGATTATTGTTGTTGATAGATCATTACTATGTATCATCTTTGATATAATCGGTTTGGTTCGGTCTAGACTCTTCTTGAGTAATCTGAAAAGTTAGCTATGAATTTGCATCTCATAAGACCATATGAACAAGAAGTATATATACAAACAAACACAATAGTTACTGACAGAAAAAGAAGAAGAAGAGATTCTTGTGAAACTTTTCAAGGAGACAGAGATTACAAACTACAAATTGATTGATCTAAGAAAACAGACATGGCAAAAGATTTGAAAGAATAAGCTTCAAGACGATAAGGCAAAAAGAATACAAAAGAGCAAAGGTATAAAACCAAACCATCAAAAATAAAAATTATGTAATGAAACCAAAATCCAACGTCATTTTTATCGAATAATGGAAAATTAATCATGGGATTCAACGAGCATGATTTTATTTCCAGTTAGGAAAATTTCGATCTTTTAATCATGTGATTTATAATCATGTCAATTTTGTTTTCATTACAATATAACTATTTCAAAAAAAAATGACCATTGAGAATAACTTTTTTTTTTTGACATATATATAAACATCATCTATTGCGGCCCTTAGAGAGATTAAGCTAGATTTCTTGATTTTCATGAACCATATTGATGGATTTCTATTCGATAAATATGTTAATTGAATGAAGAACAAAAACAATCAAACAAACAAAAAGTTAAATGTTGACATTAGAAACGATTATGACTATCTGATATCACCATTGTTTCATGTTAGTTTACTATCTAAACTTTATATACATTTTACTGATTTTGAAGTGAATTTGTGCTTATAATCGATAGACCTAAATCTCAAAACTGAAACAAAAGACACAAGGAAAATATAGGAATAGTAATATCTGTGAGTATTGTGCACAATTTCGTTTATTCTTTTTATTTCTTTATATGTTACCTTGTGACTATTCTTTGATTTAACAACCATAAGTTAACTTGTATTGTTTACTTCTTAGATGATCACTACTAATTTTCTCATGAATTGGATGAGTTTTTCAAAACTATTGGTTTTTAATCGATTGTTGTTTTTTCACATTTTTTGGTGTATAATTTATTTGGTGAAATGAACATAAATAAATATGGATAGAAGAATTGGTATCTAAAAAAAAAAATTATAGGTGAGATGCATAAAATATAATGTACTTCAAAAGCATGACAGCTCTACAAAATCTCTTTGGCTTCAAGATCATATCAAAATTATAAAGAAAAAAATAACTCAATTCATATCTCATCAAAAATATTATTCAAACGATTAAACCCTAGACTTTGTAAAAGTTTGATCGTATTCATTCACAAAGTAGAGTGAAATGTTTATACAAGTATTTTTGACAATATATTTGATCTTGAAATTCCTTTTATTATAGAGACTTTCTTCAAATGAAGTATTCATAAGCGAAACAGCACGCAGTTCTCATTACGAGTTACAACCCAACACGCATTGTTATTAGCTATGTCGCTTCTTTAAAAATGCGACACAAAAGAATCTCAAAGTAACCTGTCGTTTTAAATGAGTGACGTTTTGCGCAGAGCCAAACACGCGCTCCTAAGCGTGAAGCAGTATCAATCTCTCTTGAATCAGTACGCAGCTACTCAATCAATCGCCAAAACCAAGGCTTTACACTGCCACGCCATCACCGGCGGTCGAATTTCCGGCCACATTCTCTCGACTCTCTCCGTCACATACGCTCTATGCGGTCACACCGGTTATGCACGGAAGCTGTTCGAGGAAATGCCTCAAAGCTCTTTGCTTTCATACAACATCGTTATCAGAATGTACGTTCGTGATGGAATGTACGAAGATGCTATTCACATGTTCGTTAAGATGATTAGTGAAGGAATCAACTGTGTTCCTGATGGTTACACATACCCTTTCGTTGCAAAGGCTGCTGGAGAGTTAAAGTCTGTAACTTTAGGGATGGTGATTCATGGGAGGGTTTTGAGAAGCTTGTTCGGTACGGATAAGTATGTGCAGAACGCGTTGCTGGCGATGTACATGAGCTTTGGGAGGATTGAGATGGCGAGGAGAGTGTTTGATGTGATGAAGAACAGAGATGTGATCTCATGGAACACGATGATTAGTGGGTATTATAGGAATGGATACATGAGTGATGCTTTGATGATACTTGATCTGATGGTGAATGAAAATGTTGATCTTGACCACGCTACGGTTGTTTCGATTTTGCCTGTTTGTGGTCACTTGAAGGATTTGGAAATGGGGAGGAATGTTCATAAACTGGTGGAAGAGAAGCGGTTAGGTGATAAGGTAGAGGTGAAGAATGCGTTGGTGAATATGTATTTGAAATGCGGTCGTATGGATGAGGCGAGATTCGTCTTTGATAGGATGGAGCGGAGAGATGTGATCACATGGACTTGTATGATCAATGGTTATACAGAAGATGGGGATGTGAAAAACGCTTTGGAGTTGTGTAGGTTGATGCAGCTTGAAGGTGTAAGACCTAATGCTGTGACTATAGCCTCTCTTGTTTCAGCTTGTGGTGATGCTTTGGAGCTGAATGATGGTAAATGTTTACACGGTTGGGCTATAAGGCAGAAGGTTAATTCCAGTGTCATCATAGAGACTTCTTTGATCAGCATGTATGCGAAATGCAACCGCGTTGACCTCTCCTTCAGAGTCTTTTCAGGAGCTTCGAAAAACCAAACCGGTCCTTGGAGTGCGATTATCGCTGGTTGTTTGCAGAACGGACTCTTGACGGACGCTTTGGCTCTGTTCAGATGGATGATAAGGGAAGATGTAGAGCCGAACATTGCTACACTAAACAGTCTTCTTCCAGCTTATGCAGCTTTGGCAGATTTGCGTCAAGCAATGGATATCCATTGCTACCTGACGAAAACCGGGTTTATGTCAAGCCTCGATGCTGCTACAGGGCTGGTTCATGTTTACTCAAAGTGTGGAACTTTAGAATCCGCACACAAGATATTCAATGGGATCCAGGAGAAGCACAAGAGCAAAGATATAGTCCTGTGGGGTGCGTTGATTTCTGGCTATGGGATGCACGGAGATGGTCACAACGCGTTGCAAGTTTTCATGGAAATGGTTCGGTCTGGTGTGACGCCAAACGAGATCACGTTTACTTCTGCGTTAAACGCTTGCAGTCATTCCGGTTTGGTCGAAGAAGGCTTGACACTGTTCACGTTCATGCTTCAACATTATAAGACGATAGCTAGATCAAACCATTACACTTGCTGTGTTGATCTTCTTGGTCGAGCAGGTCGGTTAGAGGAAGCTTACAATCTCATTGCAACGATTCCATTTGAGCCGACCTCAACCGTTTGGGGTGCGTTGCTTGCTGCTTGCGTCACACACGAGAATGTCAAGCTTGGAGAAATCGCAGCAAACAAGCTGTTTGAGATTGAGCCAGAGAACACAGGGAACTATGTGCAGCTGGCGAATATCTATGCGGCTTTGGGACGATGGAGAGATATGGAGAAGGTGAGAGACATGATGGAGAATGTTGGATTGAGAAAGGAACCAGGTCATAGCACAGTCGATATCAGAAGTAATTCAGATTGATAAATGATTGAGTTCATGTTAACAGAAGTTAGATATTATTTTAGGTTTTCTCATTTTTGGTCACAAAATGTATTGAGAAGACGTTCAAAGAAGAGATTCATAAATTTTTGGGTCAAATGATCATAAATTTAGCAGAAATAAATGTTGTTAATACATATACATGCACTGTAACAACAAATGGTTTGCACAACAATGATAGTATCTGAAATTGCACAACTTCAGCTTATGATACACTTCACACCACCTCTATGCTGCAAAGTGCAGATACTTATGATTCCCAAACTCCAGCAAACAACAATTCACCAGCAGAAAGAAACAGAGAGATTCCATCTTGCATTTCTTGCAAGATCAAGAACTTACTGTCACTGAAACTCGGATGCTCCATCAGAGTCAGATAACGGCAAGAGTGTGCAAACTCCAAGCATATGTCCATTGAGGCAAACGTAATACTCAATGCTATCTTCATAAGCTCCCAGCCTACAGCTAGCACTCGGTGGTATCATTCTCGCCTGAAGCATACTCCACAGCTTCGCTTTGCAATAAGGACAAACCTCTGTTGGATGAAACGAAGTCCCTTTCTTGATCAGCAACTTCCTCACCTTCGACATCGAAAACGACTTAAAAATCCCTCGGAAGAATCCTAAATCGCCATCTTCTCCTCCTTTATCCAAATGCTCACAAGGATCAGAAACATACAGAATGTCATCAGTTCTACATTGTGGAGGAAGGAAGCTTCTTCCTGATGTTCTTGAGAACCGAGTTCTGTGAACAAAATGGCCCGGGATTTGAACATCGTTAAAGAGTCCGCCTTTACTCGAACCAGAACAGTAGATCAAAAGCTTCCCAAGTGCTCTCCAACTACCATCAACACTGTGGCTACCACTGGACTGAAGATCACACATCATCTTTGGCGCTCTGGCTCTGCAGAACTCTTTCCATAGTATCCTCTTAGCAAGATCATCAAACCATTTACAAACGCAGGACAGAGTTGCGATTACGTTAGGGTTCCAGTTCAGATGCTGAACCATAAGGAACAATACTTCTTCACTAACATGTCCTTTTGTGCAATGACATGTCGCTGAGTGAATGCAACGGTACTGTTTTGCTATTATCATTACTCTCAACCTAGCAAGAAGCAAATGCCAAACACATAGATTAGACAGCTAATTGCAAAGTAAATTTTATTGAACAAATGCAATAAGATCAAGTAAAGCAGAGAACTTTAAGGAATTGGTGAATTGACCAAATCATGTGCCAGAGATTAGACTTGCATATATGATTATATAAACTGATCTTAAGAAATCAAAATTTCTTATTGGTCAATCTATTAACTAAAAATAGGACCTTTACAGATACCCACAAAACCAAAAATCAACATAACCAAGATCTAATACATTCCTCACTAGAAGAAATACACAAGGATTCCAATAAAACAATTGAAGAATCTAAGCTCAAATATGATTAGAAGACATCAATTTTCGATTCCTGAAGTAGATTGTCCTGAGAATTAGGAAGGAAAATTTCTAAAATGCAAAAGATCTTACCTTTGTTTACACCAATCTTATCTTCTTCAAAGCACCAAGAGCTTCAGAAAACTATAAAGTGTAGAAATCGAGGAGACACTAATTAGGGTTTTGCTCGAACGAGAGCAACAAATTTCAGTAGATAACAAAAAGAACAGAGGCAAAGGTTCAACATTTCAACTAAATCAGCTATGTCCTGCAATACCCAGAGAGAAATTTTTGAACTTTGGTAAAAGAATGAAGAAGATGCATGCAAAGAAAAAGGGGTCGAAGAGGAAGCAAATCTGCTCTGTTTCCTAATTTTCCTTTTTTCTTTATCTGATTTTTGTTTTTTTAATGTAAGTGGGAAAATATGTTTGTCTGCGAATTTTTTGTTGTGTTAAGGTACGGTAAGGTGTACGGTGTGGCGAATCCTTTCCATTGGATTGGATGGAGCTGATCTCACTTCAGAGAGTTGGTGACTCCATTAACGGTAACGGCGCGTTTTGAATAATCACGTCTTAACGGCAACGGTGCGTTTGATAATTACGTTTATTTTATTAATTAGTGGAAAGTTGATTACAAACTTCATTTACTTTGTTTGTCTCCAACTGAATTTTTACACAAAACTTCATTGTAGTACAGTAGCTGAATTTGTGAAACATAAAAATGGGAAATAAGAAGAAGGAGACAAAATAAAGAGTCGGTTACGTGACTAAATTAAGGTCGAGTGGATATCGGACACGTGGATTAGCGTCAGTGTCGTCACTATGCGTGGCTCAGGAGTATTGGTCGGTCGTTGTAGGGGAAAACGAAACGCCCCGTTAACGTGTGAAGGTATTAGCGTTTTTTTTTTAAAAAAATCGTAACTTGAAAATTGAAAAGAGAGGAAATTAAAATAAATTTATACATACAGTATTCTTAAAAAAATTGGAACTTTGAGCACTCTAAAGCTGTTCATATCCATGATCTTCCTTCTTCGTGGCAGTGACTTATTTTGTGGTTTCCTTTAGCTTAAAAGTTACAATTACTACGACAAATCCTTAGCTACAAATCCATAGGTTCTTGCTCATGCGCTCTAGTTAGATGCCATCATCGTCAAATACCTTGAGGTCAAGTTTGCTTAATGAGTCTAAAGGCTTGACTGGTATGTAAGATGAATATCAAAATGATGTAATAACTTAATGCTTATAACCAAGTGGTCGTATCCCAGTGGTACTTGAGGGAGGTAAGTTCCAATACGGACCCGGGTTCGAAACCACTTGGCCACAACGGATTTAACATCCCTTCCGTTGAGGTCATGGACCTCTTTCGAGGGGATAGTCGGGTTTTCCGTTCGGGTTAGATCCTCGGAATACCTGGATATAGCTGGACAAAGCTCAGACCATCGGTTTGGGCCCCAGGACTGGTCGGTGACTGTTCGGTCGACTCCTCGGACCCGGATACCAGAGATACAAAAAAAAAAAAAAAAAAAAAAAAAAAAAAAAAAAAACTTAATGCTTACTAGTTGTTAGCCAAAAATTTTGAACTGAAGAAAAGTTCGGTTGAATAACTACAAATCGTTGAAAAGCTATTTTTAGTAGATTAATCATGTTTTTTTTTTGGGTTATATTTTGAACGTGCTAGTGCCTAGTTGTGAAACCATTCTCAAAACTTCCATCACTAATGAACGTACTATTCGTGAGTAAACAACAAAATTAACAAATGAGTATCAACTTATTCAACTTAGTACACTGCCATATTATTATTCATAACAAAGTACTATTTTTATAAAGCCTAATCGCTTAGGCCATTCTTAAACAAAGAAAGAAAAATTTCCATCTCACTTTTCTTCAAGCACACTCCCATCTCCACACCACCTGCCTCATCCCTCCTCTCTGATATACAGAATGCTTCGGGGTCAGTGGAGACAAACTCAGTCTTAGCAGGTCTGCCCCACCCGAAATCGGTTACGTACACTCCAAACCGGTTTGACCCGGCAACTTTTCCAAACTGTGAACCGGGTTTAATTTTCTTCATTCCTTGCACGTACTCATTGCAAAGTGACTCTATGCCCCGCGAACCTAAACCTTTAACCGAATCATTATGGATCTCCACTGCTTTCACGAAACCATCTTCTTCCAAAAACGTTCTTGCTTCGTAATCGAACCAGCCCATCGGGAACACACAGCTCCCAGAGTATGTCGCTGGAACTTTTGGGTCTAACCGATGTCTGAAGTCAGCTAAATACAGAAAATTCACTTGTCTATTTGGGTTGCCTCCACGTGCTTTTACCACACACGTCCATGAGTATGCATATGCGATGACAAAGGTTGATAAGTGAAGCTGAGATCGAGCTGGTGAGTCGTTCTTGACTTTCTCCCGAAGCTTCTCAATGTTCTCCGCAGTTAACTCAAGCGTGACGCGGACGACATCTTCACTGATCTCACCGAGGGGTGGTGGCTTCACGGTCCTAAAGTTGTCGCTGTCTTTGGAGAGATACAACACTAGTTCCATCATCTTTTCCTCAAGTCCACGTGGAACATTGATGACCTTACGATCGAAACTTGGAGTTAGGTCATCCGGTAAAAGAGGAATTCCACGTCATGTTCTTGTAATCTGCAAATATGAGCCCATGATTTAATAAACATGGTTGAGGTTTTACCGTCGAGGACTGACTAGTGATATGCAATGCCGATACAGAATCCTTGGTTTGGAAACAACGTTATTTGGAGAGAAAGCACGGTCGTCGAGTCATCACACACGGTTAGGTTTGGTACCAAGAGATGCAACTCGGTTGCCGGACATGTATGTCCGTTACCGGATACAAGGGAGAAGTCAGCGTTGGTCTCTGCGACGGTAAGCGAAACCGTGTCATGCTTGGAGACGGTGATGCATGGCTTTGGATCTCGTGGGTCCCATGTGAGGCGGCCAGCGAGGGGGAGGTAGTGGCAGAGGACATGGGAGAGAGAGAGCTCTAGCTTGGGGAGGATGAGAGAGTGGAATGACTCGGGTGATGACTCGGTGAGTTTGTAGAAAATGACTCGTTTGTTAGCGTGGAATTTTATCCAGCGTAAGTCGAAGAATGATAGAGGGAGACTGAAAGAATTGAGTGATTCATCGGACGAGTTTGTAGTAGGGTTGACTCGGACAATCTTGATCACTTTTAGTGCCATTGATAATTGTGGTAGCAATAGAAATCTCTCTTCTTAAGTATATAAAATCTAGTTGAGTTGGGTATGCTCTCCAGTCTCCACTAAACTCTATTTATATCAAAAGAATTTAAGTATTCAAATTTTGTATATACCAAAATATGGGACATATATATATATATATATATATATGTGTGTATATATATGTATATATATATATATATGTGTATGTGTTGGGGAAAAGAGTAGGTGTGGTTTTGTATTTTTGTGAGTAGGTGAGGGTTAGTGCTTAGTTGGTATTCGAAGATTTGAAATCAACATGTGAGAGTGACAGGGTATTTTATCGGTTAGTGCTTAGTAGGTTTTTTCATATTTTGTAATAAAATTACATTTCAGACGGAGAAAAACAAACAAACAGTGATAGCTAGAGTTAATATATAATAGGCTCAATAATAATACAGTATCTTATAAAGTTCCTTCACCTGCATCATGCTAATGCGTCGCTTCCCTTGATTTAATCATGCCAACTACTTGCTCTATTTTATAATCGGAAAAATTTATCATTTGATCCATTAAACACTGATTTCAACATGTGAGCGTCACATATATAGTTTGATTTAATTTGATACGATGCTTCCCTTAACACAATCATGACAATTACGTGCTCCATTTTATAATCGGTAAATGTTTTGATGTGATCCACCAAACACTGACCTCAAAGGATATAAGTATATAACTAGTAATAGTTCCACTGCTTACAAAAACCTGTCCAATTATACAAAAGACATTTCGAAGTGAGAATCACCTTTTCCAACCATGGCAAATAACGTGATCAAGATCTCTCAGATCAGCCCATCAACAAAACTGGTCGACCCTCTCATTCTCCCACTCACTTTCTTCGACTTAATGTGGCTAAAAGAGGATCCTACGAACCGTGTCAACTTTTACAAACTCACCGAGTCATCTAGCGACACCTTCTACTCCGAGATCCTCCCAAAGCTCGAGCAATCGCTTTCTCTTGTCCTCACACACTTTCTTCCTCTCTCCGGTCACCTCAAGTGGGAACCAAAAGATCTTAAGCCGCACATCGTCGTCCTCCCGCAAGATGTTGTCACTCTCACAGTGGCCGAGACCGACGCCGATTTCTCTCGTGTTACCAGCAAAGGGCTACGTCACCAGACCGAGTTACGTGCTCTGGTGTCCGAGCTACCGGTTTCCTCTGACTCAGCTTCCATTCTAACGCTTGCGAATCACTTTTTTCCTGAAGCAAGGCTTTTGCATCGGAACCACAATCCACCATGTTGCTATGGACGGCAAAACCGTGGTGAAGTTTCTCAAATCTTGGGCTCACATATGTAAGTACGGAACAACACCGCAAGATCTTGATTTACCTATGCTTTTAGATCGTACGGTGATCAATCTTCCAACCGAACTCGAATCAAAGATCTTCGAGTTCCCGCCGTATCTCTCAGAGGAGAAAGCCAACGTAAGAACCCTAAAGGTTCCTCCGACCAAAGAGATCAAAGATCTCGTCAGGATCACCCTCGAGATGACTCAAGAGAACGTGGAGAAACTCAGAGAGCGAGCCAAAAGCCACGAGTCAACTCTCTCTGATGATCTTCACTTGTCAACTTTTGTTATCACGTACGCCTATGTATTGACCTGTATGGTGAAGGCACGTGGAGACGACGAAGACAGACTAGTTCCTTTCACGTACGTTGCTGATTTCAGAGAACGGTTAGACCCGCCGGTTCCTGTGACCTACTTTGGGAACTGCGTGTTACCTATCAATCTCAATAGAGACAAAGCGGAGACGTTTTTGGGAGAAGATGGATTCGTAAATGCTGTAAAGATTCTAAGTGATTCCGTTAGAGGTTTGAAGGCTGAGTCAATATGGAAGTTGTATGAGGCAGGGTTAAAAAAGATGGAACTAGGTCTACAGAAGCTTTCCGTTACCGGGTCAACCAAGTTTGGGATGTACGGGTCGGATTTTGGGTGGGGAAAACCCGTTAGTACTGACAATGTATCCATCAGCCAAGAACTTCTTTTCTCTATGTCGGAGAGGAGGGACGAGACCGGTGGTGTGGAGATTGGCATGTGTTTGAAGAAATCTGAAATGGATGTTTTTGTTTCTTTATTTCGAAATGGATTGGAAAACTAAAACAAAAACAAAAACAAAAACCGAAATGTAATGTCAAGACTATTTTAAACATGGTCGCATGCTTTGACCGAAATGTTACTTATGTCAGTGAAGTCTATTATGTTCCAAGACCTTTTTTAACATAATGTGAAATACTAGTTTAGTTTTTAACCAAAATGGTTCACTGCGTGCATTTTCAGTTTATCACCTAGCTAAGTAACCATTGGATATAACAGAAGTTGATATATATATGACACGTAAACACAACCACAATTATTGTTATTATTAGTTTTTATAGCTAAAAGCCTAAGATACAAACAACAATTTATTGTAGTAGGAAAATATGATACAACTCAAAGTCCCAAGTCCCAACGATCAAATAGATCCCCACAAAAGGGATCTAAAAACGAATGGGATCTACGAGCAAAATTCATATAGTCCTTGAGTTTTCCATCACGGTTGTAATAGACATCATCGCCGACATATAAAACATCCACCGCGGATCCGAATCTGACGGCTTGCATAATATTTAGGCGTGGCATGGTGCTTGTCATGTTTAAGCACTCTTCGTTTGTAATCTTGTTGATATCTCCAATCCTCTTTTCAAGTTCTCTATTAGCTTCTTCTTTGGTAACTCCGTGTTCGTTCATGTAATAGTTGCAGTGTACCCAATTCTCATATCCTCCTGATCATTTATACCACCATGTAATAAATGGCGTCGTATCTATGGGCCATATACCATAATATAAAGTTTATTTTATTTTCTTAGAGTTTCTATTATTCTTCTTTTTGACATATCCATTTTTCAACACCACAAAAATAAGTAATTTATTTATTTTCAGATAAAAATTTTAATAGAAAAGAAAAACAACTTTGAACCTGATCAATGTTCTGTTTTTTTTCTTTCTTCATAAACTCAAGTGTTTACAATTTTATATCCATTTTGGGAGCTTTGTAATTCTTGTTTCCTTGAAAGAGTTACAACTGGAATTTCCTTTGTCGGCTAAGAATGAGTATTGATCTGGATGCATATTGCATGTGCTTTGTGTTATGTAATGTTCATCATTTCTTTAAATTAAGAACCCATCATATCCAGACAATTCGTCGAGTTGGGACCTTATAAATGATTTTTTTTTTGACGGCACCTTATAAATGATTTAATCTTGAGTAATAGCACTGAATACCAACCAATACTTCTAAAATTAGTCGACCATAAAGTGGTTTTTCTGACAGCCACTATTCATAATATAATTACTCATTTAACCTCACAATTTGTTTCCATGGTGTCTCTCTTTCTTTGCTGTTTCTGGGAAAGACATAATCGGAAAAAAAACAGAGAAGAAGAAGTATAGAAAGAGAAAAGATAATTGATGGAAAAACAAAATTAAGGTGAAGGTTGGAATAGTAATGGTGGTCATGTTGATGATGAAGGAATCAGTATTAGCGACAGTGGCAATGTAAACAGGAATGGTTGTGATGCTGGTGATGGTGACGACGACGGTATATCGTACCTGATGGTATCGGTGGCGACGATGGTAATAGATTGTGATGGTGATGATGGTGTTTTTGTTGATTTTGGTGGTGGTGGTGTTTTGTAGATCTCGGTGGTGATGTATGATGTATAAGTGAAGATGGTGATAGTGGTGGTGGTGGTGATGGTGATGGCATTCCGATGAGATTCTTATTCGATTTAGATTTAAGGTATAATTTTATGTAACTTGTTATTATTCAGTACTGATTTGTAGATTCTGATATTAATTTGTTTACCATGTTAAGTGATCTACTATGCTAACTGATCTATCACATATTTTTATCATGTTAATTGGTTTATCAACTTATTTTTATCATGTTAAATGTTTTATCATGTTAACTTATTTGTTATTTCGTATCTTTATGCCATGGTAACTAGTTTATCATGATATTTTTGTATTATGGTAATCTCATTAACGTGATAATTCATTTAACATAATAGTTTTGATTATATGCTAATCGGTTTAATATGTTAATTATATAAAAATTGTTCTCATAAACAATTTAAAATCAGATGAATAGTGTTATCGAGAATAGTGTCGTCGGAATTTACATCGAATACACTATTACCGATCAGAATTTAATTTTTATGATGAATGGCATTTTATGTAAATAACTAAACTAAAAAAGATAAAAAAATATATTTGTTAGGAGCGAACTAATTTAGAATTAGGCTTTTTAGCAAGAAAACCCCTCAACTAAAGATGGATCGTAAATAAACCCCTCAATTATTAATGTAATGAAAAAACCACTCAAGTTTACTTTTTTTTAATGTCGAGACCCCTCCGTCCCCTCTGTCGTCAAATCTGGACGGCACCCGTATAATCAAAACTCAGCGTTCCATTTTATCATGAAAAACAACATGTTTTTCATTCATCGAGAGTTTCGATTAGAAATCCCCAATTCGACTAGAAATTGCAAAACCAAAAGCATGAATCTTTCTTCTGATTTCTCAAAGTTATGATCTTTTACAAATGAAGAAGCTTTGTGTGACTATAAACAACAAATCTATGGACTTGCGAATTGAATTGTGAAACCAAATTTGTCTCAGAAAGAATTAGCAACAAGAATAGCTTGTCTACATCTTGCTCTAGCTTGTTCAATCCTCTCGCTAAAAGTCTCTTTTTTTAACAGAAGCTTTAACCATAGCCAAATCCATCTCCATCAATCTCTCAAAACCCGAAAAAGCTCAGTCATCATTCTCTCTTCAACTTTTCCTTCATCTCTCAAAACCTCAGCTTCTTCTCTCGCTCTCTCTGCAACAATCTCTCTAGTTTTAGCTAAAAGCTCCTTAGACCCAAACTCTTTCGCCATCAGACTTTCGAATTTCTCTAAGAAGTCCATTATCATATACCCTTTTGGTTTCTCCAAGTTGATCTCTTTCGTTCTTTTCCAATCGACTACGAATCCAAACAAACTTCACAGTCTCACTTTGAGAAATTAGGGTTCGTCGATTTAGGTTTTAATTTGGGAATTTTAGAGGTTTAATGTATTTAGGGATTTCAAAATCGGGTTTTCACACACCATGTTGTTTAGAGTACATAACATGTTGTTTTGAAACTGAAAACATGTCGTTTTTCATGATAAAATGGAACGCTGCGTTTTGATTATACAGGTGCCGTCCAGTTTTGACGACAGAAGGGACGGAGGGGTCTCGACATTAAAAAAAGTAAACTTGAGGGGTTTTTTCATTACATTAATAATTGAGGGGTTTATTTACGATCCATCTTTAGTTGAGGGGTTTTCTTGCTAAAAAACCTTAAAATTACTCATTGATAGTTACTTAATTTTTGCAACATTTATTAGTATTGAACAATATCACCCTTTAATCTTCTAGATATTAGTATGGTTTGTAAGGAACATAAAAGTATTTTAATAGTAAAATCACACTAATAAATTAGATTCGTTCTTTTAAAAGTAATTGGTAGAGTAGGACCAGTAGGTGGAAGAAATTGATTGTAACTTTGTAAGGTAGTAACTGGTGCTGTCACGTGTCGCGCCACTCGCGTGAGCTTTGTCGACAACACGGGTTCCACCACCCACCCACTTGTTCACCGAACTAGTTTAACATATAGTATTAATGTTTGTAGTAACCGATAGAAAAGAAGATAGTATAATATAAAATGCAGACGCGTAACTGCGTAAGCTGTAAGATTTCACGAGATTTGTGCGTGTAATCCGAGGAATCACATCATTATCAACAAGTGCTGCTGAAATAATCTTGTATACATAAAAAGGACTCAACAAAACGATACCGCAAAAGTAGAAGTTACAGTACAGAGTTTAGACATTATAAGTGGTTAATTAACCAAAGAATAATAATATAAAAAAAAACATGTTTTAGTTTCAAAATTTCCAGGATTTTTTATTTTTAAAAATGTGGTTAAATGTTAGTATTAATAACGTAAATATAAGGATTTAAATTTTAAAATTAAAATAAAGAAGAAAACGTTTAAATTTAATTTGAAAGGGTCATTATTATTAACATAAACAAATATATGGAAAATGCAGTAAAATCCGGAAACTAACAGATTTATTTCCTCCCCAATATTATTATTAGCATAAATAAATATACAAAATAAATATACAATAATATATGAAGATTTGGAAAGGAAGTAAAATCCGGAAACTAAAAGATATATTTCCTCCCCGTTATTATTATTATTAACATAAACAAATATACAATAATATATGAAGATTTGGAAAGGCAGTAAAATCCGGAACATAACAGATTTATTTCCTCCCCTAAATATATATGATCCTATAATCAAGTGGTGAATATTCGTTAACGAAAGTTTTGTGTTGACCTTACCTAATCCCAACTAAATAAAAAAGACACGTGAGTGGGTTAGGTGTTGATAGGTGCGTGGAAAGATACATGCACCACCTCTTTATTTATTCTTTCTTACCCCCATCACTTCTCTTTATAAACAATCCTCCAGTTGCTCCTCCACACATCTAAATTATAATCTTCAACCTTTCTTTTACAAGTTCATCGGTAGCAGTCTTCGACACACTTGCTATCCAGTTTTTATTCAATCCGTGATGGATCACCGTTTTTATTCAATTTCTATTCAATCTGTGATGGATCACAATTGTCAGTTCACAATCGGTAAGTAATTGAATTCAATACATGTTCAATTTTTGTTGGACTAGTCTTTTTCGTTACTGAGTTTTCCCATATGGTGCATGTAGAGTTACTTAGGTACGGTGTCCAATCTCAATCTCGGCGGCGACCAATCGGCCGGTAAGTATAATCAAATACATAATAATCAATAAAGACTTATGATCCTCTTAAGATTTGAATCTTAATTTAAACCTTAAACTCTCTTATGATTCAGGCCTAGCATAACTTAGGCCTGGCAATAGAAGCCCAATGCAGAGAAGCCCAAGGCAGAGAAAGGCAGAGACCAAGGCAGAGAAGCCAAATCCCAAAACCCTCGTTACGCCTCCGACCTCTCTCCACAGAACCCCCAGAGAATCTCTCCTCCGACTGAAAAGACCACCATGAATGACCTAATTCGCGACAGTTACTACTGGCGGCGTGCTCGGGTTCCTCAGGAAGACGAGGTTGTGATGGTTCGGCTGATGGATTCAGCCGTCGATCATCGTGACTCAGTGCGAGTTCGACTTGAGGAGTATGGCAGGCAGATGGGCACTCTCACGTTCAGCGACGGCCAGCGGGACCAGATCCTCGCTGGCCGGACAATTCCCGCCGTGGTGATTCAACTCGACTTTAACCGTGTGCTTCGGATTCTGCAGAACCACATCCGTCGAATCCCTCGGTTCCGTCGAATCACTCGGTTCCGTCGAATCCCTGGTCGAATCCCTCGGTTCCATCGAATCGCTGGTGGAATCCCTCGAGTCCGTAGAATGAGAAGCAGGAGAATCTGGCTCGGGCTATCTCCTCTCAGCCAAGAGCAGATTCTCAACTGTGATAGGGAATACACGGAGAATCTCTATGTCAACTCGGTGTTAAGGCATCTGGCAGTTGCTCGACAGAACCTGGTCCATCAAATGGCTTCTCTCGAGGAATTGTATGAGTTAACCAGGTGGCCCCGTTACCAGGACATCTCAAGTGGCCTTAGCCCGTATTGGCCCTCCCTTCCTCGGCCACTGAGAGATATGTTTCGCCACAGCTGTGAACAAGTGTATATCGACTCGTGGAGAATCACAGATAATTCACTCTTCTCCCCACCTTTGCTTCACGAAGGTCTGCTTTCAATTGCTCTATTTGTTATCGATTTGCTTCTGATTGTTTGTGTTTGTATCAATTGTTGCTTATTGAGGATTTGCTCGTCTCTTCTTTGATTGATTGTTGCTTAGGTTATTATTGCTTTGCCATCGCCTTAATCTGGCAATTTGAAGCCTTTTTGAAGTTGCATCACCTTCTACCTCGACATCAGTTTCTCTCAATTCAAGACTTCATCGATAATATCCCTGCTGATCGGGTTGTTGCTGGAGAAGGAATTGCCCACTTGGATCATGCCTTCTCTACCCTTCGACATGGTGTTCTTTTGGCACATGATGGACCGGAGCTGACATTTGTAAGAGGAGAACCTGTTCCCCGCAATGGTTTGACAGTCTATAGCACAGATGAGCTCGGTATTGACTTAAGTCTTAGGACTTACTCGGTTGGTAATGAGTTAGAGGATGAACTCCGACATGAAGTTAGATTATTTGGAGCTGTTTCTGCATCCATCTACTGGTACGCCAGCTACTCCGTGCAAGCCCTTGACCCCCAGGTTGGTAAATTTTAATTTTATTTGCTGTAGTTTTTTCAATCACTTTTTTTTTTCATATCTTTAGTTACTGTTTGGAACAGGCAATACTCAGGCCCACTCCTCAAGACTTGGAGGAGTTTGGTGATGTTGTGCATACCGTCCTAGTCAAGGGAAGTGGTAAAGACTTGAATGGTATAAAATATTGGGAAGTTCAAGACTCCTTTGGGGATACTATATTAGGAGACCGAGGGCACTTTAGACTCTACCGTGGCTTGTATCCCATCTTAATCCTGGATTACGTAACCATGCGAAGGTGAGTGTCTTACTTTTATTTCAAAGTTAATTTGTTTTTGTGGCTTCTTTGTAACAAGGTACAACTTTTGTGTTTTAGGCCCTAGATTTACTTGTTGGGAATCATCGACTTGCTGAAGCTCCACGAAGCTTGTGTTTTTCATAATCCAAGCTCTTTCTTTCTTTGTTTTTGACAATACAACCTTCTGTTTATGACTTGGATGTTCTATCTTTGTAAGCACCATGTCTATGTCTATGTCTTGGATATGATATTTAAATTTTAAACCCAAGAGAGTATATGAGCATTTGGTAAAAGTTGTGTCAATTAATTATTCTATATAACACGTCTATATATAAGGTTGATGCGTATACTAAATCCAATGGAGTCTCTCCATAAGCTCTTCCCAAAGTCGGAAACTTTTTTCTTTTTGACGTATTAAAAATCACAATATATGCCTATACTATCGAATTAGGCTGGAAACATGGAACGTATATCGCATACTCTCATCCATAAGATATGTCTACAACGAGCTTTTGAAACAGGTTGATAGATTTCTTTTTTTTTATAAAAATGTTGTTAAAAAAGCGACTCATTTAAATAGCATTCGGTTCTTGATAAAAAGCGACTCATTTAAATAACTAAGCACTTATGGATTAGTTACTTCCAATAGTGAGAAGAAAACAAATGATTACGGTCGTATACACCATGGAACCGAATGTTATATTGGGTGGATACTGTTACAACTCCAGCTTCTTCATCTGAGAAGATAACTTGATCTTTTAATTTGACATTCCTTTCGATCTTCAAAGCACATTCATCACATCCCTTCTTAGTGGCAATATGAGTATATTTTCCAGAAGTCGCCATCTTTCTTGACGCTGGCACTAGTCCCAATTTCTTCTTCAACAGCCGAAATAGTTGTAGCCAACATGAAAAAGAAAAAAAAGAGAGATCACCAAAAGAATGATTGTAGGTTTCATTTGAGTTGTTATACAAAACGTTGTCGACGATGACCAGAGTAAGCTCATAAATTGTTGTCCCAGCCGAGCTTCTATATAAGAGGCGTGGGAGGCGCTCCACCATTCCCATTGCTAATGCTGTAACGATTAGGTTTTCTGAAGCTAGTAGGAGATCATGACTCTTCTTCTGATCCTGCACAAGAATATATTATATAGAGAACTTTTTTTACGGGGAAATCGATTTTTAATTATCTCGAGGGTTTTAAAAGAGCATTTTTCATTTTTGACAAACCCGGAACTGTTTTGTTTCCCTCTTCGTGTTGCTTCTGTTGTGATCGTGGTTGATGATCAATAAAAAACTCTGTTTCACGAATCACGATCGTGTTTAGCCATAAAGGATTGCATCTCAAAAACAAAAACAATATAAAGAACCGAGAAAAACACATCAAACTCTTTTTCCATTAATTGTTGTCATCAACGAAAAACATAACATCTCATTATCATTTTATAAAGTATTAACTCGCACAAACCGCGGATTAGTTTCTAGTGAGTTACATGATACACATGATGATCACACGCACACAAAGTAATAAGGGAAACAAAAACAAAATGCAAGCATATGCATGGACATGGTTATTGTTTCAACCATGCATGCAATTATTCGTCGAAATAACTAAGCATGCTTCAACCATTCTGAAGCTGCTGCTTTTTCTTGGACTCGGTTTTGATCCGTTAATGGATTCACTTTGCGTTAATTAGTAGGAGAGCATGTCTCTTCTTTTGATCATGCACATCTTGTTTTTACGGGGAAAGCGATTTTTGAATTATCTCGCGAGTTTTAAAAGAGCATTTATGACAAACCCGTTATTTTTTTTTTTCCCTCTTCGTGTTGCTTCTGTTGTGATCGTGATTGATAACCAATAAAATAAAATAAACTCTGTTTCACGAATCATGATCGTGTTTAGCCATAAAGGAAGAACCGAAGAACCTAGCATCTCAACAAAAACCGAGTGAAAAGCACACAAAACTCTATTTTCATTGATTATTTCCATCAATGAAAAAACATAACTTCTCATTAATTATAAAGTATTAAACCGCACAAACCGCAGATTGATTTATAGTGAGATACATAATCGTATAATACACATGTTCGATCACACATACACAAAAGAAAACAAGGGAAAATAAAATAAAATGCAAGCATATGTGCATGGTTATTGTTTCAACCATGGGCATACTATATGATATGAAAGCTTAACCTGTAACCATTGAAAGAAACACAAATCTGACCATAGAAGACAAGACAAAGTCTCATATGGTCAACAGGTCAAGACAAGACAACGTCTAATATGATCAGATCCGTAAAATAGTATTCTAAGTCCAAGGGCATTTATACCAACATATTGTTTTAGTAAAGCTCTTGGTGGACCTGGTGACTTGCAGATTGCTTTAGGCTTTTGCTTTACATTACCAGACTTGCAGAAATCTCTAAAACAAGAAAAAGGGCTTTGGTTCTGAAGCTGCATATCACTAATCATTTGCTTAAGCTCAGAGGTTTCCTCTTTGAGCTGAGAATTCTCTTCAATAACCTTCTCGCTAGACTCCAATACGATGTCAAGCTTATGAAGCAACTGATGGTTCTCATTTCTAAGCCACATTACTTGTGACCAAAGCTAATCGAGCTGTCTCCGCTTCCTCATACATTCTCCTCGCTGATTCTCTGTTTGATACCTTCTTCCTCTGCTTCCTCTCATTCACTATACCCTTCTGATACTCTTCAGCTTCATCCGAAGTCGAGTTAACGTTATTGCTGCTCGTGAACTGTGGAGTGTTTTCACCACTTTGGAAGCTGTAAAATGGATTAGGGTTTTGCACATCGGAGGTGGAGAACCTTGGAGGCTGAAAATGTTGGTTGATGGATGCATTATTGCCTATTGGTGGAGACTTGCGACGCAAGATAGGGCTCTTTCTTAGGTGATGCGAGAGTGAAGATTGAAGAAAGATAGGAAGATTTAGGGAGTTGTGATGAATCTTTGGTGTGTGAAGACTGAAGAGAAGAGGTGTTAGTATAGACTAACCGATACCGATGTAAAATCATCTAACAATCATGGAGCTAAGACTTGAATTATATAGAAAGAAAACGTATTTATAGAAACAAATGTGAATTTTTTTGTTCACCTAATGATTGAACTGCAATTCGGTATTATCTTTGGAAACGCCAAGGATCAGTAATTCAGTTAATATTGGTTCACATTTACCTTCGCTTTTAAGCAAGCCTTGTGCATTTTAGGTCAGGCCACCCAACTCTAATATTTTGTTTCTTTTTCTTTTAGGAACTTGTCCTATAGAGTAATTGAAATGATCTGTTTTGATTATAATATTTAATCAGCAAATAGGATATGGATCGGATAGAAATAAATTACTGAAATTTCTTGACAAATCAATGAGAATAAAAATAGAAAATGTATTATGAAAATATGATTCCCTAAGAATAAAGTTAGAAGATAGAAACAAATTTAAATATTTTATATTAAAATAGAAACAGTATATTCACAAATACTACTGTATAAGTAAGTTTTCTCAAACTAAAGATGATGGTTGACATATATTTATGACCTTTCCAGAATCAAAATCCGAATCCAATCTTAGTTTATAATTTTGGTCAATCGTATTCGTATCTATGACCTTTCCATAATCAAATTCCGGTTTTGGTTTAGAATTTCGGCCAATCGTGGTTTGTAATTTTATTCGGTTTCGGCCGGTTTCGTTTTGGTTGATCAATTTTGTCCCTAATAAACCGAAATTCATTTTGATTTGAATACGGTTTTAACCCAACCGGTCTTATTTCGGTTTACATGCACAGAAAGAAACAGAGCTAAACCAAGCCATGTGATCAAAAGCAAAGTCCCACAACCTTTCTCTCTCTCTAAAGTCTAGGAGAAGAAGTAAATTATTAAATGCGCTTTTGATTCTGCGACGAACGCGCAAAGCGAAGAGAAGAAGAGAAGAAAAAAAGAAGAATAACCCGAAAATCGGAGACACGCACACAGAAAAACCTCTCTTTTTTGAGTTGCTTGCACGATTTTCTCGACGTAGCAAATCAAACACCGACCCAGAAGAAAAGGGTTAGCAAATTCTGCAGCTTTTTAATACTCTGATTTCGACATTGTGAAAAAGTAATTGTTTTGGAAATGAAAGTGTTTTGCTTTTTTTCTGTTGGATCAAATCATTTCTCGAACAAACAGGTCAATTGTTTCTCTGCTTTCTCTAATTCAAAAGGATTCCCCCGTTGAATTCTCTGTTTATGCAATCCATTAATCAGTAATGCGAATTGTTCTTACAATTTGAGGTGTATTATTAGTATTGGAATACGATAATTTTAAATTTTTTGTGTGTCTTGGACTCGCTTGAGTGAAGAAATCGAATCGGTTTGTTCTAGACTTTTACACAATTCTATTTTCAATGAAGACGTAAAATTTGGATCTTTTATGCTTTATTTTCTCAGAAAAGTGAATGCTTGAAGATGAGACTTCGCTTTATGTGCGATTCATTTGTTTAGTTTTGGAGAAAATCAGAGAATCCTTTTAAGTTGCGTTGCGTTGCGTTGCATTGTCTCTGTCTCATGACATTGTTTGTTGAAGATAAATTGATTCTCTCTGCGTTTTCTTCGGGCTTTTGTTTATAAGATTTTCCTCTCTTGATAAAGCCAAGATTCAAGCTGCTTCAACAAAATTTGAAATCTTTCTGTTAGGTGTTCTTGTGTTTTAACCTCTTCACAGTGATCTGTTTTTAGTTGTCTTGTAGAGACACAAAATTAGATTGTCATATTGTGCAGAAACTCTTGCAATAAGTAAAATTTTGATGTCTCATGTCTAAAACTGTGAACAGGTTGTCTCTTGGTGATAGTTAATGGAAGAAGACTCTGAGAATAGCTTTGGAACACCGGAAATGATGAATAAGGAAGACGATCAGAAGATTCTTTGGGGAAGGCAATGGCTTCGAAGTCGAAAGAGAAAGTGATTCCTCATTACCTCAGAGCATCTACTGGTTCATGTCATGATATCTGCAAGTATGGGAAGAAACATGAACCTGTGGAGAAACCATGGCGTTCCACTACTAACAAGATCTTCAAGAAAGCTTCTGTTGATGTCATGAATGAAAAGAGAAGTTGTGAGTGGTGGGATGAAGAAGCCAGAGGCATTCATGATACCATCTGGTGATGAAACTCCGGTGAAGAAGAAAGTGTCATCATCACTAAGTTCCAAACCTAAACCTTCACCAGATTCGCTATCTCGTAGTGTTGATGCCCTGAAGCCAAAAGTCTTGACGAAGTCTTATTCGGCATTAACAACGTTGAAATCTAAAGTAAACAGTGAGCGAGTTGGTTCTTCTTCACCAGTTCTGAAGCCTAAAATGGGATAAAGAGTTGGAGGAAAAGACGAAAATGCAAAGATAAAGAAGGCTACAGTTTCTTCCAGAGTTGCTTCAAAGAAAGTCCAAGAGCCAGAGCTTAAAGGCTGCATCTTCATCCCTTTCTCGGCCAAATCAGAAATTGAGGAATGTGAAGCGCACTGATGAGTTTAATAAGCAGTTAGATGGTTATCCAGTTGAGGAGAAAACATTGCACGTTGTGGAGATGGAAACAACGAGCAAAGTGGTCTCTGAACATGATCAGAATCAGCAGTCTACTGTTGAGCCTTTCCCTCCTCTTTCACCGACTGAGTCAACTCAAAAAGACGATGAGTGTACTGTTTCAGAAGAAGCAGAGTATTATGAATCGGAAAGCACAGAAGAAGAGATTGGAATGTCGAACGGAGAAAAGAAACGACCAGACGGAGAGTCTCCACATGAAGAAGCTGCTCGGAAACTGAAATTCAGGAGAGGAAGAGTTGTGGATGCTGAAACTGTGGGTGAGAAGAGTGCAAGGAAGCTCAAGTTTAGAAAAGGAAGAGGTCTCGGAGAAGACAGAGCGCAAGAACCGCAAGTAAGGAGAAGCTTTAAGAAGAAGGTGATGATGGTGAGAAAGTTGTGTTGAGGCATCAAGATGTTCAGGGACTGTTCGGCAATGTCATTGAAGAAACAGCGAGTAAACTTGTTGAAGCTCGAAAATCCAAAGTTAAAGCTTTTGGTTGGAGCTTTCCAAACAGTCAGAATCTTGAAAGATGTCCTCCTGCTAACTCTCTGGTATGCATGAGCGAAGCAAACATTGAATGAATCTTTGCTTTTTCTAGGAGTGTAGTTTGGTTTGCAGAAACTGGTAATCTAGATTGAGCCTGGTTTGAGACGTTTCCGGTTTGCTGAATAATACTGATGGAATTTGGGGTTTGTAATTTTGTTTTGGTGGCTTCTTTTTGGTTTATGATTCCGTTTGTATAGGAAAATCCAAATTACTTTACATACATTTGTTGTTGGTTATTTTATTTACTTTTGTCTCCTTTCTATAGTGGTTTTTTTGTTTGTTGCATAAACCGGATAGTAAACCGTATTTTTCTGGTTTTGCAAGAGCACCGGTCCTTAATGGTTCGTAGACGGATTGTCGGCCAACCGAATATCAACCCGTATTTACGGATTTACCAGTTGATCTGTTAGACTGATCTGATTTTATAAAGTACAGTCTAATGAGTATTCTATAAGATGAGTCTGATCAAAATGGTATAAAACACGGTTTGATCTCTTATAGACTGATCTGAATAAAACACGGTTTGAATTCTGATCTTGAATGGAAAGGTATGATGGAACTATATCTATGTATGGAGGATACAGAGAAAATTAATAGGTGGTCGAGAAATATTTTTGCGTTACATCCTTCTCAAATGTGATGGAATGTAAAACTCGAGACGGTGAGGTTAATCTTGGCACCCCCAAATGTTATCACTCTTTTTTAGTAAATTTATTACGATAAACTGATGAGACAAGTTGTAGTCGAAGAAATACCAATCTTAACGAATTTTGTCACGTTGTTGGATTAGATGATGCTGAACAATAACCAGGCCCGAATTGAACTAAAGGCCCAATCGTTTTTTTTTCTACTCATTAAAAGAAATAAAACGAGTAATTTTGTTAACCGTACCTTTCTTCAGACCTAAATCCCTAAAATTGGAAAAGATATCGCCTCCCGAAAAGTAGTAAGCTAGCAAGCGGCTCTTGAGATTTGACAACTTCTCCATGGACGAATCCGCCAACAAAGTAATAGTTTCGTTACCCTAATGGCTTTCTTGTTATTCGCTCTTTGAACTCTGTTTTCTTTAGTAGAGTTTCTGATTAGATGTTTTGTATACCCTTAGGGGAAGAAATTGAAGGTGATCAAAAAGAAAAGGGGGATGAAATTGAAGCGTTGTAGTGCATCCATTCCAGAACCAAAAGCCAGGTATATTGATCGGTCTGGTTTGAGTCTGAGATTTCTATCTGTATAGATGTGTTGTTCTTGTCACATTGATCATAATGTAATATCAAATTATTGCAGTGGCATTGGGAGAACATCCTTTGATGCACGTGACGATGTAATATTTTTTGTTACTCTTTCTTGTGATTCACTCTTTAAAAGATATGTTATGTTTGGTTAGTAGAATTCCTGATTAGATATATTTTGATGATTTTGAAGGGTTGGTTTTCAGCCATTCCAAAACCAAAATATTCCGCAGAGTATGAGGCTTTGATCAGGACCAAGTTAGCCGACAAGTTAGCCAAGGTAGTAATATTTTTTGTTACTCTTTCTTATGGCTTTCTTGTCGTTCGATCACTCCTTGAAAGACATGTTTGGTTAGTAGAATTTCTGATTAGATCTTTTGATGTTGTTTGAAGGAACGTGATGCAGCCATTCAAGAACCAAAAGCAAGGTAAAATTGTTTGGTTTGAGTCTGAGATGTCTAACTGTATAGTTTTATGTCTTGTTCTTGTCACGCTGATAATAATGGAATATCAAATCATTGCAGCGACATTGGGAGGATATCCGTTATGGGATTTGAGGGTCATGATCGTGAGGGTGTGAAGAGTGCGTTGAGAGAACATTTCGCTTCATGTGGAAAGATCAGCGATGTTTACATTAATTTAAAGACAAAAAACCCGATAGTCGCTCATATATATTTTGTGGGAGAGGGAGCAGTAGAAAAGGCCTTGAAACTTAATGGAAGTGAAGTTGCTGGAGGATGGAAAGTCTCCGCTAAGCCTTATCCGTTTTATGACGACAAGTAAACTGAATTTTGATTATTTTGAGTCTTTTAAGATTTTGCCATGAGATGATAATATATTTGTATCATTCCAAATTATTGCAGCCCTATCTTAGTAAAAATCCGTGGATATGAAGACACTTGGCTTAGTGATGGTGAGCTGGAGGTCGCAGTGAGGGAGTTTTTCTCGTCATGTGGAGAGGTCAAGCAAGTTGTGGTCCACAAGGAAAACGGGGGGTTTGTGGCTTCCTTCTTGCTCGTAATTTTATCTTCATTTTGTCCCAAATGCTTACTAAAGACTTGTCCTTGTTGATGTTTACAGGTTCTGTTGTGTGGATATCAAGGGAATTGACGCAGCAGAGAAGGTGCCCGAACTTGATGGCAGCTTCTTTGGAAGAAACAAAGCAGTTGTTCGTGTTCTTACTTTACCACCAAGACATAGCACCCACAACCGTGCTCGTAATTATGGCCCCAGGTAGTTTAATTAATAGTTTTCGTTGATTCTTGATTCTTGTTGATCCTTTGTAACAACAAAGTACAACTTTTGAACTTTTGTGGTTTAGGAATTTAGGTTTGCTGGCTGCGAATCATACGGCTGCGGAGACTGCCGAGTAGAAAGCTCGACGACAATGCAACCTTTCTTTCTTTTCTGCTTTATGCTTTTGTCTTGTATGTTTTAACTAAACTCGGTACCATGTTTTATGTCTTGGATGTTTATTATTAGGGAAACTATTTTTACAGTTTCTTCCATTTTGTACATAGAAACCAGAATCCTATTTTTTGGGTTTTTCCTAATTATTACCAACGACATATTTTTTTTCAAGCATTTTTTATTTAAAAAAACAAAAATTAAATTTACAGCAAAATCAAAATCAAAAACAAAAACAAAATCTAAAATCCAAAAACCAAAATCTAAAAACCAACAAACATTCATGGCCATAGTCTCTTTTTAGAATACTTGTTTGACATTAGTTTCTAAAAAGAGACTATTTGAAGTCATTTCCTCAAATAAAATTTTGGTCGTTGAATACTTGTGCTAGTAAGGCAGAAATACATACATGTGACATATGGTTGAATACATATATGTGCTCATATATTCTTTCTCTTATAATGTCTGCATAATCAAATCTATGATAGCAAAACTTGTAGTAACCAAATTCAAATTCAAATCTCATTATTAATCAACGAAATAACATCTTCTCCCCCACAAACTTAATTTTGTAAATTCAGTTTACTTTTCTTCAACTATATAATAACTTAAGTGATATATTTCTTTAATCGTAATATAATTTAACATTTTAAAATCTTGTTAAATGAAATTATATATATATATATATATATATATATATATATATATATATATTAAAACAGGAGTTAAATTTAAACAAGCAATTGGGCGGTTAAACGAGCCACATAATCATAAATTTAAAATAATTTCTATAAATAGAATAATTGGGTAACCAAAGGGACCAGAGTCTCTTAGATAGAACATTAAAGAACTTAAGTAAACTGAAACTTCATTTATAAAAAACTTCGTTATTAGAGATTGAAACAATGTTTGATATCACGAAGAGAGAGATGAGAGAATATGATAGAGAGAGGAAAATGAGAGAATGAGAACTTGGTATATATTTACAATCATCGAAGGCTCCTTTATACATTGATTAAAAGAAAGGGAGATTTTCCTTCTTATCCCTGCCATTCTTATCTTCGGTGGAGTAACAGACAAGTTTTCTTTTCTTCTTTGTCCGTATGTAAGAAAATAAGGAACATAACTTAACTACAAGAGAAAAAGTTTTGAAGTGTAATCTGCCTACGCCATTGGAAGATCTACTCAAGTTCGGGAGAAAAAATAATAGCAGAATGTTGAAGCGCAGTAGCGTTTTGGGTGATAATTGCAGAAACATAAAGAAAAAGGCATGAAACCAATATTTCATTAAAGTATTGGGTTTGTTCCGTAAATCATGAGGACTAGGTTGTAAATCCACAAAAGGAGAGAAAAGGAAGGCCTAGACCCAAAAAAGAATATTGGGTTTATTTCGTAAATATAGTTTGTCATGGGGACTAAAACTGGAAATTTGACTACTTCATCCCTAATTTCACAATCTGATAGAAGACAGAAAATTTCGTGCAAACATGAAACATGAATGGTTTTACTCGTGCAAAATTTCGTATACATTTTGTTATTATATCATGCCACTAAGGGTTCTCATAAAAAATTCGAACTATGAATTCCACCGAGACAAAATCATCTTTTGCGTCCCACCAGAGTTTATAATTGAAACTATATGAAGAAAACTGATGCGATGGCCAATTTTCATTAGAAAACGTTATTACGTACATTACATTTCTTTACTATAATGAAATTGTTGAAATTGATTATTGGTTGTGAAGAACGTTGGTCCTTTGCTTCCATAAGTGATAGACCGTTGCTTGAGATGCGAGTTTCCTTAGGGTCGATGATGCAAACGGCGAAGAGCAAGAGCTGTCGTGGCAATTTATTTTAAAGTCGGATAATCGTGACTGTAAAAACGAGTTGTATGCAACTATGCAAGGATATGAGTTTAATGAAAATGATTCCGTTCAATCAATATAACACTTATATTCGACGGATAATGATGATTGAGGCTTTACATAAACATCCTACTGAGTTTAGTTAAAACATCCATACAAAAGCAGAAAAGAAACATCCATACACCATGGAGCTTGTCGAGCTTTCTACTCGGCAGTCATATGATTCGCAGCCAGTAATCTAAAACAAACCACAAAAGTTTGACTTGGTTACCAGGAGTCAAGAATCAAGAATCAAGAATCAAGAATAAACAAGAACAAGAAATTTATCTTACCTGGGGCCATAATTACGAAAACGATCGTGGGTACTATGTCTTGGTGGTTTAGTAAGAAGACCAACAATTGCTTTGTTTCCAAAGTAGATCCCATCAAGTTCCCGCACCTTCTCTGCTGCGTCAATTCCCTTGATATCTACACAGCAGAATCTGTAAAAAAAATCAACAAGGACAAGTCTTTAGTACGCACTTGAAAGTTTTGACAAAATGAAACAACTAAGAGGAAGAAACAAGCCACAAACCCCTTCTCCTTGAAGAATGAAACTAGCTGGACCTCTCCACATGAAGAGAAAAACTCCCTCACCGCGACCTCCATCTTACTATCACTAAGCCAAGTGTCATCATATCCACGGATATATGCTGTAATAGGGCTACAATAGTTGAATATATATTATCAAACACATGACAAAATCTTAAAGACACAAGATATATAAATATAAAAAAAAAAAACAAAACTCAGTTTACTTGTCGTCATTAAACGGAAAAGGCTCAGCACAGACTTTCCAGCCTCCGGCGGCAACTTCACTTCCATCAAGTTTCAAGGCCTTTTCTACTGCTCCCTCTCCCACAAAATAAACATAAGCAATTTTCCCTCCTTTAATCCTCACATTAGTGTACACATCAGTGATCTTTCCGCATGAAGCGAAATGCTCTCTCAAGGCACTCTTCACCTCCCCATCTTCATGACCGTCGTATCCCGTAACGATTATCCTCCCAATGTCACTGCAATAATTTCATATTAACATTATTTATCAACGTCACAAGAACAAGACATGTATACAGATGCAACCCTTACAGGAACAAAATACACTTATTTCTCAAACAAAAGCAATCAACTTACCGGGCTTTTGGTTCTTGAATGGCTGCAGCACAACAACCCTTCAATTTCATGCCCCTTTCCTTTCTGATCACCTAATTCAATTTCTTCGAGAGATTGTTAGGGATTTTCGAGATTAATACCCTAAAATTATATTACTTAGCTAGTTACTTTTTCGAGAGATTTTTAGGGCTTTAGGTCTCTGAAGAAGGTTTTTTATTACTCGTTTTTTTCCTTTTAATTACTAAAGAAAAAGGAAAAACGATTGGGCCTTTAATTGAGTTTGGGCCTGGCTATTGTCCAAATCTTCCCCAACACACATCATCATCAATAGACAATAGTTACCATTTTGATAAGTCTATTTTTCCAACGTATTTTATACCATGATCAAACTGATCGTATTCGTATACAACACTGACCAAACCGTATTTTACAATATCAGATCAGTCTAACGAGTGCTCTTGCAAAACCAGAATAATACGATTTACTATAAAAAAAAAAAATCTATAGAAAGGAGGCAAAAAAATAACCAACAACAAATGTATGTAAAGCACACCAGTGTTTTGCCTATATAAACCGAATCATAAACCGAACACATCCAAATAAAAGCCAACAAACCGGTTAAATGAAATGTATATCAAATGAAAAGTATAACAAAAACATTACATCAATTTTTTTGTTTCAAGGGATTGACATAAAAGATGTTTGACAATGCAAAGTTTGGTTGGATGACTTGAACTTGATAACACAAAAAGTGCACGATAATTACACATCATGCAGCCAATTGAGAAGTTCTGTTCTTGGAGCTTTAGTTAAAGAAGCTCATACCGTAGCTGGTAGAATGAAGCAACGACAACGGAATCGGAAACAACAGATACTCGTCAGGTGGTGAAGCTGGTGAAGGTGTTGTGCCCAATGATGGTGATGAAACCGAAGACTTCTGTTCTGAAGAGTCGGATGAGGATGCGGCTGAAGCAGTTGTCACAGGTCAGCATCATCTTTATAAACCCTGAAGCATGGAATGTGTGTTTCTTCAAAATTACGTCTATGCCTTGACTCATTGGCCTTGATACTGAGATATGCCTTGACTCATTGGCAACGTCTTGAGCAACCATTGAGAGGATTGTTACGTGGAAGCTGTGTATACTTTCTTATTCTTAGGTGCGTTTTGCTATGTGGTTGCTGTTGTGAGACAATAAAAATCTTTTCTTAAGAGATTTGAGATGTTGCCAATGGATGAGTCTCTCAGCATCCAAAATTTCATCAATCAGCTCCCTGATGGATGGATGGGAGCTTAGTATTCTAGACTTGAGCATTGTGGCTAGTATGCTTGAACAAAACGGAGAGGTCTCAGAGATGGGCCTCCTTTGACTTTCGTTAGAGGAGCCTCTACCCGAACTCCAGCTATGCGAGTGTATAGGCCGATTGGGAACATCGAAATCATCCATGTTCGCAACTGACATTGAGAGGTATGGACCTCTTGCAGCATTTGTGGTTTGGTACCCCAGCTATGAAGGTCGAACCCGTCGAACCCATGTAAGCTTTTACATCTTTTGCGTTTTCCATTGTCTTTCCGTAATGATCATCTTTTGGTTTTCCATCAAAAAGATCAGTCTATAAGACCGGTGCTCTTGCAAAACCAGAAAAATACGATTTACTATATAAAAGAAAACCTATAGAAATAAGGAGGCAAAAAAATAACCAACAACAAATGTATGTAAATCAGACCAGTATTTTGATTTTCCTATACAAACCGAATCATAAACCAAACACATCCAAATAAAAGCCAGCAAACCGGTTTAAGAGAAACAAAACCAAAACAGTTTGTTTGGCTTCATGCATACTACCAGAGATGACACCCTTCAGAAATCCAGCAGGAGGTTTCAAGATTCTTGAAGAGAGATGACTGTTTCGAAAGCACCAACCAAAGCTTTAACTTTGGATTTTCGAGCTTCCACAAGTTTACTAGCTGTTTCTTCAATGACATTGTTCAACAGTCCCTGCGCATCTTTCTCCTGAACATCTTGATGCCTCAACACAACTTTCTCACCATCATCATCACCTTCTTCCTCTTTGACATCTTCCCTCTTCTTAAAGCTTCTCCTTACTTGCGCGTCTTGCGCTTTGTCTTCCCCGAGACCCTTTCCTTTTCTAAACTTGAGCTTCCTTGCACTCTCACCAACAGTCTCAGCATCCACAACTCTTCCTCTTCTGAATCTCAATTTCCGAGCAGCTTCTTCTTCTGGAGACTCCCCTTCTTTTCTCCCTCTTGGTTTCCTCTCTCCATTGGACTTTCCAGTCTCTTCTTCCTCGCTCTCAGCTTCGTTGCTTCCTGAAGTGTATTCATAATCCTCTGCTTGTTCTGAAACAGTACACTCATCGTCTTTTTGAGTTGATTCAGTCGGTGAAAGAGGAGGGAAAGGCACAACAACAGGCTGCTGATTCTGATCATGTTCAGAGACGACTTTGCTGGTCGTTTCCATTTCCACAACGTGCAGTGTTTTCTCCTCAACTGGATAACCATCTAACTGCTTCTTAGACTCATCAGTGCGCTTCACATTCCTCAGTTTCTGATTTGGTCGAGAAATAGAGGAAGATGCAGCCTTTAAGCTCTGGCTCTTCCTCAAACTTGAACTTCCAGCTAATCTTGCAGACAATCTTGGAGAAAGTGAAGATCTTGGAGTCACCGGAACTTTCCTTGAAGCAACTCTGGAGGAAACTGTAGCCTTCTTCATCTTCACATCTTCGTCTTTTCCTCCAATTCTTAATCCCATTGTAGGCTTCAAAACTGGTGAAGAAGAACCAACTCGCTCGTTGTTTACTTTAGATTTCAACGTTGTTAATGCCGAATAAGACTTCGTCAAGACCTTCGGCTTCAGGGCATCAACACTACGAGATAGCGAATCTGGTGAAGGTTTAGGTTTGGAAGTTAATGATGATGACACTTTCTTCTTCACAGGAGTGTCATCAGCAGATGGTATCATGAATGCCTCTGGCTTCTTCATCCCACCACTCCCAACCTCTCTTTTGATCATCTCAGAAGAAGAATCATCAGCAACCTTTTTCTTCTTAACTTCAGTCACCTTCTTCGTTTTAGATTCATTCAAATCAACAACATCAGAACCTTTCTTGAAGATCTTTTTAGTAGTCGAACGCCATGGTTTCTCCACAGGTTCATGTTTCTTCCCATACTTGCAGATATCATGACATGAACCAGTAGATGCTCTGAGGTAATGAGGAATCACTTTCTCTTTCGACTTCGAAGCCATTGCCTTCCCCGTCGAATCTCCTCCTCCTCCTCTCGGCTTATGATCGTCTTCTTCCATCAATTGTCACCAACAAGAGACAACCTGTTCATCATTTTAGACATGAGACACCAAAATTTTTACTTCTTGCAAGAGTTTCTGCACAATATGGCAATCTAATTTTGTGTCTCTATAAGACAACCAAAAAACAGATCACTGTGAAGAGATAAAAACACAAGAACACCTAACAGAAACTTTTAAAAGCAAAAACTCAAACTTGAGCTATACTAAAAATAGGAAATGCCATCAGATAACGAGCCAGCAAGAACGGTATCCACCACATGATTCCAAAATTAAACCATTTTTCTGTAACATAAAACAACTTTTTTTCTGTCTGCACTGGAAAGCAAAAAGAAACATACCTATCGAAAGATTTCAAATTTAGTTGAAGCAGCTTGGATCTTGGCTTTATCAAGAGAGCAAAATCTGATAAACAAAAGCACGAAGAAAACGCAGAAAGAATCAATTTATCTTCAACAACTAAGCAAACAATGCCATGAGACAGAGACAATGCAACACAGCGCAACGTTAAGGATTCTCTAATTTTCTCCAAAAAAAGAACAAATGAATCGCATCTAAAGCGAAGTCTCATCTTCAAGCATTCACTTTCCGAGAAAATAAAGCATAAAAGATCCAATTTTTACGTTTCCATTGTAAAAGGAATTGTGTAAAAGTCTAGAACGAACCGATTCGATCAAAACCCATTTCCTCACTCAAGCGAATCCAAGACAAATATGTATTAAAAATTATTGAATTCCAATACTGATATACCTCAAATTGTTAGAACAATTTGCATTACTGATTAACGGCTTGCACGAACAGAGAATTCAACGAGTGAATCATTTTGAATTAGAAAAAGGGTTAAAAGCAGAGAAATAATTCACCTGTTTGTTCGAGAACGGATTTGATCCAACAGAAAAAAGCAATGACTTTTTAACAATGTCGAACCAGATTATCGAAAAGCTGCAGAATTTGCTGATCCTTTTCTTCTGGGTCGGTGTTTGCTTTGCTACGTCGAGAAGATCGTGCAAGCAACTAAAAAAAGAGAGGTGTTTTTTGTGTGCGTGTCTCCGGTTTTTGGGTTATTGACGCTGGTGGTGGGGGAGGAGGCTTTTCTTCTTCTCTTCGCTTTCCGCGTTCGTCGCAGAATCAAAAGCGCATTTAATAATTTACTTCTTCTCCTAGATTTTAGAGAGAGAAAGGTTGTGGGGTTAAGATAAAGGACGAGACTTTGCTTTTGAGTTTTGATCACATGGCTTTGGTTTAGCTCTGTTTTGTGTATGTAAACCGAGGTGGGTTAAAACCGGATTCAAATCAAAATGAATTTCGGTTTATTCAAGACAAAACTGATTAACCAAAATGAAACTGACGAAAATTACAAACCAAGATTGACCAAATTTATAAACCAAGATCGGAATTTGATAATGGAAAGGTCATAGATAAGAAGATTGACCAAAATTGTAAACCGAATTCGGAATTTGATTATGGAAATGTCATAAATATTCGTGAACCATCATCTTTAGTTTGAAAGCACTTACGTATATTTGTGAATATACTATTTCTGTTTTAATTTTAAAAGCAAGATTTGTTTCTATCTTCTAACTTTATTTTTATCATATTTTGATAATACATTTTCTATTTTTATTCTCATTGATTTTTTGTCAAGATATTTTTGGTATTTATTTCTATCTGATCCATATCCTATTTGCTGATGAAATATTTTACTTAGGGTCTGACTGGTTTAACCGCTGCGGTTGCGGTTGCGGGTGCGGGAGTTTGCGGAAGCGGGCGGTTGTGATTAGTAGCGTTATTAAGCGGTTTGTACGACTGGCATAACAATTGAAAATGATGCGTTTGCGGGTTACTTATGACTGGTTCACTTGCGGATGCAATAGCGGTTAAACAATAAATTAATAATATAAACACATTATATAATTATAAAAATATCAAAACTATATTATAATGAAAATTTTAAATTTATGGTTCAACATAATTAAAAAAATATATAAAGAATAATATGTATATAATACTTACATCTATCTTTTAATTTCTATAATTTAAATAAAAAATGTGATTTTATTTTCAAAATATATATTTAATGTGAAAATTAAATTTATTTACAATTTTATTTATTAGATATATATGTATTAGTATGAAAAGAATATTTATCATGAGAATTTTGATTTGTAGAACTTATAAATATATAAGTATTATATGATTTTAATGAATATTGACTAAAAGTACTAATTTTTTATTTATATTGTGATTTTATTATCCAAATCTTATTTTTTAATAAATATTATTATTTATTTTCGGATTTTATATAAGTTTGTGTTTTTTTTTTTTTTTTATTATCCACCCGCAACCGCCGCAACCGCAAACGCTTGCGGAAAGGAGCTTTTGATTTTCAGCGGTATTGAGCGGTACAGAGTGGTATAGAGCGATTCAAAGCGGTTGTCGTGATTGTTATAAACCGCCGAAAACCGCTACGAACCGCAAACGCTGCGTTTGCGGGTGGTAGCGGGAGAACCAATTTGGCCTTTAAAAACAGATGATTTCAATTACTCTATAGGACAAGTTCGTAAAAGAAAAAGATTAAAAAAAAAAATAGAGTTGGGTGACCGACCTAAAATGGACAAGGCTTGCTTCAAAGCGAAGGTAAATGTAAACCAAAAGTAACCCATTCTCTATCTTAATTTGAGTTTTCTCAACGATAACCAAACCGAGTTCGAACCGAACCACAATTAGCCACTTCCTGTTCTCCTACATTAAAGTTAGATGAATAAAATACAGGAATAAGAAAGTATTTTTGAAAACAATATTTAAAGAGTGATTAATAATGAGTGGTGATGGGTTTTGAAATTAATACCAACTCCAAACTTCAAGCAATGTACTTTTCTCAAAGCTTTTCGAGAGACATCGTCAAACATTTATTACTAGTTAAAATATCAGCAGAATTACATAGAAGAAGTTTCGTTTATACAAGAAATTACCTTAAACAATAATGTCAAATCATTTCTGAGACTTTATTAGTTAATTACTTTTATCAAGTAAAAAAAAACATTTTCTTATCTTTTCAAAAAGTCCAAATGGTAAAACGTATTTAGTGAATGAGTGTATATACATTGATGCATAGATAAGCATATATGATTGTATGTAAAGTGGGATAATTTGGACGAAGCACCAAAGAGCTTTTTCACTCTTAGCTTTCTTCTATTGTGGGCCAAAAGGCAAAAACTGTTGCCACTGTAATCATTTCGTCTAAGTGGACAGATCATTGAAGCGATGCAAAAATGCATGATAACATGAGATAGATAGACTCGTATATGTCATGGACTTGATTACATGTAAAAATCTCATTTGAATCCAATCTTGAAGCAATAACAATCACAACCCATTTAAGTAATCTCAAAATTTGAACGGAAGAGTATAGGAAATTTCACAACAGGAATAGTTTTCATCATACAGGATATGATTGTCTTCCTTCTAATACATCGTTAGACTATGATGGTCTTCCTTCTGAATCCATTAATTTATTATTATTTTTTTTTAAATATGGATTTTATGAAAGAAAAAAGTCCAATTATTTTTGGTTCCAATTTTTGTTTTGGTTAGTAAAAATGGTCATACATATATGTTGTATTTCTCTTAAATCAGTCAAAGCACATGATATTTGATTTGTTTTACAAAACATGATGTGACATTTTAATAAAAACATCAATTTCATTTAGAGTTTTCATGGTTTTTAGCATGCTTGTAAAATGGACATCAATCAATGAATCCTTCAACAAATTTCACTTCTCCTAATGAGTTTTACCATGTTTTCCGATTCATGAACCATTATTATTTTCTCAATTTGGAAGTTGAAGAGTCTCATAATAGTTTTATTCAAGTAAGATAATCATTTATTGAAGGCCCTTTAACAAAATTCAGCTAACTAACGCTTAACTAATGTGTATATATCGTACAGTTTCAATAATCCATAGAAGCTATTGTATAACACCGTCTTATAATGATGAAATATGAATTCATGTACTACAAATGTTCAATGTCACTATTCTACATTTTTATATATAGAGATAAAATTTCTTGACTTGTTCTAATGATAATGTATTCATTTTTTTTGGAATACAAATGAACTAACATGAATAAACAATAGAGAACCAAACAAAAATAACCAATACAAATTTTCTTGATTTTTGCCCTAGATTTTGAATCACTAGTCTTGGACCTCTTGGTTGATCACTAGATCAATCATAAACGAAAATTAAACAAAAAATGAAATTCGCTAGATGAGAAGACAAAACTGTCCAAGATCAGCAATGACAAATGGAGATCATTACTCAAAAATTATTAAAAAAACATCTACTTTTGTTTGCTATCAAAATGACGCCATATTTGATATTTTGTGATTTTTAATTCTACATAATTTAAAATACGGTTACCATTTATGCTTTGTCAAAAAAAAAAAAAAAAAAATTAACAAGGACATTTTGGTTCATAATTTCTCGTGGCTCAAGATCAGCCACTGCTACCTAATAAGGCGTAAACCATCCTAATCAAAAGGATATTCGAACTCAGTAGCAAAGATTTTTCCTATAAAAAAATTTGCAGCCAAGTGAGGTTTCAACTGTTGGTCTTTGCAAAAAAAACAAACCAAACATTCAATTTAAATTGATATAGAAACACCAACGCAACATTCAATTTCCTTCATAGTTTCTAATCCAAGATTTAGCCGATAGAAAGATAACAAGTAAATTTTGGTTCATAATTTCTCGTGGCTCAAGATCAGCCACTGCTACCTAATAAGGCGTAAACCATCCTAATCAAAAGGATATTCGAACTCAGTAGCAAAGATTTTTCCTATAAAAAAATTTGCAGCCAAGTGAGGTTTCAACTGTTGGTCTTTGCAAAAAAAACAAACCAAACATTCAATTTAAATTGATATAGAAACACCAACGCAACATTCAATTTCCTTCATAGTTTCTAATGCAAGATTTAGCCGATAGAAAGTTAAATTTGTTGAACTAAGCTTGAAGAAAGCTTAAACTACAAGTCAAGCCTAATCCTATTGTGTTGAGGATTCCTAATGAGCTTAGGACTCAGATTATATTTAAGGGTTTTCTAGATATAGTCTAATAGGATTAGGATATTGAATTGTTATATAAGGAGATGTCAAGGGTGTGACATAACTTATGAGTTTAGAGATTGAGAGCTTAAGTTTTTGAGAAAGAGTTTTCTTAAGCAATAAAGAAGAGTGTTCTTTAAATCTTTGAGTTCATCTTTGGTTATAATTCTACAAAATTACTCTTTTACATTCCCGCCAAAACTAACCGCTACAAGAGAGAGAGAGTTTCAGAGCCCTAAATTTAAAGGAAAAGCTCAATTCCAGGAGCTCCAAAAATGGAATTGCGTCGTTGTTCATTGTTTTCTTCTATTAACCGTTTTCAGGTAAAAAGAAAAACCATTTTCTCCAAATTTTCTAAAACTTTCCATTTTGTTTCACCAAACAACCTCTTCTTCCTCTTCTTCTTTCTCGGGTTCCCATTTCCCTCTCAATTTGGGAACCTGAAAAATCTTTGCCTCAACTTTCATGATCGATTCTTCAGGTAAACAAAACCCTTTAAATCTCGTTTCCTTGCAACGTACGGAACCTAACCTAATTTGTAAAACGTATTTCCTCCAGAATGGGTCTCAAGCTCTCAAGGGGGCCTGTAAAAGAGAAATCAGCTCTGCAACAAACGAGGGTTAACATCCTGACTTACCTAACAACAAATTCCTACCTACGTAACTTGGTGTCCAAGAAACGAAGGCGATTAATCATCGGTGGATATGATCTCGACATGTCTTACATCTCAGACAGATTATTAGCTATGTCTTTTCCCGCTGAACGAATGAGAGCAGTTTATAGAAACCCTCTTTGGCAAGTCAAGTCCGTGCTCGATATGCGACATCCTGATCATTACAAGGTTAATGAGATAATTCACAAATCAAAAACATAACCAATCAACAAAGTTTTTCATTAACATTTTTTTCTTGCAATTTTTTGGCCAGGTCTATAATCTATGTATAGAAGAATGTTATGATCCAGAAAACTTTTACGGCCGCGTGGAGAGATTTCCATTTGATGACAATCATGTCCCATCTCTTAAAATGATCCAACTTTTCTGCGAAAGTGTTCATTCTTGGCTCTCAGCAGATCCCAAAAACATTGCAGTTGTGCATTGCATGGTACATTACCAAAACCAAAATCCGGTTTCTTCAACAGCTTTGTTTCTCTATAAACTTCTAATGTGCTTTGTGCAGGCAGGAAAAGGGAGAACAGGGTTAATGGTATCAGCGTACCTTGTCTATGGTGGAATGTCAGCTGAAGAAGCTCTTGAGATGTATGCAAGAAAAAGAACCACAAACATGAATGGAGTAAGTCCCTTAATTTACATTTCTTGATTTATAAACCAAACTGTTACATTTTCTTGATTGATGTTTTCTTGTCAGGTCTCTATACCAAGCCAACGTCGTTATGTGAAATACTGGTCAGATTTACTAACGTTTCGCAAAGGGATTGGAAATGGACCTCCAGAGGTTAGGTTACCTCAAGAACATAGCAGAGAGTTGTTGAGAATTAGACTTTACGATACAGCTAGCGTTGATTCCGTCTTCTTTGTGGTCTCAGAATATCAGGAGGTAATAATATCTTCACTTTGATGCATTTCAAAACTCTGTTTCTGCATGATATATACACTCGGAAGCATTGAAAGCTCTGTTTCTGATGATAGGTTCCAAATGAGATGTATCCACCATCTGTAGAACTTGCGAGAGGTTGTTGTAGGCAATTCAAGAAAGGGCATTGTAGGAGCTCGAGTCCGAGGTATTACATATCTCACGTGAACCGTGATTCGGAGGAAGATGAGGTGCTAACAGATGGAGAAGAGGCACGTCTTGTTGTTCAAATGGATACAGAGAGTTCCATTATCGACGAGAAAACATGTCTTGATTTCTACTTTGACAAACCTGTTAGAGTAAGTTCACACAAACAAAAACCAAAAATCTTCCACACACAATGTTTGATAAAGATGTTTTAGATAATCATATAATATGATTCTTGGAACAGGTGAGTGGAGATATACGAATTACATTCTATCAGAAAATGATTGGAAGCCGTCTCTTTTACACTTGCTTCAACACAGCTTTTATAACCAATGGCTTGCTTCAGGTACAAGTTATCAAAACCCTTCAAGCAGTTATTTTTACTCTCCTTGATGTGCTCATCAATGTCTATTTGTTTCTGCTGCAGTTTTCTATAAAAGAGCTAGATAAAGTTGGTGGTAATGGAAGATCAATAGCTGGTCCTGATTTTAGCTTGGAGCTGCTATTTGGTCCAGCTACTTCCAAATCCGGAAAGCTTCTTTCACGCGACGACCTTTGTCCCTCTTGAAAGCCTCATTTTTCAGCTCTTTTAAAATCAAATCGTTTTAAAGCTCATATGAGTCTTTTTAACAGTTTCTGTTTCAGAAGATCAGCCACAGAAGAGTCTTGAATGGCTCAGCTGATCCTGCAAACACTTCAATGTGCTGAATAAGTAGCAATGCAGAGGCAAATGGGAAATCTTCAAACTGTAAGCAGCAAAAAACGGTTTCTCAAACATTAATTTTGTAGCAGGTATTGTAATTTTGGTAAATGATAGACAGTGTTGTGATCTTTGCCATCAATTTTGTTTTACATAAAAGATGGTTCTGTTTCCAGTTTAAGATTACTGTGTAAAGTTCTGCTTTTTACCAAATACTCTGTTCTTGAGTACAACAGTCAAGGAAACGGTTTCTTTATTACTATCGGAATACAACTTAGCATTAAAACTGTGTTTATCGTGTCTGTGAAGCTTGAAATCGAGCTACTTAGATGGAGAAGAAACATAATTTAAAGGCAGAATAGAAACGTATGATAAGAGAGAGAGATATATCTTCAGATTTTAGTATAAGCTTGTTCTTTGAGAACATGATTAAACTTTATCGTACAAGACCAGAAGAAGAAGCTTGAGAAACACGACACAGAGAAGAAGACAAAAAAATGTGGTAAACCTAGAAGACACGGACAGAGGCTTAAGAAGCTCGGAGGGTAGTAAATAAAATTGTAAATATATATTAATTTACAATATTGTTTTCATTATATAAATTATAAAATCTATATATACGTATTACGTGATCCGTGAAAGTGGAGAGAAATTTTTCTCCTAGGGTTTGGTTTCAGCGGCACGAACATCACGAGGTTTGGCTCTCATTGTGTTCGTGTGTATTGGATTTTTTAGTTTTAGGCATGGATCTGGATGATGGACACAGAGAGATGGATAGACAGATGAATCAGCTGTCGGTTAACAATTCTCAGAGGCACGAAGAGGACGAGGTTTGTCTCTCGATTGTCTAACGGTTATGTTTCCTTGACTAGTTTATTATTGCTTGTGTTTTGGATTTTAGGGTATCTTGGAGGTTACCAGGAATTGGTTGAAAAGGAACGAACCTTATCACGAGGTTTGGCTCTCGATTGAGATTTTTCGTCTCAATTGTGGTTTTTTTTGTGTTCATTAACTGGTCTCAAAATTTGGTTGAACTTAGGGTTTGTTGGACTATGTCAAGAGCTGTGTTAAAGACATGGAAGAACGTGCTAAGAAGCCACGAGGCCCAACTTTCTTGACAAAGCTATATGATATGGTGGATGATCCTTCAACGGACTCAATCGTTTCGTGGAGCGAAAGCGGCAAGAGTTTCATCGTTTGGAATGAGTCTGAGTTCACTAGAGATGTTCTTCCGAGATGCTTCAAAATCAACGACATGGAGTATTTCACTCAGAATCTTGAGGTCATAGACTTTAAGAAAGTTGGATCTGAATATTCAAGTGATTATTTCGTGAGAGGTCAACCTGAGCCTGTACAGCCACCATCTTCTGTGCCTTATAAGATGTCGCCAGAGCATAAGAGAGTTGTTGAGCGTCTGTTGGATTCGCTGTTGACTTTTGCAGCTCTCGAGGCTCGCAGCAAAGAAAACCCTGAGGTGAGCAGTTGTTGAGCGTTTTGGCTCATTTCTTGTCTTCTCTTCTCCACATAACTGCTTATACTTTTGTTTCCTTAACTTTGATCGTCTGTTTTGGATTTAGTCTCTCGAGGTGATTGTAGCAGATTTTCTTAAGAGGCACAAACATATCGAGGTTTGTTTCTGAAATTCTGATTTACATATATGATTCTCGTCTGTTTTATTTAGTTCCTTGTTCTTGTTTTCTCAACTTGAGTCGCTTGCTTTTGGTTTTTAGGGTTTGAAGGAGATGTTTGTTCCCAAAGGCTGTTATGGTGATTCCTTATGGAGAGGCCTATCATTCCTCGAAAAGTTACAGCGTGTGGTTGATGATCCTTCAACGGATTCGATAGTTTCGTGGAGCGAAAATGGCAAGAGTTTCATCATTTGGAATGAATCTGAGTTTACTAGAGATGTTCTTCCAAGATGCATCGACAGCAACAACATGGCAATCTTCAACAGTTTGCTCCAACACTGTGGCTTTAGCAAAGTTGGTTCTGAGCAATGCGAATACTCATTCTCTCGCTTTGCAAGAGGCCAACCTACGCCGGCTGCACCATATTTTGAGATTACACCGGCGCAATCTTTCTCCCTTAGGAAGGCCCCAAAAGTCAATAAAATCGCCGTCGAGAGAATGATGAAGAGGGTGATGGATCAGCATTTAGGAAACCGCTAAATCAAAACTCTTATATTTGTATGAATCACCTCTTCTCTTCCCTTCCCTTCCTTGGAGTGGTTCTTTAAAATCTTAAATGTATTATCTTTTTAAAGTTCTGTTTTTTTTAAGTAAAGGAAACGGTTTCTTTATTACTATCGAAATACAACTTACCATTAAACTGTGTATGAGAAGCTCGAAAACACAACTTAAAAAACTGAATACAAAAGCATGAGAAGAGAGATCTCTTTCTACTCTTGAATCTTGTTCTTTGAGATCTCTTTCTACTCTTGAATCTTGTTCTTTGAGATCACCTCAAAGGATATGCCATTCTCTTCAAGTCGCTGCTGGATATCGGTGGAACCAAAGACGATCCCGGGCGTGTAGACTCCTCCTTTCACTAGGCTTTCACGCTGCCCCAAGACTATCAAACCACACTGAACAAGTGCTATCGGGGTGGTTATGTACCCAATCTCAGGTCCTGAGATTCTTGTAATGATCTCCATGTCAGGCTTAGTCTTGCCTTCTGCAACAAGACTCTCTTCGCTGTAGCCACGGCCAATGAACCACATCTTGAACGTAGCGCTTTCCACCTCTTCTTCACTTGGACCCTTCTTCTGAAACATACCAAGGCTAAAAATAGAAGGGAACTTCAAAAGAAGCCATCTTCCTAAAGAGAACTTTGCAAGCAAACCAAGAGACACTCCAAGTGTAACATAACGGAATATCCCAAAGAGTGACTTGGAGGTTATCTTTACACCGAAATGAGCTGGCTTGATCGTTGACCAGAAAGCTTCTCTCTTTTGTATCTGCTCAGGAGTCTCGTTGACCCCCGGAAGCCCATGTGGTTTCTCTGTTAGAGTTGTGAGTGTTCTACGAACAACTACTGCGTCAGCAGAAGGTAGCTTCAAAGCCCAAAGACCAATCTTCTTCTGGTTCTCTAGTGTTGGTCCTTTAGCTGGTGGACCATGAATCTGCAAACAAGATTCCAACATTCAGTATTAGCCAAATCTTCTTCTGGATGTTATCTCAAAATGAATACTTACTGATGGCCTAGGCCGTCTTGGTCTTGAACGTCTCAGTTGTTTAAGATCTTCCGAATTGGCTACACCTAAAACAGCAGACTCGTAAGTTCCGAAGTTTCCAGCGATCTTTTTGTCAGACTCCAAGCTGAGGTATGCTTCGATCTGGTTAGGAACCGACGGAGGCTCCCATTGTTTGGAGTTGAAGAAAAGACCTAACTCAGCAGGAATCGAATCGAAACCACAAGCGGAGACGATTAGAGAACCGGTCTCTTCAGCTCTTTCGTGGTACTTAGCTTCCATTCTCTCCATGAACTCAGGCTCACCACTTATATCCAAATAATCACACCTTTAAAAAACCAATGAAGCAAACAAATTAACCAAAAAATTAAGCTTTTTCACCAAACTTAACAAGAACCATGTTTCAAGTATACGAAACTTCACAAGATTACACTAACCATGTAGCAAGCAAACGGAACTTCACAAGATTACACTTTTTTCATCAAAACTTGACAAGAATCAATGTAGCAACTAGCAAGCAAACGAAGCTTCACAAGACTACACCTTTTTGTTCATCAATCTCAACAAGGAACCATTTAGCAAGCAAATGGAACGCTTTTCAAACAGTATTGTCTCCTACAGAAGTGATCACCAAACCTTTATCATTTGCCTACAACTAGAGATCACCAAACCTAAAAATTTGATCTTTTTAGATGGATAATGCATTGCATCGATCCAAAAACAAAAAGTTCCAATTTTTTATTGTTCACACTTCACACTGTAACTAACACAGTTGGGAAAGCAGAGGAAAATCGAAAGTTCCAATTTTTTATAGTTCACACTGTAACTAAACCCAATTGCGAAAACAGAGGAGAAGAAGATTTTACCCTGAATCGGCACAAGCGGCGACGACGGGATCGCCATGGATGCGGAAAGGTCCAACACAGTTGAGGATGAGTTTGGTTTGTGTACAGAGACGGCGAAGTGAATCCGGATCGGATGTATCAGCAGTGAGGATAGCTACGGAGGATGGAGGCGGGTTCGGACGGGCGGCCCATTGGAGAGATTGGGTTAACCGGGTCGGGTTACGACCCGCTAAAGCTAGAGTCTTTAACGGAGAAGACGGTGTTTGGAGGAATTTGAGAGCTTCTCGGACGACGTATTTGCCGGTAAACCCGGATGCTCCGAGTATGACGATATCGTAAGCCGGGTCGGGTTGTTGGGTTGTGTTCATGTTGATCGGATTCGGATTCGAGATTCGGAGAAATGTTTGGATTGGGAGAGAGATATTTGTGCGAGTCTTTATGGAGATGTTGCGTGTCCACCGTCACCGACAATGACGACCACAGTGTAAATTACATCCAAATAAGCGATCTCTTATTAAAACGTATTAATTGTCGTTGAAAATTTGATATTACAAATGAGTACTACTTACACTTACTAATGAATAATGATTACTCAATCTATACTTGCTGTTAAAAAAAAAAAAAAGGTAAGAAATCATTTTAGGTGCGATCTAAATCTTAGATCAGCCTTTATATTCAAAAAACAAAAAAAAATAAAAAAAAATATCTTAGATCAGCCCTCAAGAACAACTCTCGTTCTCACTCGAATTGGAAATAAATCTCATGCAAAAAAGAAACTAAAGTAAAGAAAGAACAACATGTGATTGGTAACTAGAAGTTCCTTGCGTATTCTCTGGGACATGAACTTAGCCGGCAACTTCCACTAGATCGACAATCTCGCCATTTCCGATTACAATCTCCGGTCTCTTTCTGTCTTATCTCTTTCTTCTCTCACTCCAAGTTTGTAACTTAATTAATCAGCTAACCAGAAAAGTTATAAGATAGATCTAAGCTTACACTCACGGACTTAAGATCACACATAACTTGCACGCGTCTTATCAGACACTAGACCTATGAGAGAGAGACACATACATCACTAGGGAAGTTCAGTGTCATGAAATCCACAAATGTTGACCCACGATTTACCTTGTAATTGACAAATACTTGCAAGATTTTTGCCGATTTGCAAGTTACTTACCCGCTTTGTGACTTGCTAATTCATTGAACAAGTATTTGTTCCGTCCAACAAGGCAACCATCCAACAAATTGGTGTTGTTTTGCTATTTGGACTAATGGGCTTCAATTAAATAAAAGTATTATTTGGCTGGATTAATAACACATGTTTCGAGTTGTGGTTAATGGGCTATAAATCTATGATATGTTGGGTTTATTAACAAGGCATGTACTAACGGGACAAGTATCAACATTAAAATTGTGATTTGCTATCTGTCTTATATTTGCAAGTATCCAAATTTTTCGCTTTGATACTTATCTTGCTTAAGACAAGTACTTATCTGAACAAGGTGGTTACAGGGCAAGTCATGGATTTTGAACAAGTAAAGGATACTTGTGCACATTCCTACTTGATCATAGTCTATAATCTTCATTTTATATTGAAGAAAATGCCAAAACTTGCAACTACTTAATCTGTGATAACTTCTGCAACAAACGTGTACATAATTTGATTTCTAAATATGATGCCAAATTCATGGCAAATTTCGTGAGTACGAATTTAAGTTGCTAAATCCAAAAAAACTTAAATTTGTACGAATCATTTTCTTCTCTTCCTTGGAGTGGTAATGTATTCTGTTTTTAAAGTTCTGTTTTTTAACAGATACTCTGTTCCTGAGAGTACACATCTCTACGCCAAAAGTCAAGGAAACGGTTTCTTTATTATACTATCGGAACAGAAGTTAGCAAGTTACCATTAAACTGTGTCTACCGTGTCTGTGAAGCAAGCTACTTAAATGGAGAAAACAGAACTTGGAAAAACAGAATACAAAAGCATGAGAAGAGATCACTTTCTAGACTTGAATCTTGTTCTTTGAGATCACCTCAAAGGATATGCCATTCTCTTCGAGCCGCTGCTGGATATCGGTGGAACCAAAGACGATCCCGGGCGTGTAGACTCCTCCTTTCACTAGGCTTTCACGCTGCCCCAAGACTATCAAACCACACTGAACAAGCGCGATAGGGGTGGTTATATACCCAACCTCAGGTCCTGAGATTCTTGTAATGATCTCCATGTCAGGTTTTATTTTTCCTTCTGCAGCAAGACTCTCTTCGCTGTAGCCACGGCCTATGAACCACATCTTGAACGTAGCGCTTTCGACCTCTTCTTCGCTTGGACCCTTCTTCTGAAACATACCAAGGCTGAAAAGAGATGGGAACTTCAAAAGAAGCCATCTTCCAAGAGAGAACTTGGCAAATAAACCAAGAGACACTCCAAGTATGACATAACGGAAGATCCCAAAGAGAGACTTGGATGTAATCTTTACACCGAAATGAGCTGGCTTGATCGTTGACCAGAAAGCTTCTCTCTTTTGTATCTGCTCAGGACTCTCGTTAATCCCCGGAAGCCCATGTGGTTTCTCTGTTAGAGTTGTGAGTGTTCTACGAACAACTACTGCGTCAGCAGAAGGTAGCTTCAAAGCCCAAAGACCAATCTTCTTCTGGTTCTCTAGTATTGCTCCTTTAGCTGGTGGGCCATGAATCTGCATACAAGATTCCAAAGTTCAATCTTTTTCTGGATGTTATCTCAATCGATGCTAAATGAATACTTACCGACGACCTAGGCCGTCTTGGTCTTGAACGTCTCAGTTGTTTAAGATCTCCCGAATTGGCTACAATTAAAACCGCAGACTCGTAAGTCCCGAAGTTTATAGCGATCTTTTTGTCAGACTCCAAGCTGAGGTATGCTTGGATATGGTTAGGAACCGATGGAGGCTCCCATTGTTTGGAGTTGAAGAAAAGTCCTAACTCGGCAGGAATCGAATCGAAACCACAAGCGGATACGATTAGAGAGCCGGTCTCTTCCGCTCTTTCGTGGTACTTAGCGTCCATTCTCTCCATGAACTCAGGCTCACCACTTATATCCAAATAATCACACCTTTAAAGAACCAATGTAGCAGACAAATTAATAACAAGATCACATTTTTGTCATCAAAGCTTAACAAGAACAAATGTAGTAAGCAAACAGAACTTCACAAGATTACACTTTTTTCATCAAAACTTAACAAGAACCAATATAGCAAGCAAACGAAACTTCACAAGATTACACCTTTTCTTTTCCATCAACCTTAACAAGAACAATGTAGCAAGAAAATGGAACGCTTTTCAAACAGTATTGTCTCCTACAGAAGTGATCACCAAACCTTTATCATTTGCCTACAACTAGAGATCACCAAACCTAAAAATTTGATCTTTTTAGATGGATAATGCATTGCATCGATCCAAAAACAAAAAGTTCCAATTTTTTATAGTTCACACTTCACACTGTAACTAACACAGTTGCGAAAACTGAGGAAAATCGAAAGTTCCAATTTTTTCTACTTCAGTCTTCACACTGTAACTAAACCCAATTGCCAAAACAGTGGAGAAGACGATTTTACCCTGAATCGGCACAAGCGGCGACGACGGGGTCACCATGGATGCGGAAAGGTCCAACACAGTTGAGGATGAGTTTGGTTTGTGTACAGAGACGGCGAAGTGAATCCGGATCGGATGTATCAGCAGTGAGGATAGCGACAGAGGATGGAGGCGGGTTCGGGTGGGCGGCCCATTGGAGAGATTGGGTTAACCGGGTCGGGTTACGACCCGCTAAAGCTAGAGTCTTTAACGGAGAAGACGGTGTCTGGAGGAACTTGAGAGCTTCTCGGACAACGTATTTTCCGGTAAACCCGGATGCTCCGAGTATGACGATATCGTAAGCCGGGTCGGGTTGTTGGGTTGTGTTCATCTTGATCTTCGAGATTCGGAGAAATGTTTGGATTGGAGAGAGATATTTGTGCGAGAAGCTCTCTTTTATGGAGATGTTGCGTGTCCACCGTCACCGACAATGACGACCACCGTGTAAATTACACGTCATTGTCGTTGACAATTACAAATGAGTACTACTAATAATTACTCAATCTATACTTGCTGTTAATAAAAGTAAGAAATCATTTTATACCGAAGAAATTGCGAAAACTTGCAACAACTTTGATAACTGATAACTTTTGCGACAAACTTTTACATAATTTGATTTCTAAGTATAAGGCAAATTCATGGGAGTCTTGATAGTGACATTGTTCTTTATAATTCGTCTGTTGTTGGAATGTTAGAGACGTTGCAAAGCAATGTGTGCTCGCTCGGTGAAGTCCGAAAAGAAGTATCAACCAAGGTTCGTTTAACATTCCGTGGATGCTGAGGATGAGTATAAATTTGTTAAGCGTTGTGTTAGTCTAATGCAATGGAATCGTAATTATCTTATGTAGTTGTGTTGGAAGCTAAAGCAAATATAAAATAAGTTTGTTAGTGTTTTTTTTAAATGACTTAAAATCAGTGTGTGAGCTGGAATGAATCCTACTACAATTAGTATTTAAATGTTATGGACCGCATACTTATCCAAGATTAATGTGTGCATATTTGAGGTTATTGGGTGATGAATTTATATGAAATTTGTTGATTTGATAAATGGAGAGATTTGTTAAATTTGTTAGATTTGTAAAAAGTTTATATATTTAGAAAATCTATCAATTTCTTTTCGCTATAGCGACTTTGAAAATTTTAAGGAATATACATTTACTTTTTGAAAATTTTTTTTATTGAATTTTATTTGTAAGAAAATGGTGTTGAAGATTTTTTTCTTTTTACATTTCTCTAAAAGTGGTGTTGAAGATGCACTCTCATTGGAGACCATGTGACGATATTTGGCATAATGGCGTTCCACGTCCGATTGGAATGGCCATGGATGTCCCTCACGTTATACGCGAGATTTATAACATTTTACTAAAAAAAACATTTGTGAACCCACTATCAAAAATAATAACATTTCTTTATTATTTATCAGTATTAAAATCTCGCGAATAACGTGGGAATTTATCTAATACACAAGGATGAGTTGTCATTAGTGGACCGATCCGCTAGTTTCGCAAACTATTATAATTTATTGATTAAAAAATAATAGGCATGCGTAGCACTAACATAACACGCATTATATTACAGTATTGTTCGTCAAAGCCACACACAACAATCTCTACTTTCCTCTTTGAAGATCATGGCGGTATCTCACGTCCAGCTTGTGCTTCTTCTCCTCGCATCACTCTTCTTCTTACCTGCTTTGCACGCCATCGATTTCGAATACTGCAACAGTAAGTATCAAGTATTGATCGATTTTTATTCAATTGGTCGTTATAGTAAATTAATGTCTTCTGTGTGTTAATAACTTAATATACAGGACTCCTACTTATTATTCGAGCAATGAATTCGGTAACACAAATAAGACTCTAGTTAATTAAGATACCGATCCGCTCCATAATATTTGTTCGATTAATTTTTGTAAAGAATGATCTAGGCCAGCCATGACTTCATTTATATGAAAATGTCTTAGGAAGGTATATTCATAATATTAGAGGATTTGGAATGATGAGTTTAATATGATTTTAGTGAATTAGAAAAGTTGTTATGAATTTTATTCAAATTCTTTAAAATCCTTTTATTTTTCTTTTGAAAAGGTTTATTTTATAAGTTAGCATATCAAAAAGAATGTCAATATGAGAATTTCTTCAGCCTCTGCGACGTAACTAATCGATGCAAAATTGAACCTGGCACTTCCTTTGATTTAATGCTAAAATTTGTTTACCATCCCGAGACTCTGGTTAGTATTTTTACACTATTTTCTTATTTGTTTTGCCTCTTCTCTTTACAAGTGGTTCTCTATTATTTAAAAGATGCACACGAAAGGAAAGTGTACATATAGATCTAGGTTCATGTTTCGTAATATTCAGAAATTTGAATGTTCGATTTCGGCCGATCTATATCAACATTAGCCCATAAACATATAATGGATTGAACGATTGAACTAAACAAAACAAAATTATTTGTATTTTCGTTCAAAGGAAATCAAGAAACTTGGTGGTTTGATATGATATCCTTCAGTTACACTTTCTGCATAGTAAAAAAAGGAAAACCATATACGCATGCATGATACTGACTTTGTGATCTTGTTCTTTTTTATATATTTTTTTTTGGTAAAATCTTGATCTTCTTTTTCCTTTTAATCACGACGAGGCATGTTGATTCATTAACACCAGTTTCTGATTGATTAACTTATTATATGTATGTATTTTAATCTATGTAGGAGAATGCCAAGCGTGGTAGTATATCATTGGTTGATGCAAATGATGACTCTGTTATAAGAATGTGCGTCGATTTCGATCCTCTTGCTGCAGATGGCATATATGGCAGTATCTAGCAGTTTCTGTATTCAAGTTTGGAGGAACCTGAAAATGTGCTATATATCAGGCAAGTTGGCAGGTAAAAATATGTTTTCAAGTCTCTATCTACAAGTATCTCTCGCTGTACCTCTTTATGTATTGTCCAACAAATAAAATAAAAAACAATGAAACCGATATTGGTTTCTATCTGTTTTACATTCGGTTTGGTTTCTATGAACCGAGGCATCATTGGTTAATTTTCCGTATCGGGCTTACTTACGAATTTATACTACTGTTGTGGCTCATGTCGTGTACGATATCAGTTCTAAAATTTCGCCAAATTAACAAACAGAGGAAACAAATCCATTATGATAGCTAACAATATGATTTGACTTTGAAATATCATTTATCTATATGGAAATTGCTATATATGTCTGCACTTTTGTGAGTTGTTTGTTGTTTGCTTTCAGATTTTGTCTAAGTTTGTGTTTGCAAGGTTTGTCAAACTAGAGTGCACAAAGACCTTTAATGAACTGCATAAAGAAAAATAAAAGTTGACGTGACATGTGTTGATAAAGGGAAAAGGGTTCCGGATGTTGTGCATAATTCTCAAGTAACAAAGAGAGCCATAATTAATTATTCCAATTGAATCTAATACTCACTCCATTTCAATTTAGAATCAACACAGCAAAAACCCATGTGCCTCTCCAGATGATGTCACATAGGCTTTTTTAAGTCTCCCGGAGGTGACACCTCATTAAAATCAACCAGCCAATGGAAACATTTCATTTAATACCAGTCAACAGTAATTTCGGTTTAAGCCTGCCACATCTTTATTTCGGTTTACGTTATCTCCGGTTTTGGGTTACTTAATTGATTTCGAGCTCGAGACATGTGTGCTTCGTGCTCTCCGCCGTATCAACAACGACTTTTCTGACTCCTCCTCCTTCTCCGGGGAAAACGCTGGTCATCTATCTAGAAACGGTTTCCAACTGCGATTCCGGGAAAGACTCTCGCCAGAGCCCCCATTCTCCGACCTCTGTTCTTCGATTCAACGCTAACGATCCAGAGACAGAGTATAAAACAGAGCTCGAGACTGAACTAATCGAGCTATCGCCGGAGAGAAAGTCGTCAATCAGAGAAGAGTCGCTTGAGAGTTTGTTTCCGGAACCGTATTCGTTGCCGGATTTGTGTCTCGCTGGAGAATATTTCTGGGATCCCGAAATTCCACCTGATCCTTTGTTTCTGGATGAAATCGAAATCCAGGAACCGTTGCTAAACACGGCGATTCCGAAAGAGGCAACCAAAATCAACGACTTCTCCTTCACTTTGGACGAAGATTTTGAGTCTTGTCCATGGGATGTGGGCAAATTCTTCGAGCAACAGTTGTGGGACAATGAGATTTTTCTGGTGCTAGGAAATTTTGGTGGCGATGATGATGCCGATGCATCTTCACCGTCTTCTTTTTTTATTGTTCTGAAACAAACTCAAATGAAAGTCTGAATCTTCGTTTTCAAATGTTTTTCTTTTTTTTGTGTAAATCTGCAGTATCTCCATTAATGTGGTGCTCATTGGCTGGTTTTCTTCTTCTCGCTCTCTAACTTTATAGGTAATCATTAATCTATGAGCTAGATCGAATCAATTTTACAATTTTTGATCTTTAGTTCATGATAATGTGTTAAGATCTTATGCTTTAACCATTTTCACATTGCTTTCGCCATTTTCACATCTTTAGTTCATGATTTTATCTGATTGTGGAAATGGTCTTATGCTGAAAAAATCTTCAATATACGTTACTGCTTAATCTTTCTGAAGTAATAATATAGCTCAAGATTCATTCTAATTTGGATCCATCCGATCATAGATTTGATATTCAAGAAAGCTGTGTAAAATCATGCGTAATATTAAACTTTCGTGCATATACAGCCATTGAATCTTTCTTTGCATTTATTTAATCAAGTTAAGCGTTCTTCATTTTAAAAGAGAAGCATATAACCCACTCTCAAATGTTGAAAACGGTACTCAATCCTTCAAAAAAATGCTTAAGGGAATGAGATGGAATATAATCTACGTTCGAACTTTAAACATGGTTTTTAAAATATATATTTCAGTTACAGAGTATGAGTAACCTTCAAATGTTGACACAATTCCTTAAATTGAGTATGTCATCGTAGTTTGATGGTTTTCTCAAGAATTGTGTATTTTGCTTTATAACAAAAACTAACTTTATTGTTATTTATCAAAATATTTGCAGGTTACTTGCGTATATCCAAACCCAAGTCAGTGAGTACAAATCATATATTTTTTGTCAAAATTTTTTGCGGGTCAGATCAAAGCGAGTAAATGTAATACTATAGTATAGTACAAATTTACTTCAAAATAAGAAAAATTGTAAACTATAGAAATCAAACTAAATAGCATTCTATTAAGTAAAACAACTATAAAAGTCTTTCACGGCGAAGCGCAGGTTCCTACCTAGTTTAGTTGTAAAACTTTCTGTTTTCTTCCTAATAGATAATGCTATTTGATGTTAGTATAAAAAATAAAAGTAAAAGTCAAGCATAAACTGAAAAATGCATTGGAAATACAAAACAACAACTAATCTATAGTTTCCTCTTTTCTCTTTCTTTGCTTGGTTGTGTTGGCAGCTAAACAAATATGAACACACCCAAACAAATATGATCCATATTGTAATCGTTATAAGAAAAGAAAATAACCGCTTAAATAGTTTGTTAACGAGAAAAACTTTATTATGAAAATCATCATTATATACATTCATTTTTTTTTAATTTATTGAACATCATCACATTAGAAGAATTAAAATTGTCAAAGATGATCACTATTTAATCTCTGACAATTTTCGACACAAATTGCTACATGTTTTATGTTATAGAGTATTTTTTTCTTGAAAATGTTTGAGGCATGCCACAACTATGCCACATTTTTCGATTCGAAGGGCAAATTTGTGGAAATTTTGCCACATATTCTGGCGAATTCATGGGAAACTTAACAACAATGACATTGTTCTTTATAATTCGTCTACATTTTCTCTAACTTTAACTTTTTTTTTTGTATGAAAGATTTTTAATTTTCTTGAAGGTTATCCAGCTGTCAATGCTAAAGACATCGTAAAACAAGGTGTGCTTGGACTTTGGAGAAAATAAAATTCGAAAAAGTACCACCATTCACCAAGGTTCCTTTAACATTCCGTTAGATGCTAAGCATGAGTGTAAATTTTGTAACCCTTGTGTTAATCTAATTCAATAAAATCCTAATTATTTGATCTAGTTGTGTTGGCAGGTAAGTAAATGATTAAACCGAGTTTGTTTTTTTTTTTGGGGAGTCAAAATTAAACCGAGTTTGTTAGTGTTGTCAAAATTATTTAAGATCTATGTGATTTGGAATGGAGGATGATCCTTCTAAAATTAGTATTGAAATATCGTGGGCCACGTACTTATTCAGGATTGATGGATGTGTGCATTACTTATTATTTATTATATCAGTTATGAAATAGCCCTCCGAAGTAAGAGTCTTTTATGGATCTTGTTACGTGATAGTAAAATATGATAATCTATAGATTACTGCGTATAACGTGGGAGTTTAATATAAGGATGTCACTTCTGATTATGGACCAATCCACTATTTAGCAAAGTATTATAATTTATGTCTGTAACATATAAATAGCACTAAGCCACTAACATAGCACACATTAGTCTTGTTTGTCAAAACCAAACACAATCCATTTTTTAGTTTGCTCTTTGAAGATCATGGCGGTATCTCAATTCAAGCTTCGGCTTCTTCTCCTCCCATCAATCTTCTTCTTACCTGCTTTGCAAGCCGTCGAATTCAAATACTGCAACAGTAATTACCGATTTGTTAATTTGTCTTAATAGTAAATTAAAGCTTTCTGTGTTACTCCTAATTATTTGAATTTCATCTAAATTTTCATGTTGAATGTTCTTCTCACAATTTTGGGGTGCGACTTTTGTAGACGTTGGATACGATTCGTTTGACATCTTTAATGTGGAGGTCAAATCGTCCCCTTCTATTGGGTCTTTCTTCGGGCGAAGCTTTGTTGTGGTCGGTGCTACAAGTAATACAATTCAATTGATTCTTGGAAACTAACCCATGCTGTTGAACTCGGTTTAACTTCATCAATTCAATTGATTCTTGAAGGAGAAAAAAAAGTTCCTTTTGACTGAAGAAGACCCTTTAAAGTAATGCACTTGACCAACAACAATCATTGTACAACTTTAGTAAACTTTCGTATCAAACCCCACCTTCTGGTCATCTAATATCTTTTGAAATCTGTTTGTTTAGGTCTGTGATGATTTCCTTCTGAGAACTCTATTTTTTGTTAAGACATCTGAACAACTTGTGATAGATTAACTAACTAATCCACCCTTAATTGTTTCTTAGATTTTTAATCCTGTTTTCCGGTTAGGTCTTCTTCTCCATCACCAACAGATTTGATTTTCTCTCTGTCAGAAAGGTGAATATAGTGAATGTGACAAAGCTAAATATATCTTTCTTTTTTCTTTCTCTTTTCTCTCTCTTTTTTTTTGCAAGCACAAGAAAAAAATAATTATTACCCAAATTTGGTCCCACAATTCTCTCCCTTGCTGTTTATGCGGTTGTGTTTTGCAGCTTTCCTTACCTCTCTTTCACAAGAAGACTCAAACAAAAAAAAAACGTTTTTCTTTTTTTTTCTTTTAATAATTTTGTCATGTGATTATTTTTTGTTTCTTTTCTCTTTCCCTCTTTTTTTTTCTGTTTTTCATCTTTGTTCTTTGTTCTTTTGTCTGCAATCCCATTTCATCTTTTTGGCCTAATGAGGGGTTGATTCCCCAATATTAGACCCGTTTCCGAATCAGGAAACAATTTTCTTAAAAAATGGGTTGCATCAGCTCCAAGAACGTCTCATGTCTAACGGACCAGAGTCCCTCACAAGTCCCCGAACCCGACTTCTCCTCCACGAACCAGCAACATCGAGCTTTTGTTGATCATTCATTGGAGGCGAGTCACAATAACCGGCGTTCAAGAAAATCAAGGAGATTGGGAGGTTCTGATTTAAAAATTGGTGTGAGCCTTATTTCCGGGTTGTCTCATAGGAACATCGAGGCTGAGCAAGCGGCTGCTGGTTGGCCGGCTTGGCTCTGTTCCGCTGCGGCTGAGGCTGTCCAAGGTTGGGTCCCTCTCAAGGCAGAGGCGTTTCAGAAGTTGGAAAAGGTAAACATATTGGTTTCTTGCGAAGGAAGTTACCACCAAAACCTATACTATAATGGTTTGTTGAGTTTTTGCTTGTGTTGTAGATTGGACAAGGAACATATAGTAGCGTGTTTCGAGCACGGGAAGTAGCAACAGGGAGAATGGTGGCTTTGAAGAAGGTAAAGTTTGATAATCTTCAACCAGAGAGCATTAGGTTTATGGCCAGAGAGATTTTGATTCTACGCAAACTCAATCATCCTAACATCATGAAACTTGAGGGTATAGTCACGTCTCGTACGTCTAGCAGCATTTATCTTGTTTTTGAGTATATGGAACATGATCTTGCGGGTTTATCCTCTAATCCCGACATCAGATTCACGGAGTCACAGGTACAAAACCGGAATCTTGTGTAGAAAAATCAAGTTTGTGTTCTTATATATAGAGTTGTTGAGATTCTTTCTTTTGATTCTTGTTTTCAAGATCAAATGTTACATGAGGCAACTACTTTGGGGGCTAGAGCATTGTCATATGCGAGGCGTAATACACAGAGACATCAAGGCATCAAACATTTTGGTCAATAACAAAGGAGTTTTAAAGCTTGCAGACTTTGGGTTAGCAAATGTAGTCACACCTAAGAACAAAAACCAATTGACAAGCCGTGTGGTGACTTTGTGGTATCGAGCTCCTGAGCTTCTTATGGGATCCACAAGTTACGGTGTATCAATCGATTTATGGAGTGTGGGATGTGTTTTTGCTGAGATCCTAATGGGAAAACCAATCTTAAAAGGAAGAACAGAGGTAAAGGAATCTGTCTTACATATATTTTTTCCCATCAAGAACTCTTACATAACTTGTATCTTGATATGATCTCTTTCTTAAGTTTTTTGTTTCTTTCCATTTTTTTTTTGGTTTTGCAGATTGAACAATTGCATAAGATCTACAAACTCTGTGGATCTCCAGCAGATAGCTTCTGGAAGAGAACTAAGCTTCCACACGCAACCTCCTTTAGACCTCAACATACTTATGAAGCAACTCTCAGAGAACGTTGCCAAGATATATCATCAGTGACTGGTGTTTTTCTATTAGAAACTTTACTTTCAATGGAACCAGATAAACGTGGGACTGCTTCATCTGCACTTAACTCCGAGGTAAAAGGAGATTTCGATTTCTCATTGCGCCTTGACTTTCACCTTTCACTTCTTTTTCTGATTTCTTTCAATTATTCTTAGTATTTCTTGACGAGGCCTTATGCGTGTGATCCTTCTTCTTTACCTAAATATCCACCAAACAAAGAAATGGACGCTAAACAACGCGATGATATGCGCAGGTTAGGCTTCTTTCTTTTCCTTGCTGGTATTAATTTTCTTGTTTCAGGACTCTTGTCTCGTTTTGGGAAGAAGTATTGTTGTTAAAGCATATGCTTTTGCAGGAAAAGAGCAAACCTCAAGCTACGAGATTCTGGAGTTGGCAGGAAACACAAAAGACCACATAGAGCAGAACATGATCCACACAGTTACGCTAAGCTGCCAATAAGACAGGTTTCTTTCTTTCTTTCTCTGAAAATATCTTATGGTTTTGATTTCTTGAGGCTCAAGAAAGCGTTTAACTTGCAGGACACGTTTGAGGGCAAGAACATACCAAATGAGGCATCTCGAGCCACAACAACAGCGCATGGAAATTACTACAAACTCTCTGACCTCCCGATGACCACAGGACCAGCAAGCGGCTTCGCATGGGCCGTGAAAAGACGGAAAGATCCTGATAATATCTCCACTCTAACCTACTATCAACCAAGCTCAAGAAGCCAACTGAGCGAAACAAGTGTTGCTTTTGCTAAGAACACTTTCGCTTTTAACTTGAAACCAGGAAATGACTCCGTTTGGGAGGTTCAGGGAGACGATGATGATCACATCATTGAGGAGGTTCCTAGTGAGAGTAAGCTTAGCCGTATTCATGAACGGCACGGATCACTTGATGGGTCTGGTTTGGATCTCAGCCAAAGAGAGGAGGATTCTCCACTGAAAACCAATCTAGTAAGCAATTTGCTGATTCTATATAGAGATTCAATGGTTTATACATACACAAATTTGGTAAAGTACTTAAAATGATTGTGATTGTTGGTGTTGGTGTTGCAGGATCATATACAAACTGGAAAGCAGAGCATATCAGGACCGTTGATTTTTAAATCAGGCAAGATTCAAGAAATTTTGCAAAGGAATGAAAGTAATATCCGGCAAGCTGTTAGAAAATCCCACTTCCAAAGGGGTAAATAAATTTAATATCTAAACCAAATTATAAACCAGAATTAGCCAGATATGTTGTTATTATTTAAACCAGTTTTGGTTATCTTTTTGGCAGAACAAGATGACAGATAAACTGGGAAAGAAAAAACAATCAAGATGACAAAAGTCCACTTTTCATCGTTTTTAGACAAAAGAAAAAGAGGGAACAAGAAGAAACAACCGTAAGGAGAAAATATGTAAATCCGATAATTAATATCCAAATTGTTTCTCAGCCCTCTTCGTTTTTTGATGTAATAGGGGGGGTGGGGGGGGGGGGGGGGAAAGGTACGTATATTACAAAAAGTTTGTCATTTTTTGGAGGAATCTAAAAAAATAGAACAATGCATTTTTCCCCATTTAAGTGGGGTTTTTTTGAAGATAATTCTCAGTATATATATGTTTATCACTAGATTTCTAGTGATTTGTGTATCTCACTAGATATGTAATGTCTATGACCATCAAATTTTAGAAGTGATAGGTGCATGATTATGATACAGACATACAGTCATACAGAGAACAAAACTTTATATATAATAGATAAATGAGTTCCTCGTGAGTTTATCAATTTTATTTATTTATTGCAGATAAAGAAAAAAAAAAAGACAGATTATATATGTGCTGGCTAGCATGTTGTAACTTGTCAGACTGTAACACGTTTTAGTTATGTTTAAGGGAACATGAAATTTCCTCGGAAAATAAAAAGTCGGTACCCATTGACCCATTTATAAATTTTGTTAACAATATAGACCACAAACTTTCAGCTGCAGTTTTATCTTATTTTCATGATTAAAAAAAAGACTCGTGGTAGTTTTCATTTTCAACACATTTGCAAACAAACGCAAGAACAAAAATGTGGTGTACAAGATACAACAAAACACAAACTCGAGAATATGACTTTCAGGTGTTACAATTTGTGATTACAGATGGATAAATAATATATATTCTCGTTACAACATTTGTAAACAATACACAACTCCTCAATGCACAACAAATTCCGTGGAAAAAAAAGATGATCGATCAAGAATTCAAGACCACCTTGTTCAAACAAGAGTTTCTCCATTTCCAGGGATTAAAAGTGTTGGGATTTGACCATGGTCAACGAAGTCAATCTTGCTCAGCCTTAAACAACACAAGACCTTTTCTGGTAACTCCTCTTGTTTTTGAGCCTATATATTAACAAAAACAAGGTTTATATTTTCTCATTTCTTCAACACAACAAATAGTGTCAGTGAAAAGATGATAACCAAAAGACATTACCTGGATAGTTAAGCCAAGATCAAGAGTTCCATTTTTAAGTCGATCTCGAAATGCTTCAAGCCCTTTTCTTGAAATGAAACTAAACCGATGAACATCCAAATCAATCTCAAAGTAATTAGGACCCTGGATAAAGGGAGATCACGTCCAAACTGATCAGCATAACATAGGCAAAAAAATGGCATTTATAAGATAGAAACGAGTATTATGGTAGATAAAAAATCACCTTGAAGAAGTTGTGTTGAGGGCGTGAAAGGACAGGTTTTTCATTGTAAGCTTGTATAAGCTTCTTCTCAGTGGAGCTAAGACTGAGATCCTCAGGGTTAACTAATCCGGCTATGATTTTAAGCCTTTCACGAAACGGAACAATGTTTTCCTTTGCAAACCCTTTAACTTTCTCCATCTCATCTTCAACTAGTTTCTGCAAGAAACCATAAAGATCAATCACAAGAAAGTAAGAAAAAAAACGAATGGTCTTTAGATATTTTAATGTTTAACCTTGATGCTGTCTTGGCATTGCTGAGAGATTTCTTTTTCGAAATTGTCTCGTAGTTTAAAGTAAAGTACAATGCTCATTCCTTCTCCATTACTATCACCAAGAAACATTGCGGCTGGATAAGTAGGCAACTGGTTCAAACCAAGAATCATTAGATTCTTGAAAACACACATCTTTTGATCTAAAGGAACTTTGTTTACCGGTTTTTACCTGAATGTTGACAATCAGAAGAGCAGGGAGCTTTGCCTCGGCTTTGATATTGGGAAGCTCGATGTGTTGAGCTATGTGATCAATCTTCCTTGGACACACAAACAAGTCAACACCAATTGGAGTGTATGGACACTGATTTGGAGCTGGTGATTTCCGTTTATCTCTACAATTCAACATTGTTTCAACAGTTTACATCCACGTCGAATCATTTTAACGTGCATATATGTATAAGGAAACAGAGAAAGTACTTGAAATAGGTTTCGCCACGTAGTTTAAAGTTTGAAGGAGGTATCTCACACCAACTTCCAGAGGATTGTTGTTTCTCTTTGGCTAAACAAGGGATGGTGAATCCAGCTTTTGGACGGTACAACAACTTCTTGGACGATCCTTTTGTATAAAAAAAACCTAACCGGGTCACACACACAATGCATAGATGTTTGCAAGGCTTAGTGAAATCTTGAAAACTTACTATGTTCGGTAACTTCTTCACCATCGCATGATCTTCTTTTGAACGAGACCCGGTAAACCGCAGACTTTCGTTTCTGAGATGTCGGCGAGTTTAGAGTCTTGTCGTTGAAGCTAACCGTTGGCATCAGCCGGCTCAATGTTTTCAATGTTTTCTCATGAGAGTTGCGTTTTTGTTCATTCAAACCTTTGCAGCTTCCGTTATAAGTATGGTCCAATAGTTTTTTCTTGTTGTTTCCAGTGATAACCGATAAACCATTAGGATCTTTGTATAAACTTTTGCTCATAAAATTTTCGGTTTTATTACCGCCATCGATCTTCAAGTAACTCTCATGATATTCTTCGTAATTTCCCTTCTCATCAACAATGCATGAAGAAGCCTCAAACTGAACCACTTGACTGTTTGTAATATTGCCCGTTGCACCACACTCTGACCAAACATTATCAGCTAATAGACAAAGGAAACAAAATCTGGTTATTATCAATGCTCAAAACTCACAAAAAAAAAAAAAAAAAAATCAAACATTTCATACGTATTGAAATTTACCTTCATGTAGGCTGCTAAATTCATCATCCGAGTCAGAAAATATACTTAAAGAATCATACCACGCATCATTATTAGAAATATCTGCAACAAAACAAACAAAAGAAGCATCATTCTTCATCTATATTTTTTTTCTGTAACAAGAAAGCAACTTTCATAACTGTCTCCCTAATGAAGAAACTCACCAAAAGAGGTTCGGGCTCCGACATCACTCGCCCGTCTAATATTTTGATGAGAGATAATATCAGACACTTTAGAAATGTTTTTGGAAAATCTACGACGGCCTTTCCTTCGTTGCTTAAGTCTTTTTGAATGTGTTGACATACATGTACCCATTTTTATTTAGAACCTGCAAAGACCAAAAAAAAAAAACACATAAGTTTTCTGAAATAGGCGATACACCAATTAATCTTTTAAAACATATACTCAACATACAAATGCAGTTTCCCTTTTCCTCAAAAGAGATATAATTAGGAAAAGATATTTGAACAAGCTTCTGAACGAAACATGTCTAGAGATACTAAGACGTGGCTTTGTATGAGATTTGAATAAGGTTGTAAAAGAAACATTTCTAGAGATACTAAGACGTGGCTTTGTAGTTTACTTTTACATTGGATCAAGTCATTGCCTGACTTTGTCTTCAACAGGTATATACAGCCTAAATCATCAACGAAAAGAATCTTTCAAATATTATATATTCCAGCCGTCCCTTATAAACACAGAAAACTAGTTAAAAAGAGAAAGTGGGACACAAGAAGTTTTAGCAACAAATCTTACAAGATTAAGACATGCAAGAGTTTTATCAGGTCAAAATTTTCAGGGACCACTAAATTGGTCAACAAACAATATGAAATTCATGTCATTAGATTCCACTAAATTGTTTGTTCAAAGAGACCAAACCTAATTACACTAAACATTATTTAAAGAAAGAACTAAATAAGGTTTATACACTAAACCAAACCTTAATGCTAGAAAAGTCTAAACACTTTTATGGAGTCCCACAATTTGGTAGGAAACGTTATGAAAAAAATAATGTTAAAAAATCTTTTGGGTTATGGAAATAGATTTCTTTTGGATTTTGCACTGATAGAGACATAACAGATTTATTCACAATCAGGTTCATGTAATAACAAAATTTCCCACAAAATTTGAGGAGAAAAATATGGAAAGAATGTCAACATCACATACAAAAAGGTGAAATTAAAATTGCAGAAGTTCGAAAAAAAATTTGTATAGATATGGGTCTTGTATCTAAGAGATTCAATGAACATTACATAACACAGGGCACATGCAATGCATCAAGATCACTATTGATTCTTAGCTGTACAGAAGAAAAGTATAAATCTTTAAGGAAACAAAAATTACAAAGTTCCAAAAATGGATACAGTGATCAGGCAAATATGATTCACAATGTATATATTTTTTTGATTAAAAAATTACCTGAAAAGGGTAATTTCTGTATTTTGTGTTGTTGAAGGGTGGAGATTTCCTGTATTTACGGAGACAGAAACAGAGGAGAAGAGCAAGAAGAAGAAGAAGAAGAAGAAGAAGGAGAAGAACCCTAAGGAAGAGGAAGAGATTAGAGAAGCTAAACGGACCAAATGGGTTGGATCCGGGTGGGACCCGTAAAATTCGGATCCAGGCACGGACACCAATGGTGATAAGGAAAAGACTCAGGTTCTCGTTTCTTCTCTTCTCTCTCTCTACTCCATCCAAAGGAAGACAGACATAAAACACAGCAGAGAGACTCCGAGATAGAGAGTTTGTTTTATATTATTATTAAAAATGTTTTTATAATGCAAATCTTTTTACCGTTGATTCGTGAAACGTTGTCGTTCAACGCATAATTAGTTTCTTCTTTTCGTTTAACTCCCCCAAAAGGAGATGACTTGTGGGCATGCACTCTTTTTATCTTGTCTAAGGCCTTATCATAATTATGTTGAGGATTAGGGAAACCATTAGGAGGATCAAAGTGAAAATTTGCTCCTTATCCAAGTTCTTGAGCTAAAGAATGGGAGTATTTATTAATGACCTTTGATAGGAACTCTACAAATTCAATTCCCTTTCTCAGTAAATTAAATTTTGTTAAACTTTGCACTCTTGCCTTCGCGGTCTCTTGTGTACTTATTAAAGGCAACATATATGATATCAGTGTTAAACTTTGTAATACTTTATATGCCTTTGAATGAGCATGAGGACCCGACGTATGTGAACATTATATAACGTTAGGTGAAGGTTAAATTTTGGTTTCAATAGGTATTGATTTTTACTTTTCTTTCCATCTTTTTGCCTTGGGATTTAGTCTCCAAAAAATTGAGGATGTTTTTTTTCTGGTGGATCCTACATGTTCTCGTTAATTTTCTCCAGTGAGAGAGGGAGAAACGTTTCAAATTTCTTTTGGTACGACGTGTGGAACGCGTTACGCAAGCTCACTGATCTTACAGGTACCCGAGGCGCCATAGGGCGGCTGTTCTAAATTCTATGAAGGATGCTATCGAGAATTAAAGGCAACACGGCAAATTAGCTAGAAGGTGAAGATGTAGTTATGTGGCGAAGAAAATGAGACAAATTCTAACATAATTTAAGCACAAAGAATACTTAACTCGTATAGTGTAGCCCATAAGAGAATGATACAAAGGCATTGGTACAAAAAACCGGGTATGTGTGTCATTTTGCAGTTTTCATTTTGCAAAAAAAAAAACGGGTACGTATCTCTTATCCACATACAAAAAACCTAAGATCATGTAGTCGTTCACATTCAATGATATAGGGTTACGCTATTATGGAGTTAATTATTCTGTTAACGGAATTAACTGTGCCGTTCAAAACCGTGGAGTCGCGAAATTGATTGCCACATTGGAGGTTTGAAGTGGAACTGTTGTCACCTTGATGGTTTATAGCATAAGTTAAAATCGGCTGTAAGCTTAAAACTTAAAAGTTTATTTATGGGACTTCCCTAATTTTTTTTTGTACTATAAGCTTATAGTACTATGATGGTCGTAGACTCGTAGTGTCATTCATCTCTGACTCTGAGAATCCTAAATTTTTTGTACTATAAGCTTCAAGAACTAATTAAGTTTTTAAAAAATTGATCATAGATAAAAACAAATTTCAAAGAAATAATTTTAGGGGTAATCAACATATTCCAAAATAAAAATAAAATCTTAAACTATTTTAAATATTTGTCGCTTTTTACTTACAGAAGCTTAAATTGTGGCGGTTAACCACTTTAAAATGCTTTGATATCGTATCGATCTCTTTCTATATATGATATCTAAGACAAAATTATGGTTTTCTTGTTTTACTATTTTTGAAATTGATTTAGTTTTTGTTTTTGTTTCAATTCTTACATAATTTGTTTTTAACTAAAAATCACAAAAATAATTTTATAATAAAATTAGGCTAAGTCCATGCATGTAATATTTTTAAAAATAAATAAATAATATAATTCGTCCTTGAACTATAATTTTTATTATATATATAAAACGTGTAAGTACTTTCTAGTATAATAAAAATTCGTTTAATATCGTGTCTTAAAATTTAGTATCAGTTTTTTTTTTTTGAAACCTATATAAGAAATATACTTGAAATTTAAATTTTTCAAAATAAAAATTCCTGAGCAACAAATAACATTAAAAACTTATGTTTTATAACTTTTGTCTTAATTTTTTTTTTCTATGCATAAAGTCCTGTAATATATATTTATATATTATAGAAAGAAATATATGTATGTATCTGTAATATAGAAATAAATCTATGTATAGTTATATTATTATATACTAGGAAATATAAAATGTGCAGTTAGTCAAACCTTCCACTAACCTTAACTGCAATTGTTTTGTAAGGGAACTTTTTTTTTCTTATTAAAAAGTTGAGTAAGTACATTTTTATAACCATTTAAAGACAAACCATTTCAGTAATACATTTTAAAATGTACTATTATATTATGCTAATAAATCTACAGCTCAGCTAAATCAGAAAATTGCATTTTTTTTGTGAAACGCCGAGGTGTGGTAATTAATGTAATGGTGCCTAATGACTCATTATGAGTCATGAAAAAAGTCTGGCAGTTTTTCTTTTTAATGATAGTGATGACTCATACTTAAATGAGACAAAAACAGATAAAACCAAAAGAGAAGGTAAATTTATATCCCCCCAAGGAGTAGAGGTAAACAATTCTTCTTTTCTTATCTCTTTCGTGGCCCCTTTTCTCCACAGAAGAAAATGTCCGAGTATGTGTTCATATTTGCATTATACGTTTCAATCTTTCTTTAGCAATCAGACACTTTGTGACTGTGTTAAGAGTCTTCTTCGTTTGAATACATTTCAAGGCTTTTGCCTGTTTAATTTCAAGATAGTAGTTATAAAGCAAGCATAGATCTTATCGTTTTTTTTTTATCTTTTGGTTTCTCAAGTTTTGTAACAAGTAGGGCTGGTGATAATATGTTTCTCTGATGAATGAAATTAAACTAACGATTGAAATGAAATCTCGTTGGAATATCATTATGACTTGGGAGATTCACCATATGGTTGTTTTTCTGTGTAGCTTCACGTAACATATATTACAAAGAGTTTTCTTATAGTTTTTTTTTTTGTATATATTGCAGATCTTCCCCCAACAGCGAAATGGATGAATCATGGAAAAAAAAATCCAGTAAGAAGGAATCTGTTCTACCAAACTATAAGATTGGTAAAAGTATTGGACATGGAGCTTTTTCAAAAGTGAAATTAGCAAAACATTTAGCCACCGGACACAAAGTTGCTATCAAGATCATTGATCGTAAGAAGGTTGAGGAGCTGGACCTAGCCACAAAAGGTATACATACACGTTTTTTTTTTTAAAGAGATTTCGTAAAATTACAAGATTTTCGCTAGATCAATCTTTTATTCTTTGGACTAGTTTGGGGAAGAGATGAATGACACTATGACCATCATAATTATTTTTAATCTATACAATTCTTTTTATTATACAGTGGAAAGGGAGATTCAAATCCTCAGAGCGTTGATGCATCCTCGTACCATCCGCCTGTACGAAGTTGTAGAGACACCGGAACACATTTATCTTGTGATGGAATTTGCTGGTAAAGGAGAATTATTTGATTACATCGTTGAGAAAGGTAGATTATCTGAAGAAGAGGCTCGCCGTATTTTTCAGCAGGTTCAGATGTTTTTATTTATTTTTTACATTGTTCTTATTTTGTAATAAATTATATCTTCTTTGATTTGTAACATTTGATTAAAATCGTATTTACTCAGATCATATCTGGTGTGGAATATTGTCATCACATAAGGGTTGTTCACAGAGATCTCAAACCGGAGAATATAATAATGGATTGGAAGGAGGACATAAAGATTGCAGATTTTGGGTTAAGTAACATCATGTATGATGGTCATTTATTGAAGACAAGTTGTGGAAGCCCTAATTATGCTGCTCCAGAGGTATATTGTTTGGAAAATACATATGTATCATTCTTGCTTCATTAGTTTGGATTAACCACACCCGAAAATCTGTTTATAGGTCCTTGCAGGAGAGCCATATGCTGGACCAGAAGTAGATATATGGAGTTGCGGAGTGATATTATATGCTCTAGTATGCGGTCAGCTTCCTTTCGATGACGCTGTTGTGCCTAATCTATTCGGTAAAATAAAGGTATTACAAAACGATTTTTCACAAAAAAAAATCATCTACTAAATGCATGTTTTGCAGTTAAAGATTTATGTTCTTTTTTGTTTTAGAGGGGAGAGTATACTCTTCCAAATCATTTATCACGTGATGTTAAAGACTTGATACCAAGGATGCTTACGGTTGAACCTCTGAGGAGAATTAGCATTCCTGAGATTCGTCAACATCCTTGGTTCCATAATGATCTTCCTCATGATCTAGCTGTTCCTCCATCGGATGCTAGAGAACAAGCTTATAATAAGGTCAGAACATTTTTCAGTACTATGTAGAAAATTAACATCATTTGTATGAATTAGTCTAAGTACTATAGTTTATAATTATTCCCAGATTGATGAGAAGATAGTTCAAGAAGTGGTCAACCTAGGATTTGATAGAAACCAGGTTGTTGAATCTCTTGTTGGTAGAATCCAAAACCAGGTATGAATGTTTTTGATTCAAAAGAATTCATAGTTTTAATTTATAGTTTGGATTGTTTTTTTTTTTAAATAATTGTTAATTTGACAATTTTCATTGTTTTAGGCTACAGTTTCTTATTATCTAATACTTGACAATAGTCGTCGTGTTCCCGTTGACGATTCCCAATCCGAGAGTACAGAGATATCGGTATTGCTCTCTTTCCCTACAACATAAAATTTTGTAGCCTATAAATCTAAAAAGAGACATGCAATGTTTTTTTTTTTCTCTTCTTGTTAACTACGTATTGGTGATGAATAATATACTACTTATTTTAAAAGTCTTGTTTAGGGTTTCTACTCACATGTTTTATTGTTGTATGTTATGAATATAGGATGGCACTTCTAGTTCGATTTTCGAACTTGGCGTGGTTACTTCACATGTTGGCCATTCATTTCCTGCATTGGTCGATCACCACATGACTGGACTAGGACCACAGGCCATAGTTGACAATGACAACCAATGGAACCTTGGACTTCAGGTTAGTCCATGGCTACTGAGTCTTTTTGTTTTTTGTTTCCATTTGACATTTCACTTGTTATATATCTACATTACGTCACCTTTCCAGAATCATTTCTTGATTGAATACTTAGGACAAATGATAAAATTAAACTCTCTTTATTTTGTAACAAAAATAGTTTTCCAGTCAATCTTTTTGTTTTGTTATTTTGACAGTCTCGAGCGCATCCTGGTGACATCATGGATGCAGTTTTTAAGGCTTTTCAAAATCTGGATGTGTGTTGGAAACATATGAAAGAATACAACATGAAATGCAGATGGGTTCACAAAAGTAACAGCTCCAACGAGAATTCTAACGTGATGGAAGAGGACTGCGCCATGATCTCACCGATCGTGCTCAAGTTTGAAATTCAGGTATATACAAGATACTTATATAATAGTTCTATACTACATAGTTATAAGGATTTTTGGTTATTCTCCAAAGATAATTTAAAAACTAGAAGTAGGACCGAAACAAAATTTGTTTTGTTCAGATTTTTGTGTTTAACGTTTGTTTTTCCCAGATTATGATAACTTGTATCGTATTTTTGTTATAGCTTTACAAGAAAAGTGCAGGCTTGTACTTGCTGGACATCCAGAGACTTAATGGACCTCAGTTTGTCTTCTTCGATCTGTGCGTCCGTCTTCTCTCAGAGTTGGGTGTGATCTGAAGCTCAATATTGGGAGATATTTCAAGCTTCATTTGCTTGGAATTCATTGATGTTTTCTATGTACTATAATTTAGGATTGAGTTCGCTTTGAATTTTTATTTTAAACGAAGTCAGTTGTCTATTTGCATGATTATTACTTGCAAAATGCGTGTGGCTTTAATCAGTATTTTCTTAATTTATCTCCCTCTTTTATTTGTTGGTTTGATAAAAAAATATTTGGTTTTAATTAGAGTTCTTCATCAAGTTTCGTTTTTTTGTTGGTTTGATAAAAATTATTTGGTTTGAATCTAGAAACCTTATCTAGAACTCTAATCCTATACCCAAACTCTAAAACTCCACATCCGAAATAAATAAATACTAAATTCAAACCACTAGTTTAAGCTTTGTTATATGTCGTAGACCATTAGTACAAAAATCTAAACCTTAAATGCTTAGTATGTAAATAATAAATTTAAACGCTAAACGACGACTAAGAGAGAACAGTGAACCCTAGTAGACAAATAATGAATTTCAAACAGACTAGTGTACAATATATCCACCCATTAAATACATCTAGTAGATATATCTAAACCCTAAACTGGAATAAGGAGAACCCAAACATAGTGTTGTAACTACCTAACGAGATGATAACATTTTAAACGTTGGAGCAGTACTAAACCTTAGTATATGATTAGTGAACCTAAATCAATTAATTTTCAGTATCCATAAGAGTCATATAGTAGAAGAAAGCTAGATCCTAAATTGTAATAAGGGAACTCAATTAACATGATTTTGTTTAAAGATTTGGAAATTATGAGTACCATAATGTCTTAATACTCCTACAAAATGATTAGCTAATTATCCTACAATGTTTTACAAGTGCACTGCCGATAATTACTGTTTATCTTTAAAGTTACTCAGTAAAATTGCCGGTTTTTAAAAATTTATGGTTGACTAGAGGTATTAAATTTAGATAGATTGTATAGTATATGGTATATGGGAAAAATAATCAAAAGAGGGTGGTTAAATTAAAATCTATATTTTCTATAATTTTTATGTAATGTGATCTATTTTTTTAATATTACTAGGTTCTAATGATTTTTTAAATTGTTATATTTAAATTTATTTTCTTCCAAAGCTTCACAATTTTTTATTTTTTGCTGTTTTTTTATAAACTTATCTTTGTAATATACTTTTTAATTATTTTTTTACTTTACCAATTTAATTATTTTATAATTAATCATAATAAGTAAGGTACTTTTTAAAAACGTATTTTCTGTAAAAAACATACAATAGCCCTATCCTCACATTTCTTAATATTTATATGTTTTGTCAATTGCTTCATAAAATTCGACATAAGAATAGATCCCAAACTTTTCTTTTTCAATATTATGACAACATGATCAGCCTGAACCAACATTGTTTTTAAGTGAACCGTATTAGAAACTTGTGAAAAAAAAAACCTTATAATTTGGCTTGTCGTCTTTGTTCTAAATTGGTAGCTTCTTTTTCTTTTTATTTATTCTTATTCGTTTTTTTGGTCTTCTTCACTCATCTTCTTTGCTCTTCTTCGTCTTCGCTCGTCTTGCTTCCTCTTTTGGTTTCTTCTCCTCCTTTCTTCTTTGATTAATTCTTAATTTTCAATTTCATCTTCGTGGTTTCTTATTCGGTGTTTCCGTCTTCAACTTTGTTATTCTTTGGGTCTTTTTTTTTCTTTCTACTTTGGTATCTTCGTCTTCGATAATTTTTAATTTTATCTTCTTAATGTTCTTCTTTCATATCCTCTTCATATGTCATTTTTCAGTCTGAGTATATGATTCAGCCATTTTCTTCAACAAACTTGTGGCAAATGAGAACTCTTCACTGTAAATCCTTCAAGGTGCAACAAAGATGATTACTTTGTCTCCAATAGTTTTATTGTCTACTCCTTTCCACCCTTGGATTTTTTGGCATCCGTAGAAGGCTGGTACTCTCTTCCTATTTGAATATTGTGAGTTACAGTAAAATAAAATCTTCCTTAAGGCTGTGAAAGATGTCCATGAATGAATGCCCGAAGTTCAGCTAAGAAAGCAGCCTCTTTTTATCCTCTGTTTGGCATGCATTAGAATATGGAACACAAAATATTGTTTTTGTAATGCAACTTGGAATATTTTCTTAGAAAAATGTGGTATGATATGGATTATCAAATCTCCCTTGAACTCTCATCTGCTCCGTAGAAGTGCAAGTATACTAATTACTTCGTTTTTTCTTCCTCTTCACTTATATTCACTCATCCACACTCATCATCTACTTTGATCTTCTTCGTATTTGCTCGTCTTGCTTCTTCTTTAGACAAATGTGGTATGAGATGGATTATCAAATCTTCTCCGTAGAAGTGTAAGTATACTAATTACTTCGTTTTTTCTTCATCTTCACTTATATTCACTCATCTACACTCATCATCTACTTTGATCTTCTTCGTATTTGCTCGTCTTGCTTCTTCTTTTTCGTTCTTGTTTGGTTTATTCTCCTCTGTTCTTATTTGATTCCTTATATATCAATTTCATCTACGTGGTTTCAGATTCGGTGTTTCCATCTTCTACTTTATTCTTCTTTGGTTTTTTTTTTTTGTCTTTCTATTTTGGTATCTTCGTCTTCGATGTTCTTCATTTTTATCTTCTTATTGTTCTTATTCCATATCTTCTTCATATGGTATTTTATAATATGAATTTGTGATTCAGTCTTTTTTTCAACGAAGTTGCGGCAAGCGAACACCTTTCATTGAAACTTCTTCAAGGTGCAAAAAAGATGACTACTCTGTCTCCAATAGTTTTATTATCTACTCCTCTCTACCTTTGGATTTTTTTGCATTTGTAGAAGGCCCATAAACTTTTCCTATTTGAATATTGTGATTTACATAAAGATAAAATCCTCTTTAAAGTTGTGAATAATGCCCAATTGCCCATGAATGAGTGATGCCCGAAGTTCAGCTAAGAAAGCAGACTCTCTTTACCCTCTCTATTTGGCATGCATTATAATCTGAAATGGAAAATCTTGTTGTGATAATGCAACTTGGAATGTTTCCTTGGACAAATGTAGTATGAGATGGATTATCAAATCTCCCAAGAACTCTCCTTTGCAATGCAAGTCTAGTCTTTACTTGTTTGACCAATATTGTTGAAATTCTTGTGATAAATAAAGTGTAATTTAGTGGGCTATATGCATATTTTTCTTTTCCCAATGTAAGTTGGATCTCGCAAAACTTGATCTCTCTTATCATCTCAAAGGAACTACACATGAATTTAAATGTCTTCTTCATGACATTAGCCGTCTTTATTATTATTATTTTTTATCTTTTTTTATTATTTCATATCTAGATTATGTAATGTTAATATCCACTCACTTGCAAAGTTGGCTATATTTACTTTGAACAAATCTTTCAGTTATTACTTATTAGGGTGTAACTTTCTCTTTTTGTTTTTTTTTTTTTAAGTTAGCTAAAAAAGAAAACTCACCATATAATTTTTCATGATTAATATAGTAGTTCCCTTAAAATATTTTTGTATAAATCTTTCAAATATAGTTACTATTTTAACAAAAATTGAAGCACTTTATTTAATTATTTTGGAATTTTGAAGTTTAATAATTTAAAATCGGTTATATATTAGAGTTACTAAAAAATTAATATTACAAATTTACAAAATCGTTTATATATTAGTTTCTTTTTATTGGTTTAGAAAATATAATTTCTTTATTTAATAAATTATTTAATACGAAAATAAATAATTCCCTTAAATTCGGAAATTATCTGAAAATATAAAAAGGAAATCAATTAATTTTACAAAGACTGTAATTAAATTTATATGATGATGTGGAATGAAACTATTGATTGTTTAAAATTGGAAAAATTACTTAATTTTGGAGATGTTAATGTGGACCAATTAAATCGCGTCTTTAAATCTTATGTGGACACTTTTAGAGGCTTATAGCCTCAACTTTTATATTCTCTTAAAATATTTTTGTATAAATCTTTCAAATATATTACTAAATCGAATTTAAGTTTTAACAAAAATCGAAGCACTTTGTTTAATTATTTTGGAACTGTGAGGTTTCTTAATTTAAAATCAGTTATATATTAGATTATTAAAAAAATAATATTACAAATTTAAAAATTGTTTATATATTAGTTTCTTTTCATTGGTATTTGAAAATATAATTTCCTTATTTAATAAATTAGTTAATACGAAAATAAATAATGCCCTTAAATTAGGAAATTTTCTGAAAATATAAAAAGGAAATCAATTAATTTTACAAATACTATAATTAAAATTATATGATGATGTGGAATGAAACTATTGGTTGTATAAAATTAGAAAATTACTTAATTTTGGAGATGCTTATGTGGACCAATAAAATCGCGTCTTTTAATCCTATGTGGACGCTCTCAGAGGCTTATAGCCTCAACTTTTATATAGTATAGATTAAAATATTATAATTGTGTATGTTTTTGCAAGGAAAAGATAAGATGATTAAATTTGTAAAATTTGAAAAAATTATATAGTTTTAACAATTAAAAATAAGTTGAAAAATAAAATATAGCCTGAACCATTGGATGGTCTTGACTTGCTATTAGAAAGAAAACAGATTTTTTTTTTATAGAAAAAAAAGGATTAACTTGCGATTAGAAAGAAAATTAATTATAAAAAATAATTCCGCAACAAAAAAACTGCAAGAACCTCAGTTTGACTTTGGTCTCCCAAATTTCTAATACTAATAACACTTCTAAAACTATAATCAGATTCAGAAGCACAATGTTCGAGTTTGCCTCCCTTGGCGATAGTTGATTCTCATACTTTTATAACTTCTTTATTTTTTTTTGAACAGCAGACTTTCATTAATTAAAGATACTACGGTTACACCAAATCATTAATTAAAGAATAACTTCTTGTTACTTATTTTGTTCTCATGGAGAGAAGTACTTTTGACTATTATTCGAGTAAAAGAATTAATAATTCAGTGAGACAAGCACGAAGACTTGAACAGTTGTAAGTCAACTCAAAACTTGAAACGGAAAGCGATATTTCTCACATCTCTTTCCGTTTTAAGTATTGCGATTTCCTCGTTTCCTTCTACAATCTGATTCCAATCTCTTGCTCTGCTTTGTGTACTCTATAGAACACTCCGCAAAAATCGTTTTTTTTTTTTAACTCTGATCTACTTTTGATGGGTGATTGAAAAGTTTGATTCTTTTATACAAAAAAAAGCGATCTGATTTTCAAACTCAAGCCTGCGTTTCGATCTTCAAAATCTACGAAATCTGGTAAGGCCGTTGCTAGTTTCTTAGAATCAAATTGCTCTGTTTTAGAGAATTCCGTAAATAGATGAAGAAGATCGGAGATTTTCAATCGGAATCATCTGATGCTTGTTTGCTTCCATCGCTTCCTGAAGATGTATTTGCTCTCATCTCTCGTTCTCTTTCTCCAAACGACATTTGCAATCTAACCTTGTCCTGCAAAAGCCTCTTTGACCTTGTGGAAACAGAGAAGATCTGGCTTGTGCAGTGTGAAGTAGTAAAGGCTCTTCCTTTATCCGAATTAGTCCAATGGAGAATCGGAATCTCTTCTTACAAGTCGCTCTGTAAGTTCCTTGTTGAGGTAGTGAAGCCTCTCGTTGGCGTTTGGGCTCACCAAAACCCTGAGCTTGGGAACGTTGTTTACGTCATGCCTGGCTTCTTGTCCGTTGTCGGTTGCCGGATAATCCCACAAGAGGTTGGTCCATTGGGGATTGAGAAAGGTCGGATTTTGTGGTCGCCGGTGTTCGAGATCATCTGCGGCTTTGATGGCTCCAACAAGTTCTTCCTCCATGGGATTGACAGAGAAGATAGCTGCTTGTACCCTGGCTTCGTTAACGGCATTGACAAGTGTTGCAACGTGCTTCAGCTCGAGGTTGCCCCGAGGAGGCGAGAGGAGAAGAAGCCTGAATCTTCCGTTCGGTTTCCGTTCTGCAAGCTTCCGTTTTGCGATAGAAGGAAGCTGCTTTACATGGTCACAGGCCGTGTTGGTTTGCCTGAGCCTGAGGTATCGAATGTGAGGTTGTTTCCGAGGTCGAGAGACGATAAAGAGACGATCTTGGAACGAAGAACAATGCTGCTGAAGATGCACAAGTTTGGTGGGAACTGGAAGCATATGAATCTTGAGGATGAGCTTTGTTACAATCCAATTCAGGTTGAGATAAATGAGCTGTGGAGTAATCTTGGCCATGGAGAGTTACAGAGCAGAGAAAGGAAGAGTCTTGGCCAGGTTTTCAGAAGTGGCATCAAGCATATGTTAAGGAGGTCTAGTTCGAAGAATGGGTCTACGAGCAGTGAGATTAGACGTTCGAATCTGAAGAGGTTTCTTAGCTCTGGTGATGTGGTTGGTCTTAGTGTGAAAGCTACAAAGATTAAGCTGTCTTCTTACAGAGGTTGGCCAAACATGGACGAGACGCATTTCACACTTTATAAGCTACCGGTTAAGAAACCAGTGGAGAGGCAAGAGTATGCTGGTTTGTGGGGAGGATCTATTGGCTGGCCTCCAGGGAAATTTAGTGAAGATAAACCAGGTAAAGCTATGTTCTTGCTGATGCTTGGTTATGAAGAATCTGAAGATGATGTTGGTGAGAGAGTTCTTATAGGGACGAAAATACTTGAAGGGACTCATTATGTGATGCATCCTAATGGATCTGCAATGTTTGCTGTGAAGATTGATTCGCCTTCCTTTGAGGCTTTTCCTCTTGATGCAAATGGAGAAGATTTTGAGTGTTGTTACACAGGAGAAGGTATTGCAAAAGGTTATGGTTTCCGGTATCCTGGTTCTAAACCCGGTTCGTTGTTTGTGACATCTAAAGGTCTTCTCATGTTTGTTTGGAGAGAAACTAGAGTTGTGTTGACGTTGCAGAGACTTGATCTTGGAGAGTTATTGAAGAGAGGCGTTTGTGTATCTCCTCTGCCTCCATGTTTGAATTTTACTTATTTGACAAAGTCTCACACCAATGTGTTTGCTTCGGGGAGAAGAACAACATCGTAGAAAACTTTCTGCAATAGATTTGATTCATGCTCACAAGTCTCTTCTCTTGTTTCCATTGTAATCTTTGTTATTGAATGGAAAAAAACCCACAACAATAATGATTTATAGATACTAAATGTAAAAACATTGTAATTGTGTGCCTCAAGCTTGAGTGAAAATTAATACAATGTTTTGAACATCTATATGACTATTTACATCCCTTAAATTATTGATGTTACCAACATATACTCCATGATTAATTAAATATTGATTGTTTGGGATTGTGTTTAACCAAATCCCCCCACCCCCACCCACGTACATGAAGCTATTGTATGTTTATAAGAGAAAAAAAACATGGCCAATAAATGTTACGATAAAATAATGATTTTAATGGTTTAAACTTGTATATAAAGGCATAAGCCACATGCATGCATCCACGACTAACCACGTTGAGAGTCTTAAAACAAATAAATAGATGGATTACTTAGTGTGAATCGGATCCTCTTTCACTCCCTCTTCCATCGTTTGCTATAAATACACATAATAACTGTCTAGTAATTCCACACAAAGAGATCAAAAATCATATAAGAAATTTAGAAAAATGGATAGCTTAAGGTTTACAATAGTTGTTGTTTCGGTCCTATTTCTCTCCTTCCTTATCCAATCGCCGAAAGGTAACTAAGATCTCTCTAATTTTGCTGAATTAATTATATTCAATTCTTTTTTTTTTGTTTGTTGGATGATGAAACATAAGTGTATGGAACAGGGAGCGAATGGGTACTACATGTGCGAAGAGATCTTCAAGCCTTGTCAATCTCAGAGTGAGTGTTCGGAAAGTTGCGAGGACAGATATCATGGTTACCGGTCAGCTGGCGAATGCAAGGACATAAAGTCTCAAGGTGTCACCTTGAGTTATTGCTTATGTTACTTTAGTTGCCACAGCTGTAAAATTGTCGAGAGGCCCTATCATCCACTTTATGAGTCTCGTTTCTGATTTTTTTTTTCTTTTATTTCTTGATTTCTGCAAATAAACACGGTCTTCTACACTCACGGTCTTCTACACTGTTCTTGGTTTGTAAGATCAGGGTAAAGCACGTTTTTCAATTTCCATTTCCCGTTTGTTTCCAGCATTGTAGGAACAACATTTTCCAGTTTCTTTTTTACGCAAGGGCATAATAATTTCACAAAGTTAAAATGTTTTTATTTTATATTTTGTAGTTTTGAAATTTTGAATACATATTTAGCAATTACACACGTTATACAAGCAATACATTGTCATTGTCACAAATCAATACATTCGATTATGAGACTGATTATTATCTTATATAAAAGGAGAGCTTTAAAATCTGTTTTGCGGAGTGTTCCCATTGCCAATACTGCTTTTACTCTTATGACATTATGACTCGAGAAACACGTTAGTGTAAGATCTTTCCATGTAAGTAAAATTCATACTTGGAGGCAGAGGAGGGACGCACACACCTGAACCTTTCTTCAAGATCTCTTCAAGGTTTAGTCTTTGCAATGTAAACACTTCTTTACTTTCTCGCCAAACAAATGCAAGAAGATCATTAGAGATCGCGAAAAGAGAACCGGGTTTTGAACCTGGATAACGGAATCCATAACCATCTGCGATACCATCTCCCTTGAAAGAATGCTCAAAGTCTCTTCCATCAAACGGAAAGGGCTCAAGGGAAGGTGGTGTGTCGATATCCACAGCAAACATACGAGACCCATTAGGATGATCCACATAGTCAGTGCCTTCGAGTATTTTTCTCCCGAGAAGAAGTGTCTTATCACTATCCTTATTAGACTGCTCATAAGTGAGCATCAGTAAGTAAAAAGCATTGCCAGATTTACCTTCTTCTTCCCCTGGTGGCCATCCAAAAGTTCCTCCCCATAAACCGGCATACACTTGGTCCTTCATGGGACTCTTGATCGGTAGTTTATAAAGAGAAAAGTGGTTAAAACTCATTGCAGGCCAGCCTAAGTAAGAAGGGATCTCAGTGTAGGAAGCTTTGAGACTAAGACCAAATGTATCACCAGCGCTAAGAAAGCTCTTGAGATTCTCTGTCTTACTCTCTCTATCATCACCACCACCACCACCATCACCACCACCATCACCACCACCATCACCACCACCACCACCATCATCATCATCATCATCATCATCATCATCATCATCATCATCAGCAGCAGCAGCAGCACCACCACCACCACCACCATCAGCATCATCATCATCATCATCACCATCATCATCATCATCATCATCACTGTATATATCCTTATTGTCACTAGCAAGAGCCTTCAACATCCTGTCAATGTCTACCTGCGTAGGATTGTAACACAACTCCTCCTCGAGGTTCTTGTGCTTCCAATTGCCACCAAACTTGTGCATTTTAAGGAGCATGGTTCTGCGTTCCAACAACATCTTTTCATCATCTTTAGAAGTAGGAAACAACTTTCCTATCAATGGTTCAGGCGCATGTAAACCTACATGGCTTGTTACTAGCTCCAGTACGCTCTTTTTATCGCTTAAAATGAGATCCCAGAATGATACTTTTCTTGAAGTTTCTTCTCTCTCAATCTCATCCTCACTGCACAAACTCTTCCCTCGCCTTGGCTCAACCTCGAGATGAAGCACATTGCAAGTCTTCTCGATGCCTGTAACAACAACAGGGTACAAGCAACTGTCTTTCCTTTCTCTTCCATGGAGGAAAAACTTGTTGGAGCCATCAAAACCGCAGATTATCTCAAACACTGGCGACCACATAACCGGACCTTGTTGAATCCCCAAAGGACCAACCTTTTGTGGAATTATCCGGCAACCAACAACAGACAAGAAACCAGGCATCACATAAACAACATTCCCAAGTTCAGGGTTTTGTTGAACCCAAATACCAACCAGAGGTTTCATCACCTCTACAAGAAACCGACAAAGCACCTTGTAAGAACGAATCCCGATTCGCCACTGTAAGATTTCAGATAAAGGAAGAGCCTTTACAAGCTCACACTGTGCAAGCCAGATCTCCTCGGAACCCACAAGGTCACAGAGACTTTTGCAGCAAAAGCTTAGGTTGCAAATGTCGCTTGGAGAAAGAAAACGAGAGATAACAGCAAATACATCTTCTGGAAGCGAGGGAAGGGAACAAGTACCAAATGATTCCGATTGAAACTCTCCGATCGCCATGTATTCCTAGTCCAATCCCCAAACAGAGCTAAACCCACAAAATTATATGATAATCAGATATCTCATACAGCTTTCACACACACACAAGATAAAAATATTCCGAGATTTGAATTGGAAAAAAGAAACTACAAGATAAAGTGAAATTTTTTCCAGTTTAGAAAGTTTCCGTGAGCTTCAAGAAATGATAAATATAAGTCTAGAATATGAAGGAAGATAGAAATTTCACCTCGAAGAGCTTGGATTTTGGAAGAAGAAGAAGAAGAAGAAGGTGTGATTTGAATTGGTAGAAAGAAATTACAAAGATAAAGTGATATTTTTTCCAGTCTAGAAAGTCTCCGTGAGCTTCAAGAAATGATAAGTCTTAAGTCTAGAATGTGAAGGAAGATAGAACTTTCACTTTGACAAATTTGGATTTTGAAAGAAGATGTCAATTGCGTAAGAAGAAGAAATGGGAATAATTCTTAATTTGCCTTTTCTGAATGACCAAAACGACAAAAGGTGTGATTCTCTTCAAGGGTCGAAACACTTGACCGAATGAGTATACATTTTTTTTTTTTTTTGCAGTTACAATGACATTCAATTATAATATTGTATCTCAATAAACTAGTCAAGACATGGCAGAGAGTCCCATTTCCAAGATTGATGCAAGGCATATGACTTGGCAAACACGTTGGTGTAAGATTTTTTCATAAAAGTGAAATTCATAGTTGGAGGCAAAGGAGGCAAGCACAAACCCAAACCTTTCTTCAAGATCTCTTCAAGGTTTAGTACTCTTTGCAATGTAAACACATCTTTACTTTCTCTCCCAACGAATACGAGAAGATCATTAGATGTGACGAAAAGGGAACCGGGTTTCCAACCTGGACAGCGGAACCCATAACCACCTGTGGTACTGATACCATCTCCCGTGTAACAATGCACAAAGTCTCTTCCATCTGCATCAAACGGAAAGGGCTTAAGGGAAGAAGCTGTATCGATATCTACAGCAATCATTCTTGATCCATTAGGATACATGGCATCGTCAGTGCCTTCGAGTATTTTCCTCCCGATAAGAAGTGTCTTATCACCACTATCCTCTTAATACTGCTCATACGTGAGCATCACTAAGTAAAGAGCCTTGCCGGTTTTACCTTCATCATCTTCAATACATTTCTCAGGTGGCCATCCATAAGTCACTCCCCATAAACCGGCATACGCTTGGTCCTTCATGGGACTCTTAACCGGTAGTTTATAAAAGGCAAAGTGGTTTAGGTTCATCTTTGGCCAACCTCCTAAGTAAGAAGACGTCTCAATGTAGGAAGCTTTGAGACTAAGACCGAATGTATCACCAGAGCTAAGAAAGCTTTGGCGATTCTCTATATCCTCTTCCTTAAGAAAGTGATGACTGAGATGTTCCCACCTCCCATTTATGTCTACCTGCATAGGATTGTAACACAACTCCTCCTCCTCGAGGTTCTTGTCCTTCCAATTGCCACCAAACCTGTGCATTTTAAGGAGCATGGCTCTGCGTTCCAACATCTTCTCATCATCGTCTTTCAAAGTAGGAAACAACGTTTCTGTCAATGATTCAGGCACATGCAGACCTACATGGTTTGTCACTAGCTCAAGTAAGACACTTTTTTCTTTAAAACAGAGATCCCAAAATGATACCTTTCTTGAGACTTCTTCTTCACGGCACAAACTCTTCTCTCGCCTTGGCTCAACTTCGAGTAGAAGCACATTGCAACTCTTCTCGATGCCCGTAACGCAACCAGGGTACAAGAAAAAGTCTTCTCCGTTGCTTCCATGGAGGAAAAACTTGTTGGAGCCATCAAATATGCAGATTATCTCAAAGACCGGTGACCATATAACTCGACCTTCCTGAATCCCCAGAGGACCAACCTCTTGTGGGATTATCCGGCAACCAACAACAGACAAGAAACCAGGCATCACATAAACAACATTCCCAAGTATAGGGCGTTCGTGAACCCAAATCCCAACAAGAGGCTTCATTACCTCAACAAGAAACCGACAAAGCCCCTTGTAAGAACGAATCCCGGTTCGCCACTGTAAGATTTCAGATAAAGGAAGAACCTTTACAAGCTCACACTGCGCAAGCCATATATCCTCTGTATCCACAAGGGCACAGAGGCTTTTGCAGCACAAGCATAGGTTGCAGATATCGCTTGGAGAAAGAAGACGAGAGATAGCACCAGTTAGATCTTTTGGAAGACAAAGAAGGAAACAAGTACCAAAGGAGTCGGATGGAAACTCTCCGATCGTCATGTCTTACGAGTCCAGTATAGCTAAACCACTCGGAACGGCCTTACCAGATTCAGACTTTAATATCGGAACGTAGCCTGCGTTTGAACTTTGAATTTAAGATTAATCTCTAGGGTTTTTGTTTTGCAACTTTTTCGTTTGAGTAAAATTAGTTGAAACGTAACGAGAAAGTTTCTTTTTTTTTTGTATATATTGCATATATAAATAATGTTTATATAAAACAAAAAAAAATTTATTTATGTTCTTAAAATATGGTGTTTACCAATAATCATTTGTTTGGAAAGAAACTAGAGTTGTGTTAACACTGCAAAGACTTGTTATTGGTTTATGGCTTTTAATAGAGTTTGAATCCTACTATAATCCATTGTTATTTAATCATGATTTTTAAATCTTCTAAGAAAATATGGTGTTATTGGTTTAAGTATTTAGAATACTTTTATTAAAAGATTTTAAAATCTATTGTTATTGGTTCTTGTATTTAGAATCTCTTTATTAAAAGAGTTTGAAATCTGGTGTTATTCAATTAAGGATTTGCATAACAGTTTGTTTGGATTTGAATTTTGAAATCATTTCCATGTGTAAATTATAAAAATCAAAATCCAACCTTTTACCCTTAGATTTTGTAATCAATTTATTAGAATTATAGAATTCAACAATTAGCAGTATTAATCCCTTATCATTTCTGCTCTTCTTATCCGCCAGCCATACGTGTGGCAGGTTTCTTAAGTTTTATTATTTTTTAATTACATTCCAAATTATTTATTTGTTAGTTAAATTCAATTCTAGTGGAGAAATCAAATCAAATCATATTGACTTTGTAAATATAATGCCATGGATTTAAAAATCTAAGGATAACTCATATACTAAAAATTTAATGTATTTCAAATCTGTTGGAATTGATTTAAATCTTGAAGACCTAACACCAATGTGTTTGCTTAAGCCATATATTCTTATGCAAAATGAATAATCGATATACAAGAACAAAAGAATCTCACAAAGTTTGGTTTCTTTTTTTTTTGGGGTATTATTTTCTTGGAATACATTGTTGATACTGATTTAGCAAATACACACATTATACAATACAAGCATATAGTAACAGAAGCACACATTATACAATACAAGCATATACAGTAACAGAAGCAAAATAGGTCACAAAACATTTCATTATGAAATTGTAACTCAAAAACCAGACAAGATATGGGAGAGCTTTAAACCTGTTTGCAGAGTGTTCCATTTTCCAACATTTGTGTGAGGCTTTTTACTCCAAACAAGGCGAACAGGTCTATGACTAGAGAAACACGTTGTGGAATAATCTTTCCATGTAAGTAAAATTCATAGTTGGACGCAGAGGAGGGACGCACACACCTAAACCTCTCTTCAAGATCTCTTCAAGGTTTAGTCTTTGCAATGTAAACACATCTCTAGTTTCTCTCCAAACAAATGCGAGATGATCATTAGAGATCACGTACAGAGAACCCGGTACTGAACTCGTATTCCGGAATCCATAACCATCTGCGATACCATCTCCCTGGAAAGAATGCTCAAACTCTCTTCCATCTGCATCAAACGGAAAGGGCTCAAGGGAAGGTGCATCGACATCCACAACAAACATATTGGATCCAGTAGGACGCTTCACCTCCTCAGTGCCTTCGAGTATTTTCTGCCCGACAAGGAGTATCTTACCTCTATCCTCTTGAGATTGCTCATAAGTGAGCATCAGTAAGTAAAATGCATTGCCCGTTTTACCTTCATAATCTTCAACAAATGTCCCAGGCGGCCATCCAAAAGTTCCTCCCCATAAACCGGCATACACTTGGTCCTTCATGGGACTCTTAACCGGTATTTTATAGAGGGAAAAGTGGTTATAACTCATGTCTGGCCAGCCTAAGTAAGAAGAGACCTCATCGTAGGAAGCTCTGAGACTAAGACCAAATGTATCACCAGCGCTAAGAAAGCTTTGGCGATGCTCTTTCTTACTCTCTTTATAGTCCATGAAGTCATGGTAATCACCGAAATCATTATCATCATCATCACTATCTATATCCTTATTGTCATGAGCAAGATTCTTCCAAATCCTTTCTATGTCTACGTGCATAGGATTGTAACACAACTCTTTCTCCTCCTCCAGGTTCTTGTGCTTCCAATTGCCACCAAACTTGTGCATTTTAAGGAGCATGGTTCTTCGTTCCAACGACATACTCTCATCATCTTTCGACGTCGGAAACAACCTTCCTGCTAATGGTTCAGAACCATCATGCAGACCTACATGGCTTGTCACTAGCTCCAGTAAGTCCGTTTTATCTTTTAAAGTGAGCTCCGAGAATGATACCTTTCTTGAAGCTTCTTCTCTATCAATCTCACTGCACAACAACTTCTTCTCCCGCCTTGGCTCAACCTCGAGATGAAGCACATTGCAAGTCTTCTCGATACCAGTAACAAATCCAGGGTACAAGCAACTGTCTTTCCCGTCTCTTCCGTGGAGGAAAAACTTGTTGGAGCCATCAAAACCGCAGATTATCTCAAACACCGGCGACCACACCACCCGACCTTCTTGAATCCCCAAAGGACCAACCCTTTGTGGAATCATCCGGCAACCAACAAGAGACAAGAAACCAGGCATGACATAAACAACATTCCCAAGTTCAGGGTTTCGTTGAACCCAAATCCCAGCAAGAGGCTTCATTACCTCAACAAGAAACCGACAAAGCACCTTGTAAGAACGAATCCCTATTCGCCACTGTAGGATTTCAGATAAAGGAAGAGCCTTTACAAGCTCACATTGTGCAAGCCAGATCTCCTCGGAACCCACAAGGGCGCATAGGCTTTTGCTGCAAAAGCTTAAGTTGCAAATGTCGCTTGGAGAAAGAGAACGAGAGATAACAGCAAATATATCTTCTGGAAGCGAGGGAAGCAAAGACGTACCAAGTGATTCCGATGGAAACTCTCCGATCGTCATCTATACAAAGACAAATTTAGCAACAAAGCCGCTAATCCCACAAAATGATATGATACTCAGAAATAAAATGTGGCAGTAAAATCGGAAAGGCCTTACCAGATTCAGACTTTGAAAATGGAAATGCAGCTGGGAATTGAAGAGAAAGTGAGATTTCCGGTTTAGAAACTTTTCGTGAGCTCCAAGATATGACAAAATCTAAGTCTATGAGGTGAGGGAAGATAGAAAAGTCACCTCTGTTTTGGAAGAAGATGTCAGTGGCGTAAGAGTGGGAGAGCAGGTTGTGAATAATTGTTAATTTTGTTATATATTGCATATATAAAGCTAATATAAAAACTAAAGTCTTGTTTTGAGAAAGTAAGAGTTGTGCTTACATTGCATAGGCTTGTCCTTGAAGAGCTCTTGAAGAAAGGCGTTTGTGTATCTAATTTGCCTCCATGTCTGAACTTTACGCATTTGACAAAGTGTCACACCAATGTGTTTGAAGACTGCTGCAACAGATTTGATTAAATCTCACAAGTCTTCTCTTGTTTCCAATGTAATCTTGTTATATTAATTAATGAATGGCAAAATCACAACGTAATGATTTTTAGATACTAAATGTAAAACATATGTATGCCTAAAGCTAAAGTGAGAAATTATATACGTTAAATGTATGAGTTTGGTAAGCCACGAAAAGATTCTTATGCCAAAATGAAAAATCATTACACAAAGGACAATAATATCACAAAGTTTAGTTTGTTTGTTTTTTTTTTTTTTTTTTTTGTTGGAATACATAATTTATACATAATTAGCAAGCACACACGTTATACAAGCAGTGTACATGTAGCAAATGATGTCACAAATCAATTCATTAAGAGATTGTATCTCAAACACCTAGACAAGATATGGGAGAGCTTGAGACCTGTTTGAAGAGTGTTCCATTTCCAACATTGGTGTGATGTTCTTCACTGCGAGGGAGGTGTATAAGACTCGAGATACACGTTTCTGTATGATCTTTCCATATAAGTAAAATTCTTAGTCGGAGGCAAAGGCGGCACGCACAAACCTAGACCTTGCTTCAACACCTCTTCAAGGTTCAGTCTTTGCAGTGTACACACATCTCTAGTCTCTTGCCAAACGAATACAAGAAGATCATCAGAGATCACGTAAAGGGAACCGGGTTTTGAACTTGGATACCGGAATCCATAACCAGACGCGATACCATCTCCCTTGTAAGAATGCTCAAACTCTCTTCCTTCTGCATCAAACGGAAAGGGCTCAAGGGAAGGTGTATCGATATTCACAACAAACATATTGGATCCATTAGGATGCCCCACATGGTGAGTGCCTTCGAGTATCTTCGTCCCAATAAGAAGCCTCTCATAACTATTATCCTTTTGAGTTTCTTCATAACCGAGCATCAGCAAGAACAGAGCCTCACCGGGTTTGTCTTCAGTATATTTCCCAGGTGGCCAGCCAAATGTTCCTCCCCACAAACCAGCATACTCTTGCCTCTCCACTGGTTTCTTAATCGGTAGCTTAGTCTTTGTAGCTTTCACACTAGGATCTACCACATCACCAGAGCTAAGAAACGTCTTCAGATTAAAACTTCTGCTCGTAGACGCGTTCTTCGAACTAGGCCTCCTCAAGATATGCTTGATGCCACTTCTGAGAACCTGGCTAAAGCTCTTCCTTTTTGTGCTTTGTAACTCGCACGAACCGGTATACTCTTGGCTATCGACCGGACTCTTGATAGGTAGTTTATAAAGGGAAAAGTGGTTTAAGCTCATGATTGGCCAGCCTATGTAAGAAGAGATCTCAGTGTAGGAAGCTTTGAGACTAAGACCAAATGTATCACCAGCGCTAAAAAAGCTCTCGAAATTCTCCTCTGTCCTACTCTCTCTATCATCATCATCATCATCATCATCATCATCATCATCATCATCATCATCATCATCACTGTCCATATCCTTATTGTCATTACCAAGAGTCTTCAAAATCCTGTCAATGTCTACCTTCATAGGATTGTAACACAACTGCTCCTCCTCCTCCTCGAGGTTCTTGTGCTTCCAATTGCCACCAAACTTGTGCATTTTAAGGAGCATGGTCCTACGTTCAGACAACATCCTCTCATCATCTTTCGGCGTTGGAAACAACCTTCCCGCTAATGGTTCAGGTACATGTAAACTTACTTGGCTTGTCACCAGGTTCAGTAAGTTCTTTTTATCGTTTAAAGTGAGCTCCCTGAATGATACCTCTCTTGAGACTTCTTCACTCTCATTTTCATTCTCACTGCACAAACTCTTCTCTCGCCTTGGCTCAACCTCAAGATGAAGCACATTGCAACTCTTCTCTATACCCGCAACAACACCAGGGTACACGCAACTGCCTTCCACGTTTCTTCCATGGAGGAAAAACTTACTGGAGCCATCAAAACCGCAGATTATTTCGAAAACCGGCGACCACATAACCCGACCTTCTTGAATACCCAAAGGACCAACCTTTTGTGGAATTATCCGGCAACCAACAACAGACAAGTAACCAGGCATCACGTAAACAACATTTCCAAGTTCAGGGCATTGGTGAACCCAAATCCCAACCAGAGGCTTCATTACCTCTACAAGAAACCGAAAAAGCGCCTTGTAAGAAGAGATCCCGGTTCGCCATTGGAGTACTTCAGATAAAGGAAGAACCTTTACAAGCTCACATTGCACAAGCCAGATCTCCTCGGAACCCACAAGGGCACAAAGACTTTTGCAGCAAAAGCTTAAGTTGCAAATGTCGCTTGGAGAAAGGAAACGAGAGATAACAGCAAATACATCTTCTGGAAGAGAGGGAAGCAAACAAGTACCAAATGATTCCGATGGAAACTCTCCGATCGCCATGTATTTCTAGTCCAAATCCGCAACAAAGCCAAACCTACAATATGGTATGATACTCAGAGATCACATACAGGTGTAACACACACAAGATACAAACTTTCCGAGCTTTAAATTGGCCTAACATAGAGAGAACTTACAAGATAAAGTGAGATTATTCCAGTCTAGAAAGTCTCCGTGAGTTTCAAGAAATGATAAGCCTAAGTCTAGAATGTGAAGGAAGATGGAAATTTCACCTGGAAGAACTTGGATTTTGGAAGAAGATGTCAATGGCGTAAGCGAGAACAAGTTAGGAACAACTCATAATTTGCCTTTTCATAATTCTTTATAGGTACTTTACAAAGGGGCTACCATTAGCTAAGAACGAATCCCGATTACGCCATTGGACAATTTCAGATAAAGGGAGAAACTTTCCAAGCTTGACTTAGCAACAATAAAACTGAAGAAGGTGTATACTTATATGTAACATTAAAACAAACATTCTGGATCCACGGGGAAGCTCCACATAGTGAATGCCTTCAAGTATTTGCGTCCCAATAAGAGGAGTCTCTTATCACTACACTCTTGAGATTCTCCATAAGAAACGAGCCTTGCCGTTTCTGTCTTCATCTTCATTACAATCCCCAAGCAAGCCAGCCAAATGTTTCTCCCCACGAAAAAGCGAGCTACACAAATAGAACCACCCCTCTCTTGTTCTTCCCCAATAACAACTTTCTTGAGACTTCTTCTCTCTCGATCTCAAACTCAATCTCACTGCAAAACCTTCTCTTTCGCTGCCTTGGTTCAACCTCAAGTAGAAAGCAATTTCTCAATGCCTTTAACGAAACCAGGGTTAAAGCAACTATCTTTCTCCGTCTACTCCATGGAGGAAAAACGTAATGGAGCCATCAAAACCGCAGACCACAAATTCCGACCTTCCTGTATACCCAAAGAACCAACCTTTTGTGGAATTATACAGCAACCAATAACGGATAAGAAACCAGGCATCACGTAGACAACATCACCATGTTCAGGGCTTTGTAACTAGATGCTTCACTACACATCTACAAGAAGACGACAAAGCACCTTGTAAGAACTAACCCAGATTCTCCATTGGACGATTTCAGATAAAGGAAGACCCTTTACAAGCGCACACTGCGCAAGCGAGATATCCTCTGTATCCAAAATGTCACGGAGGCTTTTGCAGCATAAGCTTAGATTGCAAACGTCGCTTGGAGAAAGAAGATGATATATATCACTAATTACCTCATCTGGAATCCGCAGAAGCAAACAAGTATCATCAAAAGATCTCTTCGACGGAAGCTCTTCGATCGTCATGTATCAAAATTCACAACGAAACCACCCAAAGACTAAAACCCACAAAATGATTCGAATCTCGTATATCAAACCTCACAAGTTTCAGAATTGCAAATCGAAATCGAAACGCATCATTCATTGGGGTTGAATCAGTTGCACAAAGAATCGATTTTTACAATCAATCAAAATCGAGACGAGAGACCCGACCCGAAATGTAGAGATCCAATTCTTGGTGTAAACTGGCTCAAATATGTACACTGAATAGGCCCATAGAGCCCAAGTTTCGGCCCATCTCATAGCTTCCGCTTTCACAACCTTCTCTTCTTCGATCATCTCTTTCTCAGAGGACACATCCGGTGGTGCTTCTCCGATCGCCATCTACGTCACACTCCACGGAGACAATTGGACGAAGGATCCACGTTTGATGTGTATTTGGTGATTCCGGAGGAACAAGGATCTGATCTCAATTGTGTTTTGAGGGAAAGCTCTCACTCTACCGCATCGGCTCGACTCCTTCGCCATTGTCTCTTACCACTGAGAGCTTCTTCTCCGTTCAACAGAAACGCCGTAGAACCCTCGAGAAGACCTTCATTACAGTTCATAATCTGTCTCTCGTCTTCGCTTTCAAAGAGTAGAAGTTGAGCAAAATTTGGATCTCTTTTTTTTCCGATCCGGATCTCTCCCGCAAAATTCCGCCATTTTGCAATACCTCTGTGTCTCATTCAACATTGTTCCTTTCGTGATCTGCAGCCAAGGTACACTGAAGTTTTCTCGATCCACTCCCTCCTAAACTTTCCGATTTCAAATCGTTCTCTGGACTGTGATTAGCTACTATTTCCTGATTTGCCATTCCTCTGGGTTTTGTTTTGTTTCCTCAATGAGCTAAGTTAGATCTGAATTGTTTTGATTTTGATTCTACGGATTTGTTCTTCTCTGAATTGTTTGGTTTTGATTCTAATGAAAATCTGATTCCATGAATTTGTTTTTGGCAATGTTACTTATCTAAGCATGAAAGGTTTAACTATTTTGCAGCCTGCATGCTTCGTGTGTGTTCTTGTGCTTAATCCAAGAATCTGGGACGAGTTATGGGGTATCAAAACCATCCTTCAGGAAGCAACTCGTTCCATGGAGAGCTCAAGAGTTGTCACTCGAAACCGTCCAAAGGTGCTTTGGCGTCGATGATCAACTCCGAGATTGGCGCGGTTTTGGCTGTGATGAGGAGAAATGTACGGTGGGGTGTTCGGTACATTGCAGACGATGATCAGTTGGAGCATTCTCTTATCCATTCTTTGAAAGAATTGCGCAAGCAGATATTCTCGTGGCAATGCAACTGGCAAAACGTTGATCCGAAGCTGTACATACAGCCGTTTTTGGATGTTATACTGTCAGATGAAACCGGAGCCCCGATCACCGGCGTTGCCTTGTCGTCTGTGTACAAGATTTTGACACTTGACATTTTCACGCTTGATACCGTGAATGTGGGAGAGGCAATGCATATCATAGTCGATGCTGTGAAAAGCTGCCGTTTTGAGGTAACTGATCCGGCCTCGGAGGAAGTGGTTCTGATGAAGATACTTCAAGTTCTTCTGGCTTGTATCAAGAGTAAGGCGGCTAATGGATTGAGTAATCAGGACATTTGCACCATCGTCAACACTTGTTTGCGTGTTGTTCATCAGTCGAGTTCCAAGAGTGAATTGTTGCAGCGTATTGCGCGACATACGATGCATGAGTTGGTTAGATGTATCTTCTGCCAGCTTCCTTATATCAGCCCGCTGGCTAATGAAAGTGAATTACATGTCGGCGATAAGGTAATTCAAATTTACATTTCATACTAGCATTTTAATGTTGGATTGTGTTATGATTTATCTGCTAAGAATGTTGATTGATAGACGATTGCTCATGACTTAAGTTTGAATGGTGAGTTGTTCACAAATTTCTAACGGTATTCTTGCTTGTCTAGGTGGGAACAGTGGACTGGGATCCGAATGCTGGAGAAAACAAAGTCGAAAATGGAGATATTGGTGGTGTATCTGATACTCTCATCACTGAGAAAGATTGTTCGAGTTCTGAGGTGGCTATTCCAGAAACAGAACCTAAAAATGAGGAAAAGGAAACTGAGGTCAGTGATGACGTGAATGTTGCTGCAAATGGTGAAAGTGTAATGATGGCGCCTTTTGGTATTCCGTGCATGGTAGAGATTTTCCATTTCTTGTGTACACTGTTGAATGTTGGAGAAAACGGTGAAGTCAGTTCCAGATCCAACCCTATAGCATTTGATGAAGACGTTCCTCTATTTGCCCTGGGTTTAATTAATTCTGCTATAGAACTTGGAGGGCCTTCTTTCCGTGAGCACCCGAAGTTGTTGGCTTTGATTCAGGATGAGTTGTTCTGTAACTTGATGCAGTTTGGTGTGTCGATGAGCCCTCTGATTCTTTCTACAGTCTGCAGCATCGTTCTTAATCTCTACCTGAGTCTCCGTTCTGAGCTTAAGATACAGCTTGAAGCTTTCTTTTCTTGTGTACTTCTGAGGATTGCACAGAGCAAACACGGCTCTTCTTACCAGCAACAGGAGGTTGCGATGGAGGCTCTGGTTGATCTTTGCAGACAACATACTTTCATGGCTGAAGTGTTTGCGAATTTCGATTGTGATATAACCTGCAGTAATGTGTTCGAAGATGTTTCAAACCTTCTATCAAAGAGTGCCTTCCCCGTGAATGGCCCTTTATCCGCTATGCATATACTTGCATTGGATGGGTTGATTTCCATGGTTCAGGGAATGGCTGAAAGGGTTGGTGAGGAAGTGTCGGCTTCAGATGTTTCTGCAGACGAAGAAGGATATGAAGCATTCTGGACAGTGAGATGTGAGAACTACGGAGATCCTAATTTTTGGGTACCCTTTGTAAGAAAGGCAAAACACATAAAGAAAAAGCTGATGCTTGGGGCTGACAATTTCAACAGTGATCCTAAGAAGGGCTTGAAGCAACTCCAAACGATGCACTTATTGCCTGAGGAACTTGATCCAAAGAGTGTTGCATGTTTCTTCAGATATACGGGTGGGTTAGATAAGAATCTTATTGGAGATTATCTGGGGAATCATGACCAGTTCTGTGTTCAGGTGCTTCATGAGTTTGCCAAGACGTTTGACTTCCAGAACATGAATCTTGATACCGCGCTGCGTCTCTTTGTTGGTACTTTTAGATTGCCTGGGGAGTCACAGAAGATTCAGAGGGTGCTTGAGGCGTTTTCTGAGAGATACTATGAGCAGTCACCACAGATACTGATTAATAAAGATGCTGCTCTCTTGTTATCTTACTCGATTATCTTGCTGAACACGGATCACCACAACACGCAGGTCAAGAAAAAGATGACTGAAGAAGACTTCATACGTAACAACAGGCTCATAAATGGAGGCGCAGACCTTCCAAGAGAGTACCTATCTGAGCTTTATCATTCCATCTGCGACAGTGAGATTCAGATGATCCCAGATCAGGGAACCGGTTTCCAGATGATGACAGCTAGTCGTTGGATTAGCGTGGTTTACAAATCGAAAGAAACCAGTCCCTACATCATATGCGACAGCGCATCGCATTTGGATCGTGACATGTTTTCTATCGCCTTCGGTCCCACGATTGCAGCTACATCAGTGGTATTTGAACAAGCAGAGCAAGAAGATGTTTTGCAGAGATGTGTTGATGGGTTACTGGCGATAGCAAAACTCTCAGCGTATTATCATTTGAATAGTGTTTTGGATGATCTGGTCGTGTCTCTCTGCAAATTCACGCCTTTCTTCGCCCAAATATCTCCCGACGAAGCTGTTCTTGCTCTAGGAGAAGACGCCAGAGCAAGAATGGCTACTGAAGCTGTTTTCTTGATTGCGAATAGATACGGTGACTACATCAGTTCAAGCTGGAAAAACATTCTGGAATGTGTCTTGAGCCTCCAGAAACTCCAGATTTTACCAGCTCATATAGCTAGCGATGCAGCGGATGATCCAGAGCCATCGACTAGTAACTTGGAGCAAGAAAAACCTTCAGCAAATCCGGTGACGGTGGTGGCGCAGGTACATCCATCAGCGACGCCTAGAAAATCATCTAGTTTCATCGGTCGGTTTAGCCAGCTTTTGTATTTCGACATGGAGGAGACAAAGCCATTACCGACGGAGGAAGATCTTGCAGCTTATAAACACGCTCGTGGGATAGTGAAAGATTGTCACATTGATAGCATATTCTCAGACAGCAAGTTTCTTCAAGCCGAGTCTCTGCAACAGCTAGTAAACTCTCTCATAAAAGCAGCCGAGAAAAACGAAGCTAGTGCGGTGTTTTGCCTTGAGCTTCTGATTGCAGTCACTCTGAACAACCGAGACAGAATCCTACTGATCTGGCAAACTGTTTACGAGCATATCTCCGGTATAGTTCAGTCTACGTCAACGCCATGCCCGCTTGTTGAAAAAGCTGTTTTTGGCGTCTTGAAGATTTGTCAGAGATTGTTACCTTACAAGGAAAATTTAACAGATGAGCTTCTGAAATCACTCCAACTGGTTCTCAAGCTTGATGCAAGAGTCGCTGATGCGTACTGTGAACCGATTACACAAGAAGTCGCTCGTCTTGTGAAAGCGAACGCGTCTCACGTCAGATCTCACGTTGGTTGGCGAACGATCATATCTCTGTTGTCGATCACAGCTCGGCATCCAGAAGCGTCCGATGCTGGATTCGAAGCTCTCCGGTTTATAATGTCGGAAGGAGCTCACTTGTTACCATCGAACTACATTCTCTGTTTGGACGCAGCTAGGCAGTTTGCTGAGTCACGAGTCGGCGAAATCGATCGGTCTATCTCAGCCATCGACTTGATGTCGAACTCTGTGCTCTGTCTCGCGAGATGGTCTCAAGAGGCGAAGAACTCTGTTGGAGAAGACGAAGCTATGGTGAAACTGAGTCAAGATATTGGTGAAATGTGGCTTAGGCTTGTGAACAACCTCAAGAGAGTTTGTCTTGATCAACGTGACCAAGTGAGAAACCACGCCATCTTAATGCTGCACAGAGCCATCGCCGGTGCAGACGGGATCATGTTACCGCAGCCTCTATGGTTCCAATGCTTCGACTCCGCGATCTTCCCGTTGCTAGACGAATTGCTTACCTTTTCGGTGGAGAATTCAAGAAAGACATTCAAGAAAACAGTCGAAGAAACTCTTGTTCTGGCCACGAAGCTCATGTCGAAAGCTTTTCTTCAGTCTCTTCAAGACATTTCGCAGCAACCATCGTTCTGCAGACTCTGGCTTGGAGTATTGGACCGTATGGAGACTTACATGTCGACCAAATTCAGAGGCAAACGCAGCGAGAAAGTCCACGAGCTCATACCGGAGCTGCTCAAGAACACGCTGCTGGTGATGAAGACGACGGGAGTTTTGTTACCGGGTGATGATATCGGAAGTGATAGTTTCTGGCAACTTACTTGGCTTCACGTTAAGAAGATTTCTCCTTCGCTTCAGTCTGAAGTCTTCCCTCAGGAAGAGCTTGATCAGTTTCAGAGACGAAATGCAAAGCCTGAGGAAACTCCGGTACCGGAAAACGAAGGGTGAGAGATGGTGGTGGTCGTGGGAATAGAG